GTACTATGTCAACAGAAAGTACTATGCCGGCAGAAAGTACGATGCCGGCAGAAAGTACGATGCCAGCGGAAAGTACGATGCCAGCAGAAAGTACTACAAGGGCAGAAAGTACTACGCCAACAGAAAGTACTACAAGGGCAGAAAGTACTACGCCAACAGAAAGTACTACAAGGGCAGAAAGTACTACGCCAACAGAAAGTACTACAAGGGCGGAAAGTACTACATCAGCGGAAAGTACGAAGCCAGCAGAAAGTACTACAAGGGCGGAAAGTACTACACCGATGAAAAGTACTACGCCAACAGAAAGTACTACAGGGGCGGAAAGTACTACACCAGCAGAAAATACTGCGGCAACAGAAAGTACTAGGCTGGCAGAAAGTACTAAACAAGCGAAAAGTACTATACCAGCAGAAAGTACTACAACGAGCAAAAGTACTATACCCACAAACCAGCATTGCGCACTTTTACTAGCACAGTACTATACCATAGTGCCCCAGAAGCCTCAGTACTTTAAAGTACTGAGACGAGTCACTTTACTGAACCCTCTGGTTTCAATGGCTAAGTATACTACGCCTTCCTTGATATATCAAGGAGGTGGTGATTTCATTGACCACCTCAGCTCACTCTGCCAGATGACGTAGCGCCGTACCCGCAGCCGGATGTGCAGGAATTGAGGGATAGGAGATACGAGACGAGACATTTTGATTTGTTGGAGTTCGTGGAGAGGTGCATCGAGAATAAAAGGGAGCCATGGATCGAGTTGCCCGGGGAAGAGAGATCGAACGAAGGTCCTTCGACCGAGACACAGAACAGACCAGCATACGACCTCGTCATCGCCGGCGCCTTCCCAACGGGCCAGGGTCAAGTCCTTTGGCGTCATCGTCAGCAGTTAGCACTCGCGCAACTTTATATTGTCATGACGAACCTTAGGCCGGGAGGATCGTGTGTCTTAGTGTGCAACACGAAGGCGTTCGCTTGGGTGGTGGATCTAGCAGGGTTTTTGAGGAAGGTATTTGGGAGCGTGAGGGCCTTGAAGGGCAAGGTGCTGCATGCCAGGGTTCCGAGTTGTTATCTCATCTGCGAGAGTTTTGGGGGACGGTGTGAAGGGAGGGACGGTCACGGTGAGGGCGCGAACGTCGAGATGGAGGGAGGGAGGACTCGGGTGAAGGAGGTTCTGGTCTGGGTGAAGGAGAGACTCGTGGAAGCTGAGGCGGAAGCGGAGTCAAGGGAATCAGCCGGAGGTCATGATGAGGTCGAAGTTAGGGATGACAGTAGCGACGGCCCAAACACAGCAGGGAATGTGGACAACGTCGTCGGTGTGGGTCTACTCCCTGAATATCCCGATCTGAAGGCTTTGTACGATGGAGAACACGAAGCATTAATCCGACTCCTCGAGCCATTATGGGAGAAACAGACTCGAGCGATGGAGGATCATATGGTCTACTTAAGATCCAATTCGCGATCGGGTCGAGGGGGCGGAGGGGCTTACCGTAAGTCGATTGCAGCCTTTGTGGAGTGATATCACTAACCTCTCGGTCCGTCTCGTGTTGATTTCCTGCGACATATTATGGTGCTTAAAGAAAGCAACAGGAATTCCAGAGGAAGGGGTCGTGGTGCCAGGCGAGGCACTTAGGCGACTGATTGAAACGAAGAATTGTATGGCACGAGACAGTGGCGATACCACATAGGATGCAAAGTGAAGGAGAGTATAAGCGGAACGCCACCGTGGCCAACTCGATTAATTGAGCATCGTCTTGGTAAATACGTGGACTGTGTGCAATTATGTCTGGCAAAAATTCCACGGGTCAATCATATGCTGGCTGATGGGCGTACGTGATAGAGTATTGACCCATTCGCTCTGATCCTATTCAGCAAGTGGAACGTACTACGTTTGGTCCTACAGCAGTCAAAGGCTCGCACTAGAGCGTTAAGTGGATCCTCGCCCAATGACTTCACGGGCAAAGCCAGTTTGAGAGAGTCAAACCACTGGGTAACCGTCCACGGCCAGGGCTGTACAAATGCAATTTGCAGGAGTCTTGGGTCGGAAAATGACAATTTCATTAATCACCCTACATTTTCAAAGCGATAGCAGTAAATAGTACACTGGACCTAGAAACTAATACAACCTGTTTTACACTTTGCTTCAGTGAAACTATATCACGATCGAGATCTGTCAGCATGTCTAAAGCTGCTCGTAAAGAGGTAAACACCTACCATAATCGATGGTACAAAGAGACGATCGAAGATGCCTTCAAAGTCATTCCGCGCTTCCGCGGTCATTCACTCCAATCATGTACTCCAGAAACGGCCGCCATACCGTTTCGTCGTTCGCCATAGGGGGAGCGTCAGCCGTATCTTCTGGTTTGATCACCGCTGGACGGTAAAGAGTCGACATGGGCGGGGGAAGACTATCGTCAGCAATGAGAATACGTATACACTTGGCGCCAGGTTCCGTGTCTGCAACATTGACCGTTGCGTCTTTCTTCATGAAGTCCCGGACATCTTCTTCATACCATGGAAGGAATTTATCGAGTGCTTCGTCCAGGGGCATAGATACCGCGTCGCGAACTTTCCTGCTGAACTTCGACTCGATGGGATGAGAACTAGACACTGTACCGAGTGAGGAAGAATCCCCGACAGTGGCATCTTCGCCCTCGGTAGAAGTATCGACGGTGACGACAAACATATGGGTGTCTGTACAGCCATCGTCCAGAGAAAAAGAGAGGGTTTAGAAAGATCTATGTCAGGATGAATGTAGCAGAGTACATTAGACATCGTGATGCATACCTATTTGCGTCGTTGGTGTGCGACTTTTCAAAGCAAGCATGGCAGCGTAGTTGAGTGGGATCCTGTTTCTGTCACACCATTTCTTGAACGATTTGTTCCGCTCTACCATATCCGCTCCAAAACGTTCCATCAATACGCGATCCTCATCATTAGCAAATTTGCAAGACTCCTTGTGCGACCGCCAGTCGGCCCTCTGGCATTCCTTACTCTGTTCGTTTTTATCCACCGGTCATCACAGCATCAGCTGTTTTCTATTATATAATGTCGGATCGCGATGCAAAAGAGCTGGGCTTACACAGTAGTAAACAAACATGCAGGACCCGCATCGTCGCAGCCTCTCACCATCGCCAATACACTGATCGCAAGGACAAGGGCCCTCTAGCACTGCACCGTACGCGCCACGTTCTCTATGTATATCCCGCGAGTGTCTTGAACACTTGTAGCATCCGTGAAAGTGTCTGATTGTGGGTATCCCATTGAGGGCGGCAGGGCGGCTTTCGAGAAATGATGCAATGGTAGAGGGCATATTGACATGGAGAAACAGCTTTTCAGTGATATGGAGAGCTCTGGGTCAAGATGCGTAGTGGAAATGGAGTAGCTGGGTCAGAAGTCCCCTTGGGCAGAGTAACAAGCTGGCGCGCGAGTGGGGGTTGGGTTCAAGAAGCAGATCTAAACTGGAACAAGGCTTCGAGACACATAACGGCAGTTGCCGTTTTGCTTCGTCGACTCTGACGCCACTCGGACTTCAGATCTTCAGACCTAAGGTCGGTTCGACAAAGAACAAGCACTGACTTCGTTTTCACCGCAGAAATAACCACACGTAGCGAAGGATCATTCTGAGGACTCTCAGCTCATGTCCCGCGCACCAACATAGACGATGAACTTCAACCGTCTCCGAATCAATGTGCAGGCTTGCGCCACACCGCTAAGTATACATTGTAGCATGAGTAGGATACAAAAAGCGGATATTTATCCGGGTGCGGCCATGGTTACGAGACTGCCATACTGTCACGAGAGTCTAAGCATACACTGACAATACAAACGTCGGAGTCGCCCATACTACTTGACACCTGAGTCGGGTGTGCCTCGCGAACTGGTATGGGCATAAGTAGTACTGCACCAAATCTACACTCCTCAGGCTTCTCTAATCCACAGAACGCAGTGGTATTCTAAGTACACGGTTATAAGTACATGAGATATGATAAGTCGATCGAGAACACAAGATCGTATAATTATCAAAGTAATAAGAGGCGGCTCCAATACGCTGCAGACACCCGGACCTCGCTGAATCAATATTAACGAGCTCGAACAGGCAGCTAAATCATCCATAAATTACAAGGTATGTCGGAATAATTGCTTCGCTTCTGTAGACCACGAGCTCATCATAGTTCAGAGTGATTCCCGTCTCACCAAGAACCTGACGAGGGCTAAGATCAGTATATGATATAAGATTGTCCCTTGTAAAAATGCGCGCACCGAATCATAACCAGCAGGGGGAGATGTAGTAGTAGGCATGTCGATACGAGTCTTGTAACCTCGTCCGACGGCGACCTTGTTGAGGAGCATGGCCTTGTATGGCGAGGCGACTGCACCACCGGCGTTCTTGGTGTACGGATTGTCAGATCTACGTTAGAAGAGAGCCACCAGTGAGTAAGGAACGAGCGTCCAGGTCCATATGTCATACTGACTTTGAAGATGTAGAGGACGTATATAGTCCGCGTCCGAATCTGAAACAAAGCACATGTCAAGATCGCCTCCGGTCTAGGATCGCCACACCAAAGACTTACCTCCCCCAACCATGAGCCGCTCCGACGTGGCTGAGATCATAAGAATTACGAATAATATTGCATAGTGAGCATGATGCGTCCGTGCAGAGCTGAGTATGACCAGGGTCTCCGAGGAAGCATGTTCGTTTAGTTCTAAAGACAGTATCAGTGAAGTATCTATGGATTCAGCGCCTGTCAAATTACATACCCGTGCCATCGACGCTCTTCGTTTCCTTCTGACATGCTCTTGGACTTGAATTTACCGGAATCTTCCAGAGATTTTCTGTGGTGACACGTCAGTCGCAAAGGAGGCGAGTGAGATGGAAGCAGGCGCACCGGTATTTCTTGTAAGCATCTATGGACGATGCAGTGCCCATGATCTGATAAACCTTGTTTACTGGTGGGCATGGCGAGGCATGTCTCCAGGAGACTTCGAACTGATGGGCGACTACGGATGAAAAGAGCCTACATGAGATACCACTGGAAGGATATGCTAATAAGACTTCTCACCGCTGTGGTATCGAGGATCGCCGGCCGCAAGCTCGGCAATGCCAGGACTGCTGAAGACGTCAGTCATAGTGAACTTACGGCTAACGCAGACGATACGGCATAAAGTACGCACATTGTCCCAGCTGTGCTACCGTTCACTTGTCGATCTTTCTGGGCACAATTCTTCCCACAGTAGTCGAGCGTGGTACCGGAGTTCGAGTCGAAATGTTTTGGCTTCTCCTTACAGAACTATGGGGTCGTTAGATATTAGGCCAGGAGGCTGGATTGAAAATGTTATTAAATGGCTACAGACCTTACATGCCTTCGTTGCACAGGCCTTCCCGCAGAACGCAAACGTTTTGCTCCCGTCCGAGTGCACAGGCTTAGTCTTGCACATCTAGAAATAAAATATACATGTTGATAATGAACTCAACGAAATGCCTGATAATTGACGGACCTTGCACATGCCGCTTGCAGCAGGAGCATTGTTTGTGGCTTTAGCCTTCTCGGCACATGCCTTGCTACAATATTCGTGGACCTTTGCACCCTCCTTGAATTTGGGTCGCTGGTTGCAGACCTGACGTTCGCAAACGGCACATAAATGAATGAATCAGAGAGGAATGAGTCTTTTAGGAACCCACGGTGCAGAGGTTACCGGGTAAGGTTGCGGCAGCGGTAGTACCGCTGGTGGTGCTGGTGGTCGCACTAGCCTTCGCCGCGCAGCCCTTACTGCAGTAATCGTGCGCCTTAACGCTGTCCTTGAATTTCGGTCGTTGGCCACATTCCTGTAGAAGTGAAAGAAGGGATGAGACAAGTGATGACAAGAAAATAGAGACATCCATATTCGTACAACACAAAGATCGTTTGGCTGAGTAGGGGCGGTTATGGGGGCGGAGTTGTTTAGCGCTACTTTGGCCTTGTCGGCGCACGATCGGCCACAGAAATCAAGCGTCTGAGTTCCATCGTCGAATTTGGGGCGTAAACCGCAATACTGTAGAAGAAATCATGATCAGGAAAACTCATCGAGCAGCGAGCGAATGCTGAAGCGTGAGGATACGCACATTGCAGAGATTGGGTTGCATTGTCCGTAAGGGTGGGGTGGGGTTCAGATGGGGGGATGTTGGGTCGATGAGAAACGGTGGCGAGTGAGGGAAAGTACGCGAGGAAGTTGGTCAAGGGTGACGCGACCTCCGGGAGAAGAGCCCCTTTTCAATCAGATACTGCATCAAACGCATATTGTGAAACCATATATGGAAGTCGAACAGCCCAGAGCATCGTGTGAATATGGGGTGAAAGGCCACGTTCGGCGCGCACAAAGACCAAGGACGGGCTCCCCACGATAACAAAGGCCCTGGAAGACGGCAGACGAACACGCGCTTTCGTTGTGGTTGGGTAAATATGGGTGGCCATGCAGCTAGCGTGCGCACGACAACAAGGTAAAGCCTGTTAAGTGACAGTCCGCCCGGTGTCCAATAACAGAGAATTTATTCTGCGGACCAGAAGGGCTAACCCTTCACCCTAAATGACTTACTCGTGCTCGTAGGGCAATTAATGTCTGCCACAAAGCACGGGACTATAGTGCGGGCCCTTGCCCGACAAGAACCCTTTCTACATTTGATCAATCGATAAGTAAAGCCCAACATGAAAGACGATGGCCCGGAGCCTATGATTAACACCCTTCGTGTTGATGTGACTTTGACATGAATACCACGAGCCCCCGGCGTTATCACCAAACAATGATGAGATGACCTCGTGATACAGACCGTTTCGTATTAGCACTCAAACCAGACCATCCTGAGCATTACCCTATCGTACATTCGAGAGCAGTCATTCACAATAGATAGAAAGGAGATGAATAACGAGACAAACTTGACCGACTGGGAAGTAGAGATACAACGCATTGACATGAAAACGACTGAGAGACTCGTACACCATTGCTAGAAGACATCGCGGTATACATTCAGCACCCGGGTTGCTCTATTGTCTGCTGATAGCAAATAACTCACAAGTCAGACTTGAATTGTAAGTGCTCTGTGAGGCGATCAGCCATTCACAGGCTTGACAGCCGGAACGGTCGCTGCCGGCGGCGGCGCCTGTGCCTTGCTCGCACAGTATTTACCGCAGTAATCAAGCGTTCGTTTGCCATCGTTGAACTTCGGGCGTTGTCCGCAGACCTGCAAGCAGACAGACACGCGCGACGTGAGAAAAGAGCATACACGCCGAAGGAGATAAACGAGATAGAACAAGGCATACCGTGCAAAGGTCAGGTTTAGGTGCCGGTGTTACGCCATTCGCACTTTGCGCTTTTGTAGCGCAAGCTTTCCCGCAGAAGTCGTGAACCTTGTTACCGTCGTTGAACTTAGGACGCTGGCCACAAACCTGCGTCGCATGGAAGCAAAACCGATTGGGTTCAAGGACGTTCGACTGAAAACATGAAGGGAGCTCACTGGGCATAGGTTAGAGGCGGCGGGTGCACTTGATACTGCTGGCTTTGGGGCGGATGCGGGGTTGTTCGTCTTCGGAAGGGGGGCCACGTTTCCGCTAGTGGTGTTCGCCTTTGCCGCGCAAGCCTTCCCGCAATAATCATGCACCGTGGTACCATCATCGAACTTAGGCCGTTTGCCACATATCTGACATATGCATGCATCAGATGAAACACCGGTTATAGAAAGAGTGAGAGGGTGTGAACTGACGGTGCAAAGGTTCGAGGTGGCAGGTGGCACAGACACTATGGCTGGCGCAGCTGTGACGGGAACAGCAGATGGGGCGCCAGATTGGACCTGGCTAGCGCAGTATTTGCCACAATAATCATATGTTCTCGTCCCGTCATTGTGCTTAGGACGTTGGCCACAGACCTATATCCAGCACGTCTCGGAGTCAGCACGACGTCGATCACAAGACGGGGAGAAATTGACCGTGCAGAGGTCCGGTGTGTTATTAGAGGCGGGTACGGTGTTGGCGATGGGATTCGACACAGGAGCAATTGGTTTCGCTTGAGCCAGTTTGGCATTGACTGCACACGATTTACCACAATACTCAAGCATGACGCCGTTTTCGACGAACTTGGGTCGTACACCGCAGTGCTATAGGTAAAAAGTTAGGAACTTTCACTCTTTCACGTAAGTGAGGACACGCATACTTCGCAGAGATCGGTTTGCATGGTCGCGTGTCTGAGGGATGAACGAGGGTGGATGTCAGTAGCAGAAACACGAAGAACTAGCCGGGATGTGAGCAGGGCCGCTGTTAATGCCTTCCGGACGTTTATACTAATGCGATAGGCGTGACAAGGAGATATCTAAGAAACATCCGCATCCAACGTCAAGGAAGTCGAAGGATAGAATGTGGAGTTGGGTTCAGGGGATCGTATGATCGATTGACCATAACACCTTGCAGCTGCGCTACGAATAAGCCCAAAAACAGACAGGCACGAGAAGAATGCATCTACAGGTGGCATCACACCACGTTGAAATCACTGGCTAGTGAGCGGAACGAAGTGGTACATGATGCAACGGCACGGCTTTTAGTACCCTCGCGAAGTACTCACGGATACTTGCCTACAAAGTTTCCAATACTCGATGTGGATGATCCGAGCGCAAATGCAGGTGGCAAATGTGGACAAAAAGCAAGAGTCGTGAGTGTTGTCGGAAGTAGATAGATAGGATGGTGATGTTCAGCTGGTTGTGGCTCGGAACAGGAAAATATTGGACACAAGGCGTATTTCTAGCTCCGAAGTAATGTTTCAACTCCGACAGACGCTCTTGACTTCAACTCATCCTTTGTCCCTTTCTTCCGCGCCTCAACCTATCAAACGCCGCTCTCCGAATGCGAACACCTCCTTCCACACTTGAAATCGATTTGTTGTGCCTTGAAAGAGATGCGGTTGATCTACCATCGTCCTTTGTCTTACCCCAAACCACGAGGGTATCAACCCTTTAACCTGAGGCAACCACCGTGATCCGTCGCTTTCTGTCAGGACAATTAGTCGCATTATCCACGAGGCATCCTCGCCACACACCATGCATATGCAGTACGCCTGAAACATGAGCTCTGACCTGGCTCAAACATCATTCTCTAGAACTGCGGCTGAGCTTCCCAGATCACCCTCCTTGTCTGCATCCTCTTTCTATCAACTATTTGCGCCAAATATGTTGTCTTGGGCCATCGGCTCCCGGTCCACATCGTCTCACTCGTCTTCTCGTCAGGCTCCGCTGCCGTCATCCGATTCCATTAAACATCGCTCCTTACCTCAAGCTCGACTCTGCGAGGTGAGTCTCACGCGCCATTCTATTTCTATTTTTTTCGAGCAGCGATAGGTGCTCCAGAAGAGAGGATAGCGCTCATGACAAGTTTTATCTTAGCAATGCAGAGAAAGACCCGCCCTCTTCGACCCTAAAACGAAGAAATTCAGTCCTTGTAAGCTCCCTTTGTTTACCTCTTCCTTTCGACGACCATCGACACTTAGCTGCGAAAGTCTGCAGCAATACCTGTGCTACCAGCTGCGGCAGACCGAAGTCTGCTGAAGATTCAGCCGTGAGAAGTAGATTGTCTCCTCCACCGATATCTGCCCAAGCTTCGAATCCGCTCCAGCCCGTTAGTGACCTTTGCGAGGTGCGCTTACTGGTAGACTTATTCACGCCTTCTGTGTTGGCTGATACAAATGGCGTCACAAGAGATGTCGAAAGTATCCCAAATACAAGGACACAAACGGGTTCAAGTATTCTTGTACGTTCACTCTTTACTGTGCTACGCACGAATGGGCAAACTCATCCCTTCACATATGTAGATTGTGGGAGGGCTTGTGGTCGTCTAGCCTCGAGGCGATGGTCATCGCTGCCAAACTCGGCGAGCCAATCCTCCCCTGGACCGACTTCAAACGGTCTATGCGAGGTAAGACCAGCGCGTTCATGGTATAAGGTAGCTTATACGACAAACTCACCTCTTTGACTACAGGTCTGTCATAAGAAGCCAAAACATGTTGAAGCGAATGGACTCGTGCATCCCTGTCAGTAGTCCTATCTAATTACGTGAATCGAGCATGCAACTAAAATTGGTGTTTGCGATAGACTGTGGCCAGTATTGCGCGGCTCGACACCAGAAGGGCCACCAACCTCAAACCAAGCCCCAAGACCAAACCCTTTCGGCTCCCACTTCCGCCCGATCTTCACATCCTTCCCCAGCCACTCTTTTCTCCTCCAATCATCTACTTCATCCTTCCCACGCTCATAATCAACAGCAAGCGCAGACACCTGTCACACCGTCCCCGTCTACTCCCGCCGACGAACAGACCCTCACACACAATGGACCCGCATCGGCTCCAGTCGGCCACACTCCTCAGGAGTACATGGATCCTGACACCGATTATGACACCGCGCCCGAATCAAATGAGCCCGAAACACGGCCTATCCTGTTCTATCATCGCCACGAACCTCACTTTGGATTTACGAATTTCTCGGATCATCCTGTTGAGTATCATGGACGGGTATATCCGACGAGCGAGCATTTGTTCCAGTCGTTTAAGGTGCGCTGCTCTTACCGCCTGGCTCTTACAGTTCCAGCCAATGCTTATCGAGATGGAGTGCCCATGCTTAGTTCATGAAGTATCGGCCTGATATTGCGGAAATGATTCGGTCGTGTGGTACTTCAAGGGAGGCGTTCGATCTGGCCCGTCGGTATAAGGATGGTGCGATCTTTCCGCTCTCTCTGCGCCTTGCCCGACCCTCCTGACATCGGACTCACGACGTGTTCAGACGTGCGCTCGGATTGGTTGAAAGTGAACGTAGCGAAGGTACTTGTTTTGTTCACTCCCAACCCCTCACTTTACTCGGAACATACTTATTTATCACCGGCCGAAGATGGAGAAAGTCGTCAACCTCAAGTTCACACAGCATCCCTTATTGAAAGATGAACTCCTTGCTACCGGTGATGCACCACTCGTCGAGGTAAACCCCTTGCTACACGCCTCTCCAGCCACACCCTTCATATTGACATCGAACGATATCCAACGCTTCGTGATTGTGTTCCTCTTCTTCTCTCAGGCTGCCGCCGTGGACGCGTTCTGGGGCTACGGTCCGGATGGAAAAGGGAAGAACGAGCTCGGAAAAGCGCTGGTGAGATTGAGGAAGAGGTTTCGTGACGAGGAGAGGTGAAGTTAGCGGTGTGTTCACTTCGTAGGAGTCGCTCAGAGCAGGACGCTGACTGATGTTCGATTCCCTGCAACATATTTTTCCCATAAATAATAATTCCCTGTTTATATATTATAGTGCATGATGAGGGGTGTCGACACATGGCTATACTCGTACAGTAGCAATCGTACAAGCTTCATAGTGATAGAGCTCCAGCTCCAGTTTGAATGTCGTCAGCCGCTGTGTCACCAGCGAGCCCCAGGAGCAAGACAGATCAGCCGTAAACCACAAGATAGGTCGGGATGATTGCCTCGCTTTCGTAGACTACGAGCTCGTCGTGGTTCAGGGAGATACCAGTCTCACCTAGGACCTAAGGTGGGCAGGGTCAGCATGTGAAGAAGGATGAGAGTCTGGCATGATGTGAAGAAGGATGAAAGTCTGGCATGATGTGAAGAAGAATGAGAGTCTGGCATGCCATACCGAGTGGTATCCGGTAGGAGGCTCTGTAATCGTGGGCATATCTACGAGAGTCTTATATCCACGCCCGACAGCAACCTTGTTGAGGAGCATGGCTTTGTATGGAGAAGATAGTGCAGCTCCAACGTTCTTGATGTATGGCTCGTCAGATCTACACCGTTCAGAAGTCACTGGTAAGTCAGGAATGATGACGCAGGTGCAAGCTTATACACACTTGGAGGATGTTGATGATGTGTATAGTCCGCGACCGAATCTATAGGGACGTATGGGTCACGATTGCAACTCATCTTCGACCACTATGGGGCACTCACCGTCCCCAACCAGAAGACCCTGGCTTGAACGTTGACCATCGATGAGCAGTGCCAATACGGTCGAGATCGTAAGAGTCACGAATAATACTGCATAGTGAACACGACGCGTCTGAGCAGAGCTGAGTATAGCCAGGATCACCGAGGAAGCACGCCCGCTTTGTCCTGCATGCGTGACGATGCAGACGTTAGCGAAAACTCGAAGCATTCAGCGCTTTCAGAATGTCTACCCGTGCCATCGGCGTTGCTCGTTTCCTTCTTCTAAGTTCTTGGACCGGAAATGACCGTTGTCCTCCAGAGACTTCCTGCAACGATAGGTCAGTCGTGTAGTGAGCTGGTGAGTAAGTTTGCAGTCGGCGTACCGGTACTTATGGTATGCATCTACTGATGACGAAGTTCCCATTATCTGGTAAATCTTCTCAATGGTGGGGCATTGTGACGCATGTCTCCAGGAGTCCTCGAACTGATTGGCGACTACGAATGGAGGGGATCTTCGTCAAGGCTTCTGGAAAGGTGCACCGTGAAGGTATCTCACCGCTATAGTATCGAGGATCGCCGGGAGCAAGCTCTGCAATTCCAGGTCTGCCAGAAGGGTTGGCTATAGGGAACATATTAAGCAAATGATGAAGCAGAAAGTACTCACATAGTTCCAGCTGTCTTACCATTGACCTGCCGGTCTTTCTGAGCACATTTCTTCCCGCAATAATCAAGAGTGATTCCTGATTTGCTATCGGTATGCTTTTCTCTCGCCTTACAGAACTAGGCGATTCAGACGTTAGATCGGACGTCATAAATCTTGGTTGGCCAGGATAAAACGAACCTTGCATGCCTTCGCTGCACAAGCCTTTCCGCAGAAAGCGAACGTCTTGTTCCCCTTCGAGTGAGCTGGACGAGTTTTACACATCTAAGAAAGAAATATATTGGTTGCGAACAAAAGTCGGTGGAAGCTTTTCTGCCGGCAAACCTTGCACATGCCACTCCCAGCAGGAGCATTGTTAGCAGTCTTCGCTTTTTCAGCGCATGCCTTGCCACAATACTCGTGGACCTTAGCTCCCTCCTTGAACTTCGGACGCTGATTACAGACCTGTGACCGAGAGGATCCTGTCGATAGCAGTATTGAGGAGTTAGAGAAATCCATGCTTACGCTGCAGAGATTGCCGGAAGAGGCTACCGGCGTTGAAGTCCCACCGGTATTCGCCTTCGCAGCGCATTTCTTTCCGCAGAAATCGTATGACTTGCCAGCGTCTTTGAACTTCGGTCGTTGGTTACAAACCTTGAAAAGTCAACGAGTAAAATGATAAGAGCGATACTAGTAGAATGAATCATAGTCGTACAATGCAAAGGTCGTTTCCGGGGGCGGAATTATTTGACAACGCTTTCGACTTGGCGGCACAGGACTTCCCACAGAAATCATGAATGTGATTTCCATTCACGAACTTCGGGCGTACCCCGCAGTACTAAGGAAGAAGTCAAATCTTGGATAGGATACCACTGTCGAAACATATACGTACGTCGCAGAGATTGCGTTGCATTGTCGTCCGGTAGAAGTGAGCAAAATCCTATGATGGTGGGTCGATAGAAGGAGGCGGTAGAGGAATAAGTGCGGTCTGTGGTCAGGGCAACATTGTCAACGCCTGCATCAGACCCTTTTCAAACAGGTACCCCGCGTATTAGAGGTGCCAACCTAAGTCGAGCTCAGGCTCTTCGTCTGCACAGGTCGGCACAGGGTGTTTAGTGCTCGTAGGACTTGTAAACCATGTACAGCATCGAAGTTCCCCATGCAGGAAACGATATCCTTCGCTAGTACGTGATGAATCGATAAGATCCCGCTATGAATGATGCACCATCAACACATGATACGCATGCTTCACTTTCTTCGTTGGAAAATCCCCAAGGATACCTTTATGTGGCTCTCAGGCGAAGTACAACCATCATGCGCTATCGTAAACGAGGAGCTGAGCTCCGAAAAGTCGTGATCAAGGCGGATTCGCACTCCCAGAGTATTTAATTCTTCGAGGTACATCGAGGTAACAAGAGTGGGGAAGAGCGAAGGTCGGCCGACCATAGAATATTTAATGACCACAGAGGGTATGGAGATAACTCACGTTTCACCGAGAGAGGGGGCTGTGATCTCTCATCGACGTCGATTGAAGAGAGATATTGTTGAGGTCGGTAAGGTAAGGTAAGGTAAGGTAAGTTTATTCGGGGTACAAGTTTGAGTCGGGTAGTGACCGGTGGCGTTCCTCGATCAAGATTTCCAGCTCCGACACAAGGCTATACTTATGTGGGTAGCCAACGTTCAGCGCCTTAGCACCCCCGATCCAACATCCACTCAGGGTAGCCTATATCGCTCAATTCCAGCTCAATCCTCTATGCGATTGAATTTAGTGCGCTGTGCGACATTCCCCATCATCTCTGTTTTTTTTCTGTCAGCCTCAACGACGAAACTAGCTCTCGGAAGGCTCATACTTGAGGAATTCGCCATGGCCCCTTATCCCCAGATTTCTCCTCGAACCCGTCATGAGACCTCTGCGCCAGAGACTTCTCATACGAAGGATGGCTGGAACATGAGTTCTGAACAGGCTCAAACATCGATGTCTAGTCGAGCTGACCGCTCCAGAAAACCTCCCTTGTCCGCGTCCTCTTCGTATCGCCCGTCTGCCCCAAATATGGACCAGAATACTCGGTCTCGATCGCGGTCTCGGTCTAATAGCTTTCAAACATCGCAATCTCACGCGTCCTCTACTCAGACTCAGGCTCCCTCGTCAATCCGCCGGTCTCACTCCTCTTCTGCTGAACATCGCTCCTTGCCTCAGACAACATATGTCTGCGCGGTAAGTTATCGCCACCATCACTGCTTTATTGAGATTCCAGAAGCCATGGGTGCCTGATGAGACCTTTTGACTGACATTTGTGTCGAGTCTAGGTATGTAGAGAGTGGCCCGTTCTCATCGACCCACAAACCAACAAGCCCAATCCTTGTAAGAATATTTTATTCATTCTCACACTGACAACCTTCAGTGACGGTTATGCCTACGAACAGACTGTAGTGAGGCATGTGCTCAACGAGCCCGTAGACCTAGATCTGCGGAACCGACGCCGAGAGCCAGACCCAAGTCTCCCCCTTTCCTAGCCGCTCAGAGCTCAACCCAACCGCAGCCTGAGAGCGACTTATGCGAGGTCTGTTTTGCCTCCTTATTCATTTAATCTGCGATGGTGACTGATGTGGCTGGGCTTGAAGAGATGTCATAGACGTCCGAAGTTCAGAGATGCGAGCGGAAAACAGTATTCCTGTATGCCCATTCCATGCATCATCGCACTCTGTATCTTGTCATCGAGTGAGACGGATCCTATGCATACAGATTGTGGGAAGACTTGTGGTCGGGCTGAGAAGTATTGGCCCTCACAGCCTACCTCTGCGAACCAATCTTCTCCTGGGCCACCTCCGTTGGATCTATGCGAGGTAAATGATACGTTCCTGCTCTTATACAAGTGCCGCAGATGGCTCATGCCGTCACCTTAGGTCTGTCACGCGAGGCCCAAATACGTGGAGGCCAACAATTACAAGCACAGATGTTGGTTTCTGTTTTTCGCGTTACACACTGTCCCCTTCGAATCTGAAGTTCCATCATCAGATTGTAGTGTACATTGCGCCACTCAGGATCAGCGGCGCTACCGGCCTCAACCTAAGCCACAAGATCAGACGAACCCGCCTCATACTGCCGTTTGGCACCACCCCCCTGCACCACCCAATACCCCTGCCAACACTCCTTCTACCTACTATCGGGTCCGGCATTCAAGTAATCCCCAGTATCCAGAAATTACCCAACATCGAGATGCCAACTACAGCCACCACCACACTCCCATCACACCAACCTCTGCTCCTCCCGCTCCCGCACACGTCTTTGTCTACAGCAATGAAACCGCTCCAGCTTCTGCCGGCCGTGTTTTCTTCGAGCCCGAGGACACCACGATTGACCATAATGAGCTCAAAAGGCTCCCTATCCTCTTTTATCATCGCACTGAACCTCACTTCGGGTTTACAAATTTCTCGGCCCATCTGGTAGAATATGATGGCCGTGTCTATCCAACGAGCGAGCATCTGTTCCAGGCGCTCAAGGTGCGTTCATTTCCTCACTATGCGTCCGTACTTAGATGAGCAAGGGAAGAAATGTTGATTGACTTTTGGTGGCGATGCACAGTTCTTGAGACACCGACCTGACATTGCAGAAATGATAAGGACGTGTAAGACCTCACGGGAGGCGTTCAATACGGCACATCGTTTCAAGAACTGCACGTCCCCTCTTTCCCTTGTTCTCTGCATCTCCATTTCGCTCATCTTGTCTGTTATCATTCATGTGATATGTTCAGATGTGCGCTCGGATTGGTTCGACGTGAATATTCGGAAGGTACGTGCACTGTTCTTCGTTGTCTTTCTTCAATCAGCATGTACAGGGTTACGCTTCGTCGTTCCTAACGAGGTCCGTCTTGTCTGCCATTCTCGGTTCAGATGGAGGAAGTCGTCCGTCTCAAGTTCACTCAACATCCCGCATTGAAAGAAGAGCTTCTCTCCACGGGAAACGCCCCGCTCGTCGAGGTTTGGTTTCTTCCCGCTCTGCCTTCTGTGCCTAATATCATACTGAACGAGCTTTGCATTCGTTGTGGGGGCGTTCCTTTTCATTATTACAGGCCGCCGACGTAGACGCATTCTGGGGTTTCGGGTCGGATGGGAAGGGGAGGAACGAACTCGGAAAGGCGTTGATGAAGCTGAGGCAGAGGTTTCGGGCTGAGGATGGACGAGAATAGTGGTGAGCGTCGATCGCTGACCCTTTCGAGTGTTGCATAAAACAATACTGCCATGAGAGCCAGTGTCAAAGGATAAACTCGTATTTATAAAGCGACGTACTTTGTACTCACAGACAGTCGTTGTACGACGATGGTGCCGTAGGTGGTTGTTAAAACATCTCCGAACCTGAAATAAAGCGAAGAGCCACCCGCAGAAAATTAGCCTACTTCGTTATGAGCTGTAGACCTATCGACAATGAAAAGTAGAGTATGAAAGAGAAGCAAAAAGGTTTGCGAGAGGCACGGCCCCCACGCGCGAACAGACGACATCGCCCTGATCTCCTACGACGAACTGGGCGGGACAAGCTGCTGGCTGCGGAATTGCTTCCCTGGCCAATCAAGGTCCGATTACTCCAACTCTTCCCACGCGCTTCCGCGGCGAGAGAGGTGTGGACGCCAAAGTTTTCTGGAGGGGACGGTCTTGAACTCGGCGCACGTGAAAGTGATTCCGTTGAGTGCTGACACCGCCTCACATTCCCGGCTTTGGGCCGCTACAGCCACTACACCATTGTACAGTAAGTGGTAAGGAGCGCACCATGGATATATTCACATCACACGTTCGTATATTCTCTCACCGGCTAGTTCCTCAAAAATAACAATGATGTTTTTTTGACGCGGTGGCAGAAGGACAAGGAAGAGGTCAAATCTAACAAAATAGCAATCCCTTCTTGATAAGGCGCCACCAGGGCTCGAACCTGGGTTACAGGAAATCACGTGAGTCAGAATCCTGTGTACTAACCACTATACGATGGCGCCGTGCTCGCACTTGCGCAAAAGATGCTCAACGATGAAGCTGACGACGAAGCCGCAGGCAGAGGAAATCGAAAACAGTCGACCTGCCTGAAGTACTTATACTCTCGGAGGTAAGTAGACACTGAATTACGTCGAGTAGAAAATCCGGAGGAAATCTGTTGGTGGTGCGACTTAGCCGCATAGAGACTCCTCCGGAACGACATTCTTCTTGAGTCTTAGACACCAGTAACTACTATACGATAGCACCGTGTGCATTAATGTCAGCTAGTAGGTGTAGATGCAATTTAGTACAAGGCGTGTGGTTAAGACCAGGCTTCACACAGCGGCCAAGTCGTGTATGGAGATACATTAGCACTGCAGGCGACAAATACAACAGCTGACGGCCCCTCGTGCGTGTGGATTGACCGCCCCGTCCAAGAAAATGATATAATGAAGTCAATCGTTCGTGGTGATACCCCCTCATCTCATCCCGAAGTCATCTTCATGCTTTAAAGAAATCCCACCATTTCCTCCCTGTATTCCTTGCGCTCGCGCCACCGCTGGGTAGCCATTCGTCCGCGGGAGGTATCACGACCTGTGAAGAGGCAAGGAACGTATTTTGATTAGCTACTGTTCATTTTGCAAAGTCGAACGGAAACGGAGGTGGAAGAAGCGGCGTACTATAGGTGCCCATTTAGACTTCTTCAACTCTTTCTCGAGTAGTTGGAGGTTGTAGATGTTCGCTTTGAACGCAACGTCGAGGAAGTCACCTATACCTACGGTATGAGACTCAAAGCTAAGTAAGAGTGAACGATGGACATACCAAGAAACGGAACGATCCCAATGAATGCATCCGCAATCAAATACAAGACCTATACCAGCTGCGACCTTAGCCACCTCCACACCGCAAGATATCACGAGTAGGAGACGCACCATCATGCCTACGACGGAGAGAGGTATCCCAAATAACATGCTCAAGAGTACCTGGTACAGTCCCAAAAACGTTCCGAGAATATCACCAACTCCTGGGAGTATAGCACCGATGACGGAATCGAGACCGAATTGCATCTGAGACGGCACAGACTTGAGGACAGGAATGAACGGCGAGAGCCATTCGGAGGAAGCATCGAGTAGATATGCTGTTGTTCGGACTGTTTTGCGCACGGGTGTTCGGTGATCAGTAAATGAAAGAGTTTAAATGCTGAAAGCGATGCGTACTGTGGTTATAGAGCTTCTGAGCCTGAGTGCCAAAATCAGCGATGTCAGTGACACGTTCATTGAAAGAGAGTTAAATAGGTCACCTCTGCGGGCGACTGTGCTAATGGATGGAATAGATTCTTCACCTTAGCTCGTAGACTCACCAGGAAATCCCTGTGCAAAGAACATACGTTTCCGATAATTGCAGTACCACTGCGGCTTGAAGTTCGGTGGCGGACCTTCTCGAGCGCGAGTTCCGGTGCTGTTCATAGCGATTCAGCAATGTAGAAGAGAGCTTTGTCGATAGTATACGAGGTTAAAGGTGTCTACGTGGTCGTAGTCGAGAACAAGATGCAGAAACGTTGCAAGTCCACCTCCACACAAGCGCGTTGGCGAATACGACGCCATCTCAGAAATCCCAAAAATCTGAGATTGGCTGGGAAGGATGGTCTTCGCCGAGCGCAAAGGATATCGCCGGTCAGCGATGACCTCCGGTGGTCCTGGGAATTCCATCCTGTTGCGGTAATGGACACCGGAGGTCATCGCATGCCTTGCCGGTCAAACATGGACTCTTATGGTCATCGCTTCACCATCGTGGCCTAGTACGCTCACTGAAGCTCAAGGTAACACCAGAACCGTCTAAAAATGGACAGGGGAAAACATTGCACGACCACGAGAGGTCAGTTTCAAGACCTGTTGCCGGCCGTATCCCGTTCTTGTATTTGCATGCGATCTACTCATTTGTGGCCGCTCTTCGTGGCTACCGTTAGATATTCAATGGGAATGAAAAAGACTCTAGAATTTTAGTACAAGAAATTTTACATTGTGTGGCAGGGCACACAGCCTATCCCTGCGTCCTCCTACGGTGCAGAGTCGTAAAATGCAGCTGCTCGACGGCGTCGAAGATAGCTAACGTTCCCTGTGCCGGCGCTTCAGCCAATCGGAACAGTCGGAAAGTGATCCTGCCTCGGTCCGGCCTCGGTAAGTCTCAGCCCGTTCCAAGATTTCCGGATCTTGACCTCGTCCTCGATGCTCCGGGACGCGAGCGAGTATATATACTCGCGCTCTGCTCATCGACGTTCCCTTTGTATCTTCTCCAGGCCATCAGTCCTTTGTGGGTACTTGTTCTCTAGCTGTCATCCCTTGACTATAGGTTAGGGCCGGTCTCTCTCGGGTTCGTCTGTCTCTGGATTTCGTGACAATCTGTGTCAGTTGTGAGTTCTACTCTGGTCTTGTGTTATGGCTGCCTCTGTGTATCTGTCAGATCTGGTGCTTGCTCATGGTTTTTTGGCTGCTTCTCGGGTAATTTAAACTGTAGTGTAATAGTCCTGTACTAATTTTCTCTTAATACAATGTTTATTATCATCGTGACAGCCGAATGGGCCGTCAGCGTGAGCATTCAACAATTTGAGTGAATATCAAGATTTAATATTACTATGATTTGAGATGCTGTGCCACTACATAGAGAAATGGCCATTCATGGTCATCGATGGCCATGTAATTTCATTATGGTTTGCGTTGGCCATGCCCCAGCGAAATGGGCTGACATGGTCTTCCCTGGTCGGGCATCATCCGACGGGCAATGATGGACAAGACCAACGCATTCTGGTCGAACTTATACCTGGAAGGTTTACTTGACCTGGACCGACCTGCCAATGTCTTGGTTCACCGTTGCGGTGTGAGATGATGTTATATTTTTTCGCGGGATCTCTCATGATTGTGCTAGTTGTGCGGTGACCTTTCCTGTTCCGCTTTTCAGGATTTCCCTGATGGCGTGACGTCATTTCCAAGTAGACGCCCAATGTGCGCGGGACCAATAAGCGCCCACAACCTTCCTTTTCGAACCATCTGAATGTTTTCCGGCTTCAAGTTCCTGGAGAGGACTGCGACACAATGACGAACCCTCTTCCACAAGCAAACCATTATATACTCTTCTCAATATCATCGAAAACTGCACCAGACGCTCTTGTCATTCGCAAGGAAATCGAGACTTCTCTCTCTACATCTTTCGGTCTCACAGCGTCGAACATACACGTCGACGTCCTTTGGGTATCCGAGACGGGCGACAAAGCTGTTATTCGCACAGCTCCCCAGTGAGTTCATTCATCTTGCGTCCATATTCATGGTGCTCAACTGTTTTTTTTTTTGCAAAGTGATGCGGCAAAAGTGATGGCAGCCGTCGCCATCTCAAACTCGACCACGACGATGTCGGTTCTGAAAGAGTCGCCTTTTTTGCCCTCTCTTCTGGGCGATACATCGACCCTACCGTTCTAACGCCATATCAATTATCAAGCTTTCCGATATTCAGCAGAACCTAAGTTGGATGGTCCACTGTTCTCGGAGCGAGCATGACAGCTCTTTGTATCGACTTTTCTGCTTAACGAGTGGACCCTACTTTGGTTGCACTCCAATAAACTCGTATATATCCGTGATGCAACGGAATTCTTCCCTCTTTCCCGGTTATTGTCCGAATGTGATGAAGAGCTTCAGAGAGGTGAGTTGCGCACCAGTCTCCCGCAGGTAGCCCGAGTGGTGTTGACGATCGGTCGTTCAACCTGTCTTGCCTACAGCAGCCTCAGCACTATGACATTTATACGGCAGTTCAGGCGTTTGGTCTACTAAAGACATTGCTATGTAGTACAAATGTGCTATCAATTACGCTATGAGTATAGTCCTTGCGTATATAAACTTCCAATACTACTGGGCAAGAAGATCAAGAAAGTCGCTTCGAAAGAGTAGGAGCAGTAGTAATAAGTACTGTATCTCGTCCGGTCATCTACCTCGCCTCGCCGTCTCAAAACAGCTCTCAAATTCTCTCCAACTCGGTCCAAAGACGCCCGATTTCCTCCATGGTCTTTCCCATCACTTCCCACCTCTTCGTTACCAGTCGTCTGTGGTCGTTCACGTGGTTCCACAGGCTTGTTTTCCTGAACTCCGCCATCTTCGCCACGTCCATCAACCTGCTGATCTCCTTCATGTTCTCCGTCGCATTTTGAACCAGTTCCCTTCCCTTCCTCGCCTCATGACTATGAGTATTTTGGTCCCGTCGATACTTGATATCATCCAGGATCTTTTCCTCCATCCCATACACCTTCTTTTCTATTTCCTTCGCCTTTCCACTCGCTTCTTCAGATTCCTTCTTCGCCGCTTCCGCCATTCCTTCCAGCCTCTTCACGGTCTCCTGAATCTGTTCTGCTTCTCCGTTCAACTGCTTTATATACGCTCTCTTCTTGTCGATCTGCGTGCGCTTCATGTTCCTCAAGTTCGACACGTCGACGCCTGTGTCTCCAGTAACAACGAATGGGAATGGCGCTGGTGCAACCGCCACCGGATGAACCGGAGGAGCTGCCAGTATTTTCGGCAAGCTCGCTCTGGAGACATTTTCGGCTTTGGAAGTGGGAGCTTGGCAGCCCACGAATGGTTCTACGACTGGAGTTCGTTCGCGTCGCGGCGCGGCGGTGTTACTGGTAGTAGCCCGAGCCCGGGTGACCTGAGCTTTCTTGATCTGACGACGAAGATATTCACGTCGCTCCCCTCGACTCGTCTGATACTTTATGGGACGTGGTGTGTTCGATTTTCGTTTGTGCGTAGATGCCGTCGCTCGCGCACTCGATGCGCCAGATTTTGCTTCACTAGCGAGCGGTTGGAGTTGTTCGCGAGGCTCAGGGCTGATAGTTCGAAACCGAGCGGTGCGAGTGGAAGAGGATCCTCGGGGAGTCGCTAGTATGCGCGAAGGGAGGGTGGACGTCGATGATGCATCAGAAGAATAATCGGGATTTCCGTTTCCTGAGGTCGAATGCCAGTTCAGCATTCTTTGTGTTTTTGTGTCGTCGTGGTAGGAAGGAGGAGGCGCGACGACTGGAATTTTGCTGGTCTGAGCGCCCATCTGTCTGAGGACGTAAGTTCTGTGTTCGTTTTCGTACGGACGACTGTCAAATTTGCCGTCGGCGTGATCGACGGCGACGCCACCGTTGTGGCGTTGGTGCGACTTACTCGTATGGCAGAGATGCGATAGTCTATGATTATGCAGGTATACAGAGCAATATAGGATACTTTAGTGTAAATATACATCGCGACGAGCGCCCCCAGTGACCCCTGCCCACAAAGCACGCATCCTAGTGCAAATGCCCTGCCACATTAGGCCTCATATGCGACTGCCTCTTCATTTCATGCATCGCCCTCGGGGGACCTTTCTTCCCCTTCCCACCACCAGCCCGCTTCATATTCTTCGCCCTCAAACAGAAATCCATCGCCTTCTCCGTTGCGAACCTCAACTGCTCCGCCTGGTGGTTCGAGAAGAACGCAAGCGAGCGATGCATATGCAGCCAGCTGTAAGCCACCAACACCTTATGCAAGCTCTCCAGCTCGATCAAGTGCTGCTGCCACCCGGTCTTCATGGTTATCTCCTCCTTTATCTTCCCTTCTGGGTCCTCCATGGCCTCCAAGACCTGATTAAGAAGCGCAAGGATACGTTGGGCATGAGGATCCGTCTCGAGTAATCTTCGGAGGTCGACTTTGGCCTGATCACGGTACGTCGCGTATATAGAACCCAGGATATCGCGCGTCACGGCATCTTGAAACGGGAACGGGCACAGCGACAACATCTGGCGTTCCGAGATCGGGAGATCCTTCGCGATACTATCCACGAATTCGACGAGGTTCGTGCTCTTATCGTTCGCGTCCATCATCTCGAAACAGGTCGGTACGACGGAAGCGTAGATGAGGGCTTCGCGGGCGGTGGAGAGCGTCGTTCCCGGAGGAAGTGCAGCCATGACGCCTTCGAAAACGCCTACGAGCCAGCCGACGCGGGCGTATCTGAGAGGAACGGATGGTGCGTTGATGGCCTCTCGAAGGAGGGGGAGGTCCGCTGGATGAAGGGTTGTGGCGATTCCGCTGGCTTCCATGCCGAAGCGGCCGGCGCGACCTGCGATTTGTTTGGTTTGTGAGGTAGACAGTCGCGTCTCCTTTTCGCCGTCGAATTTGGCCATGGAAGAGATGATGACGCGGCGAATTTTGCTGTAGAGTGAACACAGGTCAGTCCACGATCCTACAGGCTAGAAAGAGCCGGGATTGAGAAAACGTACAGGTTCAAACCCATACCGATAGCGTCACTTCCGATGAGAACGCCAATTTCGCTGTCCGGATCGTTGAACTGCCTCGCTTGCTCGTTCCTCATCTCAGGCGGCAACCTCCCATACGCCACAGCACACTTCAACCCCGTCTTCTTCTCCACCGCATCCTTCAACTGGAAGATCTTCGACCTCGAAAACGTAACGATACAATCCCCCTTCGTGACCTTCGTCAAATCTCCCTCCAAGCTCTTCTCCGCAACCTCCAACGGCGAGAGCCGCTCATACCGATTAACGATCAGCTCGTCGCCCGTCATCTTCGCCAACGCCTCGATAATCGGCACAGCCGTATCCTCGCCACAGAGATGCAACTCGGATGCCGCGGTCCCAAGAACGGCAGCAGTCCAAGAATGTCCCCGCTCAGAGTCGGTGATCATCTGAATCTCGTCAATAACGACGACGTCGTACCGTTTCGAGGTGGCGATCATCTCGATCGTGCAGGCATACAGATTCGCGTTCGGGATGAGCTTCACGTCCTCGCCTGTGATCATACTGCACGGTCTGATATATCGTGGATCTCCGACTTTACGAATGGCGGGTTTCGTCTCGCCGGCGGGGATGTCGAGGTTGGACGTATCGTCTGCGAGTTCTGGTTGGGCTTCGGGGTCGATTCCGGCGGGGACGATTTGGCCTGTATTCAGACGTTCGTAGATCTCGTGTGCTAGGAGACGCAGGGGACCGGCGTAGGCTCCGACGGGTGCGGCGGCGAGAGCTCGAAGGGCGCGGTATGTCTTTCCGCTATTCGTAGGACCGACATGCATGATAATTTTCCGCCGCATGACCCTCGCCTCTGGGAAAGAGTCGGCAACGGTAGTAAAATCGACTGCTCTGTGGAGTTTGCTGATCAAGTCGCGCGTGCCCGACGATGAGAGGGATTGGATGAACTCTGCGCGGTGCGGTCGGGCGGCCCAGGAGTAGAAGAGTGTCGTCAGAGTTCGGTCGAGTTGAAATAGGTGTCGTTGTGGGGAAGAGAGGTCAGTGGCGATCCGTGCGACCTCTGCTGGGCCGTAGTGTTCATTGTTCCGGAATGCCTCTCCGGAATTGACGTCCATCGCAAATGCTTTGAGAAGCTTAGGCAGGTATTGTGGTTCTATTCCAAAGCGAATGAGCCGTTTCCTGACGACGGGGCGGTCCATCCATGCTGTGACGCGGGATTTGAGCAGAGGGAAGACATCGTCGGGTGTGACTTCGGCTCTTGTTGGCTCCGCTGCTATTCCAAGAGCGTTATGCGTCGCATGATGAGTTGGAGGAGAATGGTGATGTTGTTGGTTGTGGTCGGTAAAAGGCAGCTGCCGTGGGCGATGTGGCGTTGTCACCTGTGTGGCATAACGGGCAATGTGCGTGGTTCGACGGGTGATACGGCGAGCAGAGGTGGAAGCGAGTGATGAAAGTCGTTGCATACGGCAGTGAAATGTTGCTTAATCGCGGTCTGTGATGCGATAAGTTAGATTGGGACGTCGGAAATTCGAAGGCGATACACGGAACAAGCGACCGGTTGGTGGACTGTGGTATAGGGCGAAGTAGACGTCTCGTGAGGGATTGTATCATGCGCTACTCACCTAGCTACTTCACCTAGCTCCTCTTCCGCTGAAATAGCGATAAGTCAGGGAGTTGTGGCCTGAATATATTTGTCCGAATGTATCAGGATGGTAGAGTCTACTACCGCCACACGACGATTCAGACGCCTTGGCAGATTGTGAAATAAGACTAAGTCAGCATGAGGTACGAACAAAACGAAAGCGAGCGCACCTATATCCCTACAAATGGTCCCAGTCCTGAACCGAAGAAATGTAGAATGAAGTTGAGCGTCACGCGTAAGTGGAAATTCTCGACAAGTCGCGATCGGAAAACGCGCGAAGGTCTGTTTGTACTTGTTAGGATTGAAAGCCTCTGCCTTCCTTTCCTGGCTTTTCTGTCTTCGCGTACGGCTTCCCAAAGCCCACCGCGACAAGCAGCCAGCACTCTCCCTTGCGAGAGCAACATATCCACCCATGTACCCCACCATGTCGGTGTTGGGTGCCTTACCCTCCCGTCTTGCTGCCCTTACACGACTTCGCAGCCAAGTCTTCCAAACATCCTACAACCCCTCCAGCATGCGAACCGGTGCGAAGTACCTCAAACGTCGTCTTCGTGGACCCTCCATGCTCGAATACTACCCAGAACAACCCGATATCGCCGCTCTTATAAGGCAGTTCCCTGACGAGGGTTTGAGGAATACAGCAGAGGAGACGAGGTTGCAGGATATCATTGACAAGAAGGCTAGAGGGAAAGGGACACCGAAGAAGGCGAAGACGAAGGGTGAGTCTTTCATCATGGTTTATTCCCTTGCTCAAGTAATGTGGTCGCTGACATGTCACTTATCTCTTCAGCGGACTCGCGTCGGTCAGCGAAGAAGCGGTAGATGCTTGTTCGTTGTCAGTCTGCTTTTGTGTTGTATCATATATCACTCGGCGCTTTCGCCTCGTCGTAATCGCTTTTGCTTTGCTGGATTTTCTTCTCTCGCTGCGAGAGCACACGTGCGAAGCGTTTTTATTTCTAATCAAGTCAGGTATCCTCGTCACTGTCAATATCGCGGATACCGTCCGTCATCTCAACCTCATCATTCTCCTTCATCGCACTCCCCATCATTCCACTTCCGATTCCACCCGCTGTCAAACTCGAGTACGCATCAACATCTCCCTGGCCCATCTCTTCCACTTCCAGCTCCCTCAACGTCCTCTCGAACAACCTCTCAAACCTCTCCCTCAGCCCTCGGCTCTCCAAAATATCCACATAATCTGACGCGCTGCCTTCACCGAGCACCTCCTGATCTCCCAGCTCTTCTATCCCCGAATCTTCTTTGGGTGACAGCCCTTCCAACCACTCATCAATCCTTGCTGCGCCTGTGATCAACAAACTCTTCAATCTCGTCTTCTCCGTCTGCGTCAACACCTTCGACTTCTCTCTCTCACTCTTATTCTCCGGCCCTTTTCGTTCTTCACCACGACGACTTCTCCCCTCCTCGTTATCCCCACCAACCCCTCCAGCCCGAATCCCACTCGACCCCGACCCATCCAAAATCGCAGCCTCCCAAGGCACGCCCCTCAACACTCCCTCCCACCCGACATCCAAAACCCTCAACCACTCCAATAAACCATCTAGATCCTCTACCCGGGGCTTGTAACCTACGATCGCAGTCATGACGTCGCCCGTGAGTCTTAGGAGGAATGTCGTCCGGAGGGAGATGGCGGATGGTTTGAGGGGTGGGATTTGGAGGATTAGAGAGAGGATGGGGGTGGCGAGGGAGAGGTAGGAGGGGAGAGTTTGGAGTGGGGAGGTCGGGTCGGAGCTGGAGGGGTTGGAAAGTGATCGTCAGTTCTGAAGCTCCCCTTTGCATGTTCTTCGTTGCATGGAAATAAAGGGGGGATAGATCGACGCGACGAGAGTAGGGAAAGAAGCATACCGTTTCTTGAAACCCCTCATCAACTCCATGAACCGCTCCTCCAAATAATCCACGAGTCTTCGTTCTTGTCTGACCGTCAATGCATTTCGCTGCGGTCTTTCCTCGATGCTCATTTTGTCTAAATTTGTCGAGATTATAGCTTCGCCGTCGTTTGATGACGCTCTGCCCTGTGGTGGGATGAATCCTCCGTCTGCTGACATGATGGCTGTTGTTGGTTCGTATGCTAGATGGCACAGGCTCTGGTTGGATGTGTGTTGGGAGATAAATGGAACAAAATGCTTGTGTATTTGGCTCTGGTAGTTGGAAGGCAGGATCTGGTGGCGGTCAGGAGCAGGTGGCAACTTGCAAGTTCGAGTGGAAGTGAGCTCAAGCGCCCGTTCCGGGTGTTCGGCGCCGGTTCGGCGCCTAGTGCCATGATTGTGGCCCAATAGCTCAGATTTGGCTCAGATGGCATTTCTTCGCAATCTCTCTGATTAAGTACCACGATAGGCTTTGGCTCCCACAGTCACAGTAGTCACACCTTTACTGGAGCAGACCGCAGAGCTATGGCGACAGGAAGACCACGAGGCCGGATTTCAACCTTATAAAAATCGACACTCACGAACGCCGCCACCGTAATTCCATGTCCTCCAACATGGGAGCCACACCAACCCCAGCGTCTGCTCAGCCCCCGTCCAGCACTTCAGCTGTCGACGTCAGAGACGATCTCTTCTATATTGAGACGGTGGTTTTCAAGGTCAGTATGCATGCGAACCACTCTTAACTTTGGGAACAATGTACGATAACTCATACAGGTCGAAAACGTACTGTTCCGCGTCCCTCGACACGGTCTCGAAACCGAGGACAGTGTGTTTACTGCGATGTTTCGGTCTGCTCACGTTGGCAGTGAGGCAGAGGGCTCAGATGATGCACATCCGATTATCTTACCTCAGATCACCGCGTTCGACTTCCGTAGCCTTCTGAAGGCCACTTATCCAAAGTAAGTCCGTTTGGCGTGATTTCTTGCTGGGAACACTCGATCCTTCTCAAGCTTGGCTGCTACTGAATAAGAAAATCTTCCCATTTTCAGGTTTAGCCTCCGGCATACGACGATGACCTATGGAGAGTGGAAATCCGTTCTCGTACTCTCGGACATGTGGACATTGGGAGCCACGAAGAAGAGAGCTATCAGCACGCTGGATAAACTGCTGGACCCCGCTAGTCCTATCGAGAAAATAATGCTCGGTAAGAGGCATAGAGTTCCAAAATGGATGGTGGATGGTTACGAAACATTTGGTAAGCGTCAAGAACGACTTACCAGAGAAGAAAGGGAGAGGTTGGGGGATGAAACCTCCTGGAAAATTGTCGATCTCCGTGAATGTGCTTGGGCATGGCAGAGAGAGCATCCGTCTAACGATGGAAGACCACGCGTCAATCCAGCATTCGGAGGATTTAACACAATCACACAGCCAGTAGTAAGTGCACGGAAGGAATACGACTTCCGATCAAAAATACGGGAGATATTCGCAGATGAGCTCCATGAAAGCGAATAATAACGGCAGGCTCGTCCCGAAGACATCATCTTTAAGAGTATGTACGCTCGCCTTGACTTCTCGCATTCGGATGGCATTACTAACTCTTAGCGCACTTGGGCCCAGAGAAAATGTGGGAGGCAGGGGAGGGGGAATAATGGTTTCCAGAGATTTCCTGCGGCTACATTTCTATGTGAATGCAGTTCATGTTGGTCACGACGAGTGCCCTTACCAAACCAAGCGTGTGTACAACCGACAGAAGAGGAGTCCTTCGGAATGCTGACACGGTCGAACAGTGTGAATACGATATACGGGCGTTTTGGGGGATCGTAAACACACGACTCAGTTTGGGCCTGCGTCGGAATGATTTGTATGGGTTGGCACCGTGAGACCCTCTATCGTTTTGATCATCGCCCGAACTTCCCTCTCCACTTTCGCGTCCGTGTTCAACACCTTTGACAGATCTTGAACTCGACTTGAATTTGAACTTGTAGTAGTATAGTGGCGACAATTTGAACAAATTATGTTTGGAGAAGGATTAAGCTGAGATCGGAAAAGAGATGAGTCCTTGATGAAGTGATGACGGGGCAGGTCAACTAGGAGGAGGAAAGAATGACCGCGGTGTTTCATCTAACATGTTGTCAAGGTCAACACCTTGATGCAGATGTCCAACTGTGCCAGACAGATACCGCAGGCACACAATATTCGTGATCATGACGTCTTGTCATTGTCTATTCCACTGCGCGTTGACAATGCATAGGTATGCTCAGAATTGGCAGAATATATAGTCTGTTTTCCAGATGAAGTCTGTGTGAGTTCGTATATATGTAACTGTGAGCTAAGCCAATGGCGACCCATTTTGAGCTCGTCGTGTCCTCATCCGATATCCTAGTAGAAAACAGTGTGAGCATAAGATCGTTAAGCGCACAACAAGAAGCTCACCGTAACCAAGGTCGTAATTCATGTCATCTCCGATGTATGATATTCCGGGAGTACATCTTCACTCACTTGTCCCCTTTGCCAACCCCTCGCCACCCGTTCTACCACCTCACCTTCCCCCTTCAGCACTTCCAGTTCCAGCCCCCTGTCCATTTGCCGTTCCACTCCTCCCCATAAAACTTGCCGCTCTCCAACTACTTACCCCTCCCGCACCTAAACTTCCCGGCCTCCAACTTCCCACGCTGCTCCCCGGCCTCGCAGATCCACCAATAACATCATCCTCCAGATCCATTCCGCCGTCGGAGCTGGTATATGTAGATAGTCTCCTGACGCGCGGACGGCCACCTAAGGGAAGGGGAAGAGGTCGGGCGGGTGCGTGCGATTCGGATTCTTCAGAGTCTGAGCCTTCGTCGCCACTTTCTACTTCTTCATCAATCTCGTTGAGGGCAGTTTCGTTGGCTCCAGAGACGGGCGAGATTTCTCCGGGTTTGGCCATCATCCTGACTGGGCTTGAGGGAAAGGTAGTGACGGGTTGGTTGTGACCGTTAGCCCGGCTCGTAGATACCGCGGAGTTGTCGCCTGTGATGGTGCCGTAGCGTTTGACGATGGCAGGGTCCTCGTGAGATTGACCGTGGCCGGACAATGCTCTGGAGGTCTTTTTCTTCGGTTTTGAATGCGGCACTGCGTCTAGTTCCTTGTCCGGGATCTATTGTCATTTACCGTACCATGATGGTAGCACGGAGGCGAGATAGTTAAGATGATGATAAAGGTAGTTGTACATAGGACAGAGTGACAGACGCACCGGTATCCGTACGAGGTATGCCATGAAAGTCGAAGCTGCGGCGACGATAAAGACCATTCTCAGCGCGAGAGCGTAAGAGTCCCTTGCAGACCGCTGAAGGCTAGGTTCCAGGCTGGAGACAAGTTTAGCTGAGTGACGGATGGAGCGGATTATCTGCAGTAAGTGTGACCACAGTGTGTCAGCAATGAAACCGAACGACTGCGATTATAAGATGGGGTTCAAGAAGTTACGCACCTCGTCGGCGTCTGGCCGGTCTGTGATTCGACGACGAAGCTCGCTGTCGAGTTTGGACTGGAAAATGGCTGATGCAATGCCCACTCCTCCGACTTGACCTGCACATCGATCATGGTAATACCACAGAGTCACTCTTAGCGCAAAACCGAGATGTTGGAAATCGCAGACTTACCAACGCCACGGAATAACTGTCCGAATCCAGTTCCTACGGCCATAGAGTTTTCTAAGATAAGAAGAGATTATCAGTGGACGGAAATTATTTACAGTAAAAAGTCACATATAGACTTACCTGGAAGGTGCGCGAGCAAGGCGACTAGAGTAATAGGGTGACAGCCAGATGATTATCACAACGTTCTGTGCTAAGATAAAACACGCCACACGACGTACTGAGCATTGTTTGCAGCACCACAGCATTTCCAAACCCAAGGGGTATCTATGGCCGAACCATCCATCCGTAAGTCATAACTTGCAAAAACTATCATACGATGATGAATGTGAAACATACGATGCTCAGCCACTGCTGTACGGCAGGCGAGTCCTCCTTCATGAACGACAGCAAAAGAGCACCAATGCAGGGGAAGAACCCGCAAATGACATTAATCTTCTTGTACCTTCCCGTACGGTGCATCTCCCAACTCCACAAAGATAACATCAGCCGTCGCCAGATGCATGGGAATGTCCGGACCTACCCTGCCCATAACGATCCTAAGGAGATAGAGACGCAATTTGGAAGCAGATGGGCACCTGTAAGAAAACACAAAATTAGTGTAAGGTATCGAAAACGGCTCAGTCCGGACGCGAAGTCGACAAGATATCAACTCCACAGTTCGGTGATTGCGACCCCATATTACGGACTTTTACCGCCGGGTATAGCTGGTAAAAAGTTGCAGTTTTCTGCATTGAGAGCTTACCTGCAACGGAAGCGCTCTTCAACGGCACCGTCTGGAACCACATAGGGAAGAAGTACATAATGGCGAAGTTGCAGTTGGCGACCAAGAAGTTGCTGACTCCGACCAACACCGGAATCTTCTCCCTGAGGAGGAAGGGTGCGAGCATTGGTTCTGGCGCAACAAGAAGCTCAAATAGGATGAATGAGATGAAAAAGACCATAGAAAGAACGAGCGCAACGATAACGGAGGGCTCCGACCACTGAATAAGGAAGAATTTGACACATTGTCAATATGGTAAGCAACAGTTCAAAACGATGGTTGTCTTTGGGGTAGAGCCATGGATCCGAATGGGGTGGATGTAAAACGAGGACATACGGGTTTTGCGTCATTGTATCGGTTGCTCAGAAATATTAGGAACGATAGCACCTGACAGCGACAAGGAGCAGATTAGGTTCACGTCAGTCAGCTGGCGTCATCAACATTTCTGAGTGCAGCCACCACTCCTTGAATATTGAAATAGAAGCATCTAGGGCCAGACAACAGAGAAAGGTAAATACTGACAGCGCCTAAGAGCGTGATGCTCCCTCCATAATCTATCCTCTTCAGGACGTCTTTCGTGCTCTTGCTTTTGCCCTGCCCATAGAGAGAACCCACGGAGGAACGGAACGGGTGTGTTAGTGTCTATCATACTTCCGGCGACAGACAAGTTGTTAGTGGTTGCCGCTGGAACTAGGGTTCGTACCGGAGTGACATAATGCAGGTTGATCGATGTCAAGACGAAAGATATCACGAAGAGCGGTATCTGGATGATGAACGCCCAACGCCATCCAAGCCTAAAAAGCACGGCACCGTATGCGAGTGTAGCGGAAGTACGGTCGGCACCGTGAATCAGTTCTGCGAGTCGAGTCCCAAACACAAAGTATTCGCCATACCAGTCGCTGATTAGTCCGCCCACGGGACCACCGAGGCCCATTCCAAGCTATATGGAGATAGCACTAGTCTTATAAAACTGCTGCGTGAAAGTCAGGCATCTTGAGAAAACAAAGACGTACGGAGTTGAAAACGCTTGCAATTCCCTGTGTAAGTCCGCGAGACTGGCGCCCGGTAGGGAATATGTTTAGCATGCATCTATGGTGATTGAGAACGAGAGATACGAACCCGCATGTCAAACATATCGCTCGTGATAATTCTACAAGTGAGATCAACTGCATCAGCATTACAACCTTGAACTCGATGAGACCAGAGATAAATAATTACGTTGCGGTGGTGAAGATTCCCCCTCCACCGATACCTGCCAGCTGTAAACAATTTGATTTCAGATAACACTGCTTGATGCTGCGTCAGGCAGAGGGCTCACAAATCTAGCGACAATTAGCATCTCCATACTACCTGATAGTCCGCATGCAAGTGTGCCCAAAGCAGAGAAGACCACAGCGGTCTGATTCGCGCCTCTTCGACCGAGCACGTTACAAAGGCGTCCGTATAGAGGTGTAAAAACACAGGTGGCGCAGACTGGGTCCCTCGAGGAAGGCTGGGGGTCATCTACTCTGTCCATGGGGCGAAAAGGCGTGCTGATGGCTTACGGTAAGCAGTCCCGAGCCAACTCGCTTGATTGGACCGTTGAAATTCAGACGAAATTGAGGGTAGCACTCGAAACGTTAATTTGTTAGGACGCATGACGAGGTAAGAAACAGATAAAACAACGACAACTCTCGAAAAATGCACTACACTGTCACTCACATGTCGCAACAAGAGTAGCTGGCGTGGTGAGCGTCAACAGTGGGGTCCCCCGAGACGAGAGCTTAGCATCTATAAAATAAGACTCTGTTGGGGTTCAACTTACTATTCAGGGACTAGAGAACAGAACGGAGTTAATGTCAGCCTCGAATGAGGTGTACGGCTTGTAGAAACTTACAGAAAGAAATGTGGCGACCCAGATGCCTATAGCAAGCGACCCGATTAATTACCGGCAGCCATCAGGGCAGAATATGGCGAAAATCAACACTGACCGGCCAGAATGCCATTTCGAGTGCGCCTCGGGATCTCTAGCGGCCCCGGTCGTTGACCAGGAACGCCCAAGCTGCCCGTTGTGGAAGGAGGTAGTAGTAGGCCCGCAGTGGGCGCTGCTGAAAGCTGAGCCTCGCTCTGAAGTAGAGGGTCACGCTCATGGGAACCAGACATCAACAAAGTACAAGTGAGAGTACAGTAGTGTCGAAGAGAGACTGTTCGTGAGCAGATCGTGGTAGAGTCGTTCAAGAACTTGAGCGCTTGCCGAGCGCTTACCTTGACTATCCTGTTGTCCCTTTATGGCAATTTGACACGTGGCCCACAGTACGGGCCATTGGTCGCCACCATGACTGAATCTTTTGCAACTGACCGACAACCAAGTTGTTTGTTCAGTGTGCTGCGAGACCTTGCGGTGAGATAAATTGTTACTTTCCTATCAATCTTGTCAATTTACTGAAACGCAGCTCAAATAAAAGCTGTACTCTAAAATCTCGGGGATAAGTATGCCAACATCCAACCTTGATCCAACCCGAATCCAACTGGTCAAATCCGAATCCACGCCGGCAGCCATTCAGCCCATTGCTCCGTTCACCTGGCAGACTGTACCAATGATGCTACATTATCTCAGGAGAGGGGCAAGTTTCTTCGTGCGCTCGACTATAGGTCCCAGTACCTAAGTACTACTCAGAGGTTATATGTCCATAGCCCAAGTCGGATTGTTTCAAGCTAAGAAGCTTTCGTTGAACTCCAGTAAGTTTAGATGCGCATGCATGCCAGGAGGATAATTTGCTACAACTGGCTAGCTCGAGCCAATTTGTATAGTAGGGACGGGCAGGTAAGTTTTGCGCCATATACTAATCCAACTGCATCTAAGTATTCGCTTCAGGTTTTTGTGGCTCTGACAGCAATCAAGCGTACCGAAGACATCCAGGGCGTTGTAACGTTGACTCTGTCATGTTCAACCAAGCGCGAGTCACTAATTGGAATGGCGGTATCGTCATCCACAAATCGGCCGCCACAATTCCCTCGCTCCGTCCTTCCCGCTGAATGCACGCTACGTAGGTTTGCTGGACTCTCTATCCTGATCAGTCTAGCGCCCACCTCATTCGGCCGGCCTTACTCCCTGAAGATATCGATGTCTCGTATGTTGCATTGATGTCTCCAAAAAAAAAACAAAACCGGAAACCTCTGTAGTCGCGCCTGGAACACCCCACCAGGTACAACGCGTCGTTTTCTTGAAAATGTGCAACCCGACTCAACAGTCCCGTCGAACATGTACAATAATGCAAGTATCATGCATGTAGTCGACAATCCGAAGGCACACGGAAAATCGGAGAGGGTCAACGTCGATAGGATCCACCGCTGTCAGGTGCTTCTGCGACTAGTTGTGTTGCTGTGCCTTCATGACGATCGCCTCAGGAGAGGGCCAACGAATATGTCTCGAAGGGGGAAGTTTGTCTATTTGCAAAGAACGCCTAATAAACTTTTATACAGTGCCATTCAGATTGCCGGACGGAGGTTGGCCGAGGCTGTGCCCGGCGTCTACTGTCTCCAGTTATTTCATGCTGGAGGGGGATCGGACGAGGCACGTCATGGAGCTCGCGCTTCAAGGCGAACGACCGAAAGCAACGGGGCGCTTGAGCTCGAGAGATCAAGGCAAAAACGCCACTTTGGCTTGTATTGAACATCCGCAAGGGAGCGTCAGTTGTTTCCGAATGGTCTCGACACTGGATGTGCTGCGTGACGGTGATAGGAATACAGATGGAGATCTTTCAGGAGAGTGGCCTATCCTCTCAGACACAAGGTTCAATCATAAGCTTCAGGTAGGAGATAACATTCAATAGAGAGAGCAATGTAGACATTTGAGTGCATAACAAATACGAAGAGCCGAAGAAAGCGATAGCATGCGAGAACATACATATGTGACATCCAATCATATAGTACAATGCATTGCACAGTCCGTGTATAGCTTCCTCCTGGTTGAGGAGCCAGGCCAAGATAGGGAACCTTTCTAGAGTAAAAATGGGTGTCTTCGCCTAGCGACGCCTCGCGTGCTCGCAAGATGGGCATAGTGAAGGTAACTGGCGCGCTATTCGATGAGACTCGGTCAACATAATTGCTGAGACGATAAAGTAAGAAATATCCAAACCATATTGCTCCGGGAACTGGCGGCTGTCATGTAGAACATAAATAAGGTGAGTGAACGAGATCCTGGCGGACAAGGATGACGTACTATTGCCAGCAATGCTTTGTACAGTACGGAGGTACGCAGTTGGGCGGATGATTAGGGCTGAACTTGCAATCCGTAGCCTCACAGCGCATCTGAAGTATTCGACATGAATTGGTGCACATAAAGGAAGGTGAATCGTCATACAAGCTCGTCGGGCTGCAGGATGCAAAATATCAGCGAGAAGAGAGGCTCGATGTCTGTCAAAAATCGTACCAGGTTCTGCGAGTGGCCGCAGTGGTAAACGTGCTTCACACTGTAAACAATTCGCTTCCGTTAGTTAGTGCGCAGAAGAAGATCACCACGACTACGCACCGACGGACGTGGCACATGGTGAGCGGTAGAAGTGAATAAGAGGGCACGGAGGTAGGCAGTGGGTGGATGGGAGAGGCGGAGTGGAGTGAGCGACAACATGCTAGCCAAACAGGCAAAGCTTTTATACTCGGAGGCCTCTCAGCTGCGACTAATATATTATAAGGCGCCTTGTCCCGGACAGCACGATTCCAAGACGACAAAAGAGTAGAATTACAGAAACCACATAGCGTAACCGAGCGCAAGATTCAGATCCATAGTTCTGCGGACCGGGAGAGAGTAGTGAGATCCAGGCCATAGAGCCAGAGCATGGCCCGAATCCTTAGATCTTGAAGCGATCAGGAGTCGGCGTGTAACGTGCGGAGAACAGATTTATCAGACATTATTTAGGCTTCTTCGGAATCCCAGGCCAACGATTCAATGAACGGATGTCAGGGCGACAGTTAGCTGGTTGACAAGTGGCGATCTTTGCCGAGGGTAGTGATGTTTGGGCGGAGAATCGCGATCTTTTTCGGCTCCCGATCCCAGGACATATACACGTTAGATACCCAAAGGGACATCGATTGGATGTCCATGTGTACACCCAGCCCGAACAAGGGGAGGAGGTAAGTATGAGAGCCAACTGTGTTCCGTCTACGGGGTTGTGGCGCTGTTTAGCATGATGCCCGTCGATGATATAACTGGCTTCTCAATGACAAAGGGAAAACTTACCTTCAATTGTCAGATTTCGATAATCCTAAATGCGGATGAACAATGAGAGCAACACGCAAAGTCGGTACGGGGGCATGGAAAGACTCCATGGTTCAATTACCGCGAGTGAGATCAGTATCCGGTGCGAACTTGCCTCTCCAAACACCACGAAAAGGGTCAGGTACTGCTATTCAATATTCAATATTCAAGGGTCACACCAAAAACGTAACTCACTGTGTGACCGAAGGGGGGTGGATTTCAATATCACGAGCGGTGAAATTCATCGTTCGCTGAATTTGCAGCGAAACTTGTTTCGCTTCCCATAGAGCTTCAAGAGGATGGGAGTGAAATCCACGAGCTGTTACGCGAAGATTGTTTTTGGGGGCTGTTGTGGCGTGTGGCAGCGGTGTGGAGTTATGATGTCATTGGCGGCTATGAGCTTCGTTCGTGATGCAAAGTCAGTCAAAGTAGCTCTTTGCTCTGTACCACCACCTCACCGACTAGTCAAGGCTATGACCATGTCGTCGTCGTCGTCGTCGGTGTCGTCGTCGATGTCGCGGCCCCCCTCGAAAAGTTCACACATTCTACTACATAAGTATCCACTCACACTAGGATGACAAGTTACACCACCATCACGAAGAGCGTCAATATCAGCGAGCCCATAACACTCTGATTGAGCAGACTGGAAACAGTGAGAATATTCATAGGCACAAAGGTGTGTCTCTTTCTGTCTTTTGCTTCTCCATAGTCTTTGCTAACAAGACATCCTTCGGCTTGCCGTTGTAGCACAGGGTAGACATTTTGAGTTTTTCTAATGACTGGCCCTCGCTCTATTTCTCGCTGCCGCCTTTTCATCTCACCCTCCTTTGCAACAGGAGCATTCGGTCTCCCAGCTGTGCTACACCTCCGTGTACGTTACCGTCACCAGAATCTCCGGCCTCGCTTTTATATATTTAGGCACACGTTAAAGGTCACCGTCAATGTACGTGGAGAGTTCAGGCTTCACACGGGTCACGAGCGGCATACTTTAGGCAATATGTATATTAGCAGTAGGATAATTGTACTCAATTAACATTCTCATGGTGTCCAAATGATCGAGAGCAGCAAATGGAGGTGGTTCAGTGGTAGTCCTCGCAAATCACCATTACATTGATAGCGAAACACATCGTGAAACGTTTCTAAATGGTAGTGAATTTTCGCTCCACCGTTTCGCTCGGATGCTGGTGAAATTGTTGTCCATGCAGCGAAATCCACGGTGTTTCTTGATGGACTTGACCTATTCTGCACTCAAAATGTGTCGTGAAAACCATGCTCCAAGAGGGGCTCAGTGACTGTCAGATCAGGACTCCACTCTCGCTCAAATATCTTTACCCTCATCTATACACATCACCTGGGACGTGGACTTCGTCTTGACGGCCAGGGATATGTCCGCGACTTGCCATAAAGACAGAGTAGCTCGTCAATGGCGGAGACAATGATGGTTGATACGTACTGAGACGTCTATCTGAACATGCACAGTGCACAGAGGAAACCGGGCCATCTCAGTCGTTGAACGTTGTGGCCGAGGGAGGTGTCAGCGGCCTCGTGCAATTTGTGAGACGACAGAGCGGAGCTCGCACATTCGAGTTCCGCTCAGAACCCTGACCGCCACTTCGTCATTCTTAGTCGAGTCGAAACTCTCCATCCGACAGCTACAACGAAGGATAGTTTCGTCTCTAGGCCGATTCGACCGACCTTACTGCGCCCGGTAGGTTTCTCTGCCCTGATACTATACCCCTGCCGATGATATGTTCGTCGTAGTGGTCATAATTACCCCACAGAGGCTAAATTCAAACACGAACCCGCCACATTCGAGTCTCGTCCTGTCTCGTCGTTCTCCTCCGGTCATGACAATGGCCCGCCCTTCACTACCCTCAACCTCGAAACACAGTAGCACCCATAGCCGATCGTTATTGGACACCAAATCATCTAAGTACTTGGAGCAAAAGGTACAGTGGCTCGCTTCTGTTGCCACAGGGTACATGCCAGGGGGTTAATCGAGAGATGCTGTGCCACTTTTTCTACCCTTCCTCGTTGGCCTTTCCTTCGGAAGCTTTGCATCATTCTTCTGCTGTCAACGGAGATTTTGATCCTGCTCTGACAACTCATTATCCCCGATAGGATGTTGCACTCGAGCTTGCAGCTTCGATAGTGCAAGGACAAGAAGAAAAAGCCCGAAAAAAGGTTGAAAAAAATCGGTCGGCACATGCGGCAGAGGTTAGCACCGTATAGTCATGTCCACATGGACTCATCTTGGTGCATTCTGATAGAAATACACAACCATCTTTCAGAAGGCTGCGAAAGCCAGTGATCGACGCGACCCAGGAGACACACCCTCTAAGTCGTCTTCAAAAGCACGACTGGTCAGTGTCATTATTTCTCAATCGACTGTAAAATGCTGATGCCATTGATAGAAGGACAAGAAGGCTGCTATCACCGCACAGAGGCTTCACTCCAAAAAGGAGAAGGCAAAGGCGCGGAAAAAGGTGTCGAAGGGGGTCACCACCGGCAGCAAGAGCGATTCTCCTGTCATTAGGAAGAGCGTATCCTTTGGATGATCCCAAAAATGACCAGGCGATCGACTCGGAGTCATGGTGCGTTGCTACAGTCATGTCGGTAACAATTGTCTGTTATAGCCTGGTATTGCTTGTGGTACCCTGGTGCCGATGGCTAGTAAAGAGTCTAGCACTCTTCGCGGTTGAATTAGCGGTTCCGATATGACAGTACAACCGTGCTTCACGAGCGTGCAGTGGAGCCACATCGATTTTTTTTTCAAATTGGAATAAATGACGTGAAGCCGTCGCGGGCGCAGTGTAGCAGACGCTCTCTACGACTCACCGACGTGACTGTGTTCTCTTTCCTTGATGTTCTGAGACTGTCAGCGTTGCATGTCACGCTGATACGTTTAGCTGTTTTCTGTGATGCGGATATATCCTTGCGCTCACCCACCCTCATGATGGGTAATAAATTGTGGTCTACGGGCTGCAATGACCAGCCCGACGTCTCTTGCTATCTGGAATCTGCCGGATTGCCGGATGGTAGCACGCCCAGCGGCACTTCTCCCTTCAGCCCCATGCACTCGCTTCACCGGTGGCTTGATTCCGGTGGGCTACCTTACCCCAGTTCGCGTCCAAGGTATCAGTCTGACATTTCTTTCTCTTCGGAGATACGAAGCATGTTTATCCGCTGGCAGCCGTGCGCTTTTCTGGCTCTATCCTTGCAGACGAGGTAGACCTGGAAGTCTCACGCTCTTCTCCTTTGTGCATCATTGATATCCGTGGAAATTTCGCATGTAAGAAAAGCCTGGGACTAGCTCAATTCCTGCGTATACATATCGGCGCACAATTCGCTGTCCTGGACAGGCAGTGGTGAAACGTCCGCTGCCACTATTGCTGCCACTATCAACGTGTCTACTTGACTTACATCTGCACTTTTGGTAGCATGCAAAAACGTTCCTCTTGCCTGCACGATTGCAATCATGCAGTTTTCCTCGAGAGAATGAAAGGGGATAGGCTATTAGTCTTTTCTGTTCGTGTCTATCGGACATCTCTGCGTACGACGTCCCTCTGAGCCCGCCGGTTCCGTGCATTTTCCTCCTTCTCGATGCTTGCTATGATGAAGCTCCCTGTCGGAACCGACACTTTCATGCCTAATTAGCGTGACATAGTGATTCCTTCTCCGGCACCGGGATCATTCCGTCAGTAGCCATTCCCGGCGACGAGAGGATTGTCAGAAAAGAGGCGAATAAGGCAGCCAAAAACTTTTGTCGCGGTCAATGTTCAGCCCTAGTTGACGTGAATGATCCTAGCGAGCAAGGTATTGTATATCTGCGTGACGGGCCGCGGTACTCATACGCCAGACAGTCTTCGAGTGGTATGAAGGAGAGGCCAGAGGAGATTACCCAGCGGGATCATCAATAGGTGTATTCTAATCCGACAATCCTGAGAAAAGTGAGTAGCCGTCTTAGGAGTGAGGGTTAATGGCAAGAGTCCCCCACAATGTCTTGCCCAACCACGACCTTGCAGTTGCTGTGCCAAGTCTTGGGATTGTTGACCTCTCAAGTGGGATTCCCAAAAGCGCTCGCCACAGGCATGCAATTTATCTCGCAGAGGATTGGCGACGACGAGCAAGAGTGACATGCGACGAAGCTTCTGGCGACGGAGTTACCGTATCATGACTTCAAACTACATCGAAAGCAACAAGCAGGAAGGATAGCAAAGGAAACATACCAAATACCCATCGAGCACGACGACAGAATCAGCATCGGAATGAACAGTTCATCTCTCTTTCATCCCATCGATGTCTCCACGATATTTCGACCCCTGTCATCCGCCTACTCCACACACCCATAATGACCAGAGCGCCAATCATCACAGCAGCATGGTCGCATATGTATAACAACACTAGAAACACCGAACCATGAGAAAGACGAACCGCGACCACCCAGCCACAAGCTCGTCCCCTGTCATCGCTAAAGTTCGTCCTCTGTCATCGCTAAAGCTCGCCCTCTGTCATCCCTACCCGCCCCACATACTCCCTCCATTCCATTGACAGTACCCCCGCGGACACCTACGATTTCATCAACGACGGCTTATTGTGCATCGTCCACGTATCGAGCATCTTCCAGAAATGGGCTACCGTCGATTTGTCGACGTGTCTCCTGTGCGGGTCGATCTGCGCCACACGATTACACACGGAATGAGCGAATGCGAGGGAAGAGGTGATAATGGTTGTGGGTGGAGGGAAGTGACGGCAGCGAAGGGAGAGGAAACAAGACGAACCTTGAGCTCTGTGACGTTCCAATCCTTGATCTTCGGGTTCGGCGGGTCGTTCGACCACGATACATACACACCCTTAACTACAAACGAACAAACACCCCCAAATCAGCCCTCCCAACATCTCCCAACATCTCCCAAACTCTTTCCCCTCTCCAGACAGTCAGACGAAACTCACCATGATGAAACAGACTCAACGGTTCCTTCCACTTATACGGCCTGAACTGCCACGCCTGCCCCGTCGTCATCACACAAACGACTCTATCCCACGCGTCCGCTCCGAACTTGCCCAACACCTCCGCGGAATCGATGACGTAGTACGTTTGGGAGGTGGTCGTTTCGCGCCCGGAGGTGTCGATCGTGGTGCGCTTGCGGTAGATGGGGATGAGGTCTTCGGGGCGGGGGTTGCCTTCGGAGGTGGCGCGGGCTCGGGCGGCGGTGGAGGGTTCGAAGCTGGGTGGGATGAGGTTGATGAAGACGTGTCAGGAAGAGTCAGTGAGAGGTGGATATGTGAGAGAGAGGGGTGGGTGTGGAGGTTAGGATGTGAGCGAGTGAGTGAGTGAGTGTGCTGAGGAAGTGTGGCGAGAAGGATATGGCGTACATAGATTCTTCGAGGAAGCGCTTGACGTTGTGCATAGTGATGAGTGCGGTTGGTGAAGACGATATCATAATGATTGGGTAGTATGTCTCTGTAGGGAATAGCAAGGCCGTCAATACATACGAGCAACAGGTACCAACAGAGTCACTTACTGGCTTTTCGTGCAAGTAACTTCGGGTCTGTTCAAAGATATGCGAATCAGCACAGGAGTACAATGAGGATGAATAGAGGCTTCTGGAAGAGCATATGGGGTCGTAATTGGAAGGTGTATCGTACCTGGTGAGGTGGTGGGGGCGGGTGCGGGTGCCTTGCCCGGTTTTTGAGACTCCTTGAGGCTCTTCAGTTTGGCGGAGTAGACATTGCGGATGGATGCAAAGTTCTGCATGCGCAAACATGTCAGCATACCTCCATAGAATATAGCGGATACGGAGGGTTATAGGTTGATAGCGAGTAGGAAGATGGCTTCAGCAAAAGTGGCCCCGATAGACTACTGAGGCGCCACATGTGTGATGGACAGCGCTTCCGTCCTTCGAGCCGAGATATTCTGCAGAACTAAGAATAAGCGAAAGAGAACTCACATTCGCTTTGATACCCCTTAGGACAGTCGTTCGATCCCTCAGCTCTACCTCATTCTGCCTAATCTTCTTGACTATGTCTAGATCCTGCGAGTCGGGGATGTATTTCCTCTTGGTTGGAGACGACGAGATGACATTTGAAGAGTCCGAGGCTAGCACCTGGTTACTTGATGATGAAGGCGCGCTATAGTTCGGCAGTGTACGATAGTATGCCGTTTGTGGTGGCGAGCCCGGCGGTGTAGACGTTCCGCCTTCAACGACGTCAGCTTTCAAATGGACAAGCATTCCGATACCAGTAGCCACTTACCACCCAAAGGTACAATACTCTCCAAATCACTCGACTTTCCCTCCAACCACTCAACCACACCCTTCCTCTCCGTCACACTGATGAATCCGACCGCCAACCCACTGTCCCTCGCCTGCTTCATATACTCCGCGCTTCCCGCATCCCGCAGAGTCCATGCCAAGTAGACAGCCTCCAAAGACACAAAGCTGGAAGGACTTGATTCTGGATCGGTGTCTGTGCTTCCCGGTCGACGTAGACGCGTCGGGGTGGACTTGGGGAGGGAGAGCGTGTCGGAGAGGCGGATGTGTGTGGCTGCTGCGAGGGTGGGGGATGGTGTGTTTTGGGCGTCGACGGGGGCGGGTTTGTACCGTGTTTTTATGGTATTCCGAAGCGCAAGAAGGGGGTCTTTTGAGCTCATCGTCGACGACAGCGAGGAGACAGTGTTCTGTTCGTGATGGTGAGAAGGAACGCGACGCTCGTGCGGGGGAGACGAGAGGAGGTTCACAAATTCGAGTGGCTATATACTTGGTGCAATTGTTTCTACTTACTGTACAATGGTGTAGTGGCTGTAGCGGCCCAAAGCCGGGAATGCGAGGTGGTGTCAGCACTCAACGGAATCACTTTCACGTGCGCCGAGTTCAAGACCGTCCCCTCCAGAAAACTTTGGCGTCCACACCTCTCTCGCCGCGGAAGCGCGTGGGAAGAGTTGGAGTAATCGGACCTTGATTGGCCAGGGAAGCAATTCCGCAGCCGGCAGCTTGTCCCGCCGAGTTCGTCGTAGGAGATCAGGGCGATGTCGTCTGTTCGCGCGTGGGGGCCGTGCCTCTCGCAAACCTTTTGCTTTCTTTTTCGACCTTTCACTTTGTACAGCTGTATAGCTTTTGGATGGGTGAGGTCTCGGTTTTACCAACGACTCCCCGAGCTTTGAAGATTCTCCTCACAACTCATCCTACAACACTACAGAGAATATTCACTCACTCGAAGCCTTGGGCAGCTAATTTAGGTCTGGTCCTGGGGTATCTCTAGACCGTGAGGTGTACTTATCACCTTTTTTGACCATTCAGGACTGGCAGCCTGGAGCGTCGTCTCATCAAGAAGGACGACGCCGGCAGCCTGAGACTCGAGTGAACCCTGCACGCAAGACTCTTTCCTTGAGAAATTCTTATGCGGACCATTATACGGATCCTGATAAGAATTTCTTCAGGAAAGAGTCCAGCTGTGTATCTGTGTAGAACTTTGATTTTTTTAGCCTCCGGAGGCTTCCGTGTACAAGGCTGTTCTCTTATATAGTTAATACTTCAGTGGTCGACTGCCATTTCTCACAGCTCTTCTCTTGCTCTTCTCTGCCGCAAGTTGTACTTATTCCCAAAAGCCTACACCCATACTACATTCCAAGGTTGATGTCTGACTTACTCGATGATCGGGAAATCAAGCAACTGTTGGATCGCTTTCGTGAGACGGGGGAAGATATGCCCGTGGTCGTATGGTCCTGCGAGGACGAGGGCGAAAACCCATTCAAAGCCCCGGATCCGTCAGTTTCTTCTGGATCGCGCATCGGTACTAACGAAGGTACGCAGAATTATTCCTGAGGATACATGAATGATGACTGAGTAAACCACGAGCGTAGATGCGTCAGGATACCCGCCAACGATCATTGTTCAGGAGTCGAGCGCGGGCGACACGGAGACAATATCCTGGTAAGAGCATGCACTATAGGTACGCACAGATGATGAACACTACTAACTGTATTTTTCAGCCGTGTCGTGCTCTCGAGCGATGTAGGTGAGTGATAAGTGAATGTTGACTTCAGGCGCATTTTGAATCTGGATCATTCTTATAGACTACGTGAAGGAACTCTATGCCTACCTCCAAGATATTGGACAACTCCTGTTCATCTTCACAGGACCGGTGACGTATCCAAAGCCGATGCCACCTACAATGGTCCTTAGATGTTGGCATTCTTCATTACGCTACGTATCTAAAGAGCTAACTAGTCACGCGGTGTCCATAAAGACAGATCCCGAACACTTGCGAAATGGACCTGGCATGGCACCGACTGTCCCATCGAGGAGGCGAAACAGTTTATCGCATACAAAGCGTTGGTGAAACTCCGACAGAAAGATTCGAGGACGGGTGCGTGGACTGACCATATTCCTGAAGATACCTCGTCGAGGTGAGCTGCTTGTGACAACCACGCTATATTACGGCTGATCGCGGAGTTGTAAACAGTCCGATGGATTCTGGCCACGGTGTGTATGAGCATCGTTCTATCGCGAAACTGGCAGCCTGCAGTCTGACACCAGGAAAGACTATATCGCCGATTTGAAGCGTCGCTTACTCCTCCCATCTGATATTGACGAGGAAGTACTTCTGTGGATGTACGGTCAAGAACCATCTGCGTTCGCTGGTTAGCCCTTTATCCTCCCCTCTATCTAGTCAATGCACTCATCTTAGTCGCTGACTGACAGGACCCGACTATACCATGCGCCCCCAAGTCTCTCACCCATTGGACGAAGACACCACAGCCATCAACTCGGCAGATCACTACTCACAACGTCATTATGCACATCTCTACTGTGAGAATCAGTGATCGTTTCTATACGAGCTCTCTTATATACCATCTCACTTGGCAGACAATGGAGTCGCCTTTGGCTTGGGAGCCTCCAACAACAGTAAAACCGCCAGACAGTTGGCCGCATATTCGGCGTTGAAGGGGATAGAAGTCCCAGAAATGACGGAGTTTCCAATGGAAGAGGAGTACATCTATGACGACGATGTAGAAGAATTCAGCACTCCGTGGAAGGTCACTGACGATTTTTGGAAAAAGCCATCATCGCCGGTCATGGACAATAGTGGACAAGCGTCAAATTTAACTGATCATCAACCACTTCTACCAATTGCGGTCACGGATTCAGAGCCTAGACAGAGCCTCCTTGACCGAATGACTTACTACGGGGAGCTAAAGTCGGCCGTTTCTGCGAAGGATTTTCAGAAGATCCTCGATAAGGTCAGAGGTGAATGGCTGACGGTGTTACCCCTCGTATGTTGCTTCACCCTATACAGCAGTGACTTACAATGCTGATTTTTTGCGCTGTCTCGACCTCTAGTTGCTCGCAACTGTCGCGTATGCTCAACTATGTCAGACTATGTTTGATCTTTTGTCTTCATTTTGTTTTTGTTTTCTTTTAGAATTTATGGGGCTATGTTAGCCATTCCGCCGGATGATTCTCTCTTTCGGATCGGCATCATCGCGAAGACGGTTGTTCCTGCTGGACTAGTGGTATCAACTATCGGTGTTTGTGTTGATCTCTGGTTCACGATCACGTTTTGGCATATCGATGGAGCTCAATTTGAGGTACGTCCATCTTCCTAAGAGTCGTATACATAACTACACCACTGACTATCCATGGCATTGTCACTGTGTCAGACACGAGCTCGGGACTATCACTACGATACTTTCCTATTCTTCGCCATCACCTCTAAACTACCCATAGCCATGTTCGCTATCTCTGCCGTTGCCGGCGCCACGTTCGCCCTCACTGTCGTCTGGTCAGTGTATCCCGCGGTAGCCATTGTTTTCTTCAGTTTCGGTCTCGCCGTGTGTCCCCAGTACCTTGTTTTTGGCATCCATATACTTGCGCTTTACATCATTTACGTATTTCCTTCATATTTATCTCGCATTAGTAGTGTTGTCACAACGTTCGTCGGTCGGGCATCACTTAGGGTTCTGCGCTGGCTCGAGCGCCTAAGTGTGTTTCCACTTTCCGCTTCCCCCGGACTTCAAGTTGGCTGACCCTTGCTTTCTATTGGTCTCACATATATACTTCTCATTTGTGGTTGTGTGCGCACTATCGTGACTATCGTCAGAACGTGTTTCTTTGCTCGATCAATCGAAACTGAGGTAACTTCACCGTCGACTTCTTCCCCAGCCTGCCTGCTCCATCCGGAATATTGTCTTTTTCGACCTTAAATTGGTCCACCGTCCACCGGCGCCGGTGAACTGAACTTCCGGTGGTGGTCTTAAGGTCGAAAAAAGACAGTAGTAGGCAGGAACCAATATCAGGTTATGGCTCAGGGGGCTGCCGCCACCTTGCTTGTCGTGTGCCAGATGTTGCCGAATTTTGTGGCTAATTATGTGCGCCACAATGCATATTGGTAGCCTCTGTGTTCTGGAACGGATTAAGACGAATTGGGTTTATCGCTAGTTGGTAGCACCATTCTACGCTGTTGATAAGGAGAAGAGCAATTGATAGGATTGGCAGGGCGCCAGCATCCCTCTATTCGTGTCTGTAGCTGTGTAATGCCACTGGCAATGCACCACACGGACGATCGCCGGGGCGAGTCAGAGTCAGGCCAGCCACCATTGACAACTATTGACGAACTCAACGGCAACTCCTTCAATTGCTGGTCGCCTTCTTTGAGGTGAAGGATTCTTAGACACGGGTCCCTGCTCTTTTACTGTATATTGACCCTATTATCCATAACTTTCAGCAAGAAGCGCACACGCCGCGTCCACAAATACAAGTATATCTTGTGCGTTAAAAAATTATGAGATACATACGTTGCCGAAAATCCACGGTCGCTCAAATAACCTCCGAGCTCCCTTCGCTATTCGTAGCCCAACACAGATGTCCACACCCAGCAGCACAGCGATGCCCCCTCAACTGCCTCGGCCCAGGCTGAACCTGCAGCACATTCGGAGCAGCCGAAAGCTCTGTTTTTGGCGCGACATCGGACAGAGGTTCGTCCACGAGCGTTAAGGCGGTGCTACTCCTCGAAAGCGACCTTCCTCTACTAATATTGGTCTCGCCGGCGACCATGGAGGAAGGTGGGGTGGGCGGCCGGACGATCTCGACCATGGTTCCGGGCTGGGAGAGATATCGTCGGTAGCACTCTTGGTGACCACCATGAGAGCAGATGGCGCAGTGGAAGCGCGCCGTCCGCACCGGAAGGCGACTTTAAGTAAAAGTTAACGTGTGAGAAATAGGAAAGTAGAAAAGAAAGTAATTATTGTGATAGACGTACCAGATAGAGCAAGTCGATGCGTAGACTTTACACGAGTTGCAGAAAGAGTTGCCTTGATGCACCATGATTGGCTTCTCACATCTCCCGCAGGTCACGTATACCGTTGTTTGCAGCTGTACAGACGAGTAAGTAGTCTATAGAAGCTTGGGACTAACCACTCGGAACGATAACTTACGTTCGTGGCCGCACGCGCATCCTCCGCTGGAGCATGCTTACGCAAATATGCAGCCGCAGTGTAAAGCTTGAAACGCGTCAGGCGATCTATAACCATACCATAGTAAGTACGGTCACGCATGGGAAAAGAGAACGATCACTCACCAATGTAGCTGTCCACAAACCTCACCAACCTGCTCGGCTTCACCTGCAACTCCTCCCCCGCAACAAGGGCCATCATCGCGCATATCTGAACGTCGCCCTCTTCGGCGTACGCCTCTAACGCAGCCTTCAAAGCATTCCAACCCCACCCCTTCATAGTCTCATGCTGCTTCTCAATCTCCGCCTTGAACCTCTGGCCCTGGACGCCGTTCTCCTCCTCACTCCTCTCCTCTTTCTCTCCACGCAGAGAGGTGGAGGCAAAAAGGCTACCGGCCGCCGCTTGTGGTCCGCCTACGGACACGCCCCTCTTGATCGATAATGGTGAACCGTCACGTCCAATCGCGCCACCATCTATCACCCGTCGATGATCACTTTCTTTCCTACCCATAATGACTGCTTCCAAGCCATCATGCGCATGCTCAGGCTGCTGCAGGGACGTTTCCTCCGCCGTGACGGTCCGCATACTATTCATCGATCCCTGTTTCGCCAGACTTTTGGGGTCGTTCCTCGGAACGGTCACGGCCAACGTCGCGCTCCTTTTATTCTTCGGGCGCAAAGTGACCGAATTCTTCCGCGAGCGGGTCTGAGATCTCGACTTGGATCGCACGACACTGGCACTAGCACCCGATGCGACACGCTCCCGCTCCGCAGAGACAAGGCGTACCGCACTAGCGTCCCTGGGCGAATCGTCCGAGTCCGTATCCGTCGACGCAGGCGAGGGCGAATCCGAATCCTCATCTTCGTCGGCCTCTCCATCGTCCCTCTCCAGCCGCTCGTCGCTCGGCTCGTCTGAGTCAGTCCACGTTCCAGGTCCAGCCACACGGGACAACGGACTCGGGCTCGGTGCCGCACCAGCACTGAATACCCTCGAGAATGTCAAAGTAGTCGGAGAAACGACATTCGACGAAGAAGATCGGCTGCGTGACTTATCCCTCGCCACGCTCGTCTCTTTCTCCTTCTCCTTTTCGGTCGCAGCGCCCGCGCCGTTCGAGCCGTCCTCGCTACTATGAGCGCTGCCACCATCCTCCGAATCAGAATCGTCGAGTGCGCCCTCGCCTACGTGGCGCAGACTGCCACTACTTGTATTGCTGACAGGCAAGGAGCTGGTGCTGTCGCTCAAGCCCGGTGATGGAGTGGATACAGAAAGCCGTCTGAACGATGACATCGTCCTGACTTTCGCGGGAGGAGGTAGGAATGTAGCGTTGGAGGAACGACGGGCGAAGATAGAGGCTGGAGGCTGTGGAGCTCGCGAGGTGGGTGATGGTGCATGCAGGGACGCGACGGGACTTTGAGCCGTTGTCGAACTGGTCGTAGTCGAGGGTATGCTGGTCTGAGCGTTCCGATGAGGAGAGGGCGAGGTCGATCCGGAAGACGGTGGGCGTCGAGGAGAGCTCGAAGGACTTAGATGTGAAACTGAAGTATGTGATGGAACTCCGTGGAGTGGTTCGGTTGAGTGACGTGGAGGTTGGAGGAGAGTCGTCGCTTGGAGGCTTGATACGCTGGGAATTGCGGCGGGAGCAGACATTGAGTGGGGTAGAGTCGGCGTAGGGAGTGGTAAAGGGCTCAGAGGCGGTGTTGGCAGCGGCGGCGGATCTGTTGGTGGTGGTTCCAGGAGTGACTGCAATAGCTGCCACGTTTGAGCGTGGTGAAGTTGATTGGCCTCGAACGCTAGCTAAATCTGAGGTTAGCTAGATAATTTGCGATGAAGGATGGATTTCGACGTACCTCAGCGTTCAACCCACATATGGTCGTCCTGTCAAATCCTTCAAATATATACCCCAGAGCGAGAGTTGTGAAAGTCGCGAGATCTTCAGGAGAGTGCTCATAACCACACGTAGCCACGTTCTGTGTAGTAGGTTTGAAAGGCCCGTCACCGAGCGCCTTGGGCTTCACTCTGCGCTCTGCCAGTGTCCGTAGCTTCGCAGGATCGCTGAGGGCACTTTGAGTACGAAGATCGGGAGACTGGGACAAGAAAAACCTACATATCGTCATACGGGATCTCCCAGCGCGATTTCCTGTCCGCAACGAACGCGAAAGAGCCAGACACCTCCCAACTCAGAGCCATGCGGGGGATGGCATCTATAGGCTTCGTAGAATGTCGAAGATCGAGTTGCGAAAACGTCCCAGACGAATGCTGGACCCAAAGTGTCTGTGAATCGCCAAAAGCCACATCTACTTCACGCATCAGCATACCGCCGATATTTTGCAAGTAGGTATGGCGGACTTACCTGTCACGCCACCTTCGACAGCAGATCCACCAACCACCCACTTCGCGATCCATTCTCTCCTAACATCCCAGATCTCCACAGGATCTCCTGAGTCATTTCCTCCCTTCGCCACACTAGGCATCGTCGCCCCATCGACGTCCCTCTCGCCCTCCTGCTGCATAGTAGCCTCCTCACTGCCCATGGGAGGCGACGTCGCCATCATATCCTGCATCGACCCAGTCCCAAACTCCGCGTGCGAAACGACCGCAAGCTCGCATTCGTACCCCGGTCTCCACAAGACTCGTCTAACAGGGAAAGAGGTTGATAGTCGGTACGTCGGAGTGTGTGAGATATGGGAGGCATTATTGGGAGATGTGAGGTCCCACACTTTTACGATATGGTCGAGTCCGGCGGAGGCGATCCACCCATTACTGCTGCCGGACGCAGAGGTAGACCCAGATGGCGCTGATGGCTCGGTAAGGTTCCCGAAACTGCTTCCGCCGGTTGGTTGTGAATATGAGCTCGGAGTGGGGCACCAATCCACGGAGAGAATAGGACCCGAGTGGGCGACTGGTATTCGGTCGATCTGTCCCCGCTGTCCCTTTGTCAAATCCCATCTGTCGTTACGCGTGGTGAGAAACGATAAAAAATATCCAAAAGCGATAATGTGAGCATACCGGTAAAGGCTGCCATTGTCGAGACCGACAATCGCTTGGGTAGGGGTATGAGTGTTTGGAGAGAAGGCAACCGTACGAACACCAGTGGGAAAGTGGATCCTGGTCAAAGTTTTCTTAAAATCGCGAAGGTCCTGGTAAAGAGGAAGAGCATTCATGTCTATATCCTGTTGAATGTAACGAAAAACTCACGTAGACCCGGATGTCACCATCGGCGGAGCCAGTCATGCAGTAATACGGCACTATCGTCGAGTAGGCAATCTTGTGTATTGAGCGAGAATGCTCTCTGATCCTATGCTCTGGAACACTTTTAGGTAAGTACGGAATGCGATGGCTGGTTAGGATATGTGTTGAAAAGCGCACCATACTTAGAGCTTCCTATTCGGTCTAGATCCCAGAGAACCAGTGCGCCGCTCCTCGCGCTGGTCAAGATCTTGTTCTCGAAGTCTATAAGGCAGTCAGCAACATGGAATAGAAAAGCTATGCACTCTCAGCCCTTGAAGGCTCAGGAGCTTAAGTGCGGCCCAAAAAGAAACTAGACGGTGCATGAGCAGCCATTTTATGCTGTACCAGCAGTGTGCAAAGAAGTCATACGGAGACTGCAAAGACATGTCAAGTAAGATTTATCATTCCGTGGGAAACAATATAGCGCATTCAGTATGTTTTAGTGCGGTGAGATGATGCTGGCTGCCTGGGCCACACTAAAGGAAATATCGACTCAACATCAGACGACGTCGATAATGACTCACTCCCATGTCCCCAGGCAACGTCAGTATTAACGCTATCGACCTTTAGAAGATTTGATGTCCACAAATTCCTGGAGGCGTCGATACGATGTCCGCCCCTTCCAATGGAGAATTTATGTTCAGCAGTCATGCTGTTGGACGCCTCCGACATCCGAAGGATCCTCAAGGCTATGAGATGGAGCACAATTCCCTCAGCATATCTCTCAAGCTTTACTGAGACGAAAGAGACGAACACTCTCGTCCAGCGACGACGCATCGCGTCCCGTCTTCGCTCTTGGCTATTGCGCCACCTCCACTGGCCGTAGCTCGTGGCAAGCGGACAGTTTTTGAGTGGCCTGAGTACCCATGACTCCGCGCATCAGAGTACAGATCTGATAGAGAGCCAGAGTATGAGGAATTTGGAGGCAGTAATTGTAAGGATGGCCTTCGAGGTCGCGATGGAGGGGGAGGCGTGTTCATGGTATGACGCGCGGGTGGTTGTTTGTCCTTGTTGAATTCAGAAGGTGTTGAGTCCGACGATCCGGCAACTTGCGAGCGGTACACAACAACTTGAACGGCAATCTCTTTGCAAGCTCATACTGTTTGTGTGTGTCAATGAGGATCCGCCAATCCCATCTCTTTTCAACAAGTTTCATTGGGGAAAAATCTATTGAGAAACGGTATACACTCCAATCGCATTCCAAGAATCACACGGATTCAAACGGCCTCCATAAATTACAAAACCTCGCACAAATACATCCAACGCCCTAAACCTCATGCCCGTGGCATTACTCCTGACCTCAAACACGGTTGCCCAGCTCAACTCCAAATCCGGAGCGTTCCACCTCAACTGTCTCGCTATTAAATCCACGCCTTCTCACATCTCACCCAATCCAATAAACGCCCCGCTGACCTCGTACTATATCTTTGAGTTCGTAAAGCCAGGGGTATTGCTTCAGGATAGCAGAAATATATGTGTCCTCATCAGACTCAAGCCCCAAGGAGCAAAAGACCTATACGAAGAGACAATTCCCACCAGTCCCGTCGAACTTGACCATGATTTGCAGATGCTGGTTCGTGGACGGGATGTGTATGTTTCGTTTTGTCGCGGGGCAGTAGAGAATATGTTCCGTGATTCCATCGACAGTGGGTACGCCTCTCACAAGGTCGGCGGACGAGAATGTGACCTCCCTTCTATCTGCGCGCAGAGGTATGAAAGAGATCTTCAGGGCGCCGGCGGTGTTCTCATTTGATCCGGACCTCGTTGTGATGAGACCGAGTACCCAGATGTCCCCAACGTAGAATGAACGCAGATGAAGGGAGGGAAGGATGGAGAAAAGAGCGCCCACGAGGGTATAATTGTTGGCGGTGCAAATAGATATTGGAGACATAGCACGGGTAAGAGTGGTGCTCCCAGCTGCGGCGTTTGTCGTCGACTCGGGTACGTGGATTGCGATTGTGCGTGGGCAAGATATGGAGATGTGGCCGGATGAGGAGAGGGATAACGAGGCTCCGGGAAATGGGGACCAGAGAGCTATGGGGTCGGGGGCTGAGGTGATTAAAGGGTTGGGACGCGGAACGAATATCAAGGCTTTGGCGTTTGAGAGTGGGGCTCCTTGAGGATAATATTGGACACTGCAGATATACAATCAAAGTTGGACTCTTCGTCTTTCGCATACCACTGATAAGATAGGGACGTACCTTCCTTCGCCAAGAGCCCAACACCCCCAATCACCGTCATGCCTGACTTGTCCAACATGTACCTCATCCGGCCTCTGAGGGGTGTGAATCGCACCGCGATGCTCCAGCACTCTTACCTCCTCATCCGCTGGTCTAGAGGCCCCTTCGAACCATGCATCGGATATCGGCACCCATGGATCTCCTTTTCTCAAAACATACAAAGCATCGTGTTTGTAAGGCGCGAGCCATGTAACGTCATCATCGGGAGATAACAGCCTATACATGAGAGCGAAACGGAGATCGGGTTGATTGTGTATGAGGAGTTTCTCCACCGACTCGGGGCTGAGTTTCAGCCTGAGCTGCAGATCGACTATATCCAGAGTCGTGGTGACATCGAAGTCACCCTCGACTGCTTGAAGCGTGGATTCATCAACCAACGGAAGGACCGCGACGTTTTCATCGACTTCATCATTACCCTGAGATTCCAACACGGAGCGATTCCTCTCCAAGTCGAAGGTATAGGCTGTCCACTCATCTACATTGGGTATCATTCCTTCACCTTCAACAGGCGCGTTCGTCCACGCTTGGATCTTCACATTCCTTTCCATCAATTGCTCCGCGTGTTCGATTCTCAGACGCGCACGAAGGAGCAGTTTGACCCCTTCCGAATCCGACGTGTGAAGTGCGTTTGGTGGTACGGAGATATGGTGTGTTGTCCACAGAGCAGGCGAGAAGCAGAGGCTCGGTACTGGGCTCATGAGTGGCTGGTATTCCTTGGTGCAGATACGAGCCTGAATACGCCGATAGTCAGTAAGTACGGGACGGCCGATGATAAGAGGTATAAGGGGAGATGGTGAAGGTCGAACGAACGGAGTGTAATTTTGGTGGCGCTAGTCAATGCAAAGGGTTTCTTGAAATATACACGCAGACTCGGGTCTAGTCACGCGGGTCAGGAGACCTGCATGCGCCGTTCATGGTTTTTTCAAGCGAGGGTTGCGGGAAGACTCTTGATATAGCCTTCCTCCTTCATCCCAAACCCAACAAGGGCCACAAAGTAATCGCGAGTTCCACACCATATAGTCCACAGAGTGTCCACAGTTGGCAAAATGAAATGGTCGATATCAATGCGAGCAGAGCACGAAGTCTAACCATATGAGGGCAAGCATCTAAGTGGATTTGATCCCTATTCAGTCATATAATCGAGAGTCGAAACATAAATATCACTCACAAATTATGAAGGTACACGTCGATAGAATACAGACACGAGAGTACACACTCAACGATGACCGTCCCGAACAAACATCATCGTCCAGCTCTGCGCTTTCCCTTCACCGAGCCTCTCCTCAATTCTTGCTTCGGAACGATCACCGAACTATATCCTTCATCCAGCTCTCCTCGCGACGGCACCACATCCGTCCCGTCCTCAGTCCGTTCCCTACTCCCCAACAGCGCACTCCCAATCAAACTCACTACCTGCCTCGCTCCAAATCCTACCACCAATCCACCGATGCACGCCACACCTACGAACACATATAATGGATACAGCGCCTGAAGGACGTACACCGCGACCTGGTACGGCGTGACGATGAACATATCCGTCAGGATTCGTGCGGTGTATACGAATGGCGCGAAGACGTATGACAATATGGGAAGGACGAGGGTAAGAGGTGTCAGAAGTAGAGCGATGAGTGAGTAGCTTGAGGATGCGACGTAGGATGTGGCGGAGCCGAGGAAGGAGAAGGCTTGTGCGACGATGGGTAGGAGTGTAAAGATGGGCGGGACGGTGTTGGGGTCGGCGGGCATTGTTGTTGCAGCACCTATGCTGCCAGTGGTCGTCGGCGTCGCCATTATTGGGATAGAGCCAGAAGAAAGCCGTAAGTTCGCCAACAGGCTTGTTCAGTCGAAGATGATGATGGTTACAATGCAAGGTGTTGAGATTCGCTTCGTCGGCGGGCCCTCGTAAATGACACCAGTAACATACCTTGGATCGCTCACAACTTAGCAAGAATTCATGGTGTCAGGGAAATGGAGAACCTTGTCAGCAAAGTGAGTGCTATAGTCCAGTTCAGGGTGGATTTGTTTTCTCTGTTTCGGAAAGACCAGCAGAGAACTGACGGTGCCACACGAGCGATATTTGTGTGGCCCACCGCACGCGATGCATGTGTCAAGAAAACAGTTCAATTTGAACAACGACGGCGATGCCGGAGCATCGATAAAGTCCTAGTGTATAGAAACTCGGAGCAAAATATTGAAATATAATAAAGCGAATGAAGAGAGCAGAAAGGTGAGAAATACAGGAAGAGTACGAGGAAGTGAGGAATACCACAGTCGACTCGTACTTCTCCTTCCTTCAGCACAGGTCCGCCATCCACAGTTTGTAGAGAAATGAGAGCTACTCCATAACTAGTACGGAGTCAATAAATAACAAGCATATCAATTTGGCTGGGATTTAATTATTTAGAAGACAAGAGATTTGGAAGCAATGAAGACTTGGAAGGGAAAGGGTAGGAGAGAAAGGCAAATTCTTTCTAAATGAGTGAATATGATATAAGTATGCGAAGATACTTAAGCAGAAGCAGAGGCACTGGCAGTCGCGACACCAGGCACGCTTTCGGATCCACTGGGGCCAGGAACGCTGGCAGAAGCACTGGGAACGGGAACGCTGCTGCTAGCGTGAGGAGGGAATGGGAAGGGGAGAGAGTTGGAACCAGACGGGAGAGGAAGGGAGAACGGAATGGAGAAGGAACCGGAAGGAAGAGGGATTGAGAAATCAGAAGGGAGGGGGGTTGAGAACGGAAGGGAGAGGGAAGGAAACGAGTCGCGAGCACCGATGCTGCCAGCGCTGGAGGAGTCGCTGGTGGAGGCTGAAGCAGCAGGGAAAGAAGAGGTAGCGCTGGCACTGGCGATGGCGGAAGAAGAGGCGGGAGCAGTGGGAGCTACGCTGGATTTGCTACCGGAAGGGAAGGCAGGAGCAGAACCGCTCGGGAAGGCCGGTGCAGAACCGCTCGGGAAGGCTGGGGCAGACCCACTCGGGAACGCCGGAGCAGAGCCGCTGGGGAACGCAGGCGCAGACCCACTAGGCCACACGGAATGCGAACCATTTCCGTGGTGATGCTTGTGCCACCCCTCTTCCGCACGACGAGAGTGGGTGGGAGCGGCACTGGCAGATCCACTGAGCGAAGCAGAACCTGAACTACCACCAACAGAGGCGGAGGCGGAGCCACTGGGGATATGGAAAGACGAGGTCGTGCCGTTGGAGGATGGAGTAGGCTTGATTGGAGTGCTGGTCACGCCAGAGGAGGTTTTGTTGGGGTGGTGGGGGTGAGGGTGGTGGGAAGAGGTAGGGACGGGGAAATGTGTCGTAATATTGAAAGAGTGCACTTCATCCTGTATTGAAAATCATAGTTGGTCAGGGTTATATCGGCGAAAGAAAATGGACTGGAACGTACAGCGCGAGGAGTCGGAGGACTCTTCGGAGGGACCAGCGTGCTCGCAGAACCGCTCGGGACAGGGACCGAGGCGTTTCCGCTAGGGAAAGCAGGAGCAGAGGGCTTTGCGGTCGGAATGGAAAAGCTGCTTGAGTGCGAGTGATGATCCGGCTTGGGTGTGTGTGAGTGCTTCGGCTCCGACGCAGAGGAGGTAGCGTTGTAAGACAGGCCCTATTTAGGTGGTTTAGTTGGTGTCTATTCGACTAGCAAGATGACATACGTTCACCGGAAATGTAGGGAGACTCCTCGCTTCCAAGGCGGCAGGAAGTGCCAGAGCTAAGAAAATGGATGCGTGAGTACGGTCAGGTTCAGGACATATTGTGTTGCTTACCACCGCTGGAGACAAGCGCGGCAGTGAGGATGGCAGCAAGGAATGAGCTATGCATGATGATGAGTGCTGCGGTCTGTAGTGTTTCTCTGAATTATAGGCTGATAATGTGAAAGGAGTAGTGAGGAGGAGCGGTGAGTCTGTGAATGTCAGGATGAGGGATGTCTGGTGATACTTGGTCATTCCTTTATAGCTTTCAACGTGCCAGTGGTGAAGGGTGCCAGTGAAGACGCGATGGAGTGTGCACTGAGGTGCGACGAAACGTACACCGTTACAGCCTGCAGACAACGAAGCATCATGGTGGTACTCCAAAGTGTTTGATGCGACTCAATGGATCTCTAGTCCGTCGAATTTGTCGGTGGAGGGTTCGTACCCCAGAACTATGATTTAAAGGGAAGCGTTTCATCAGTGTTGTTCGCAGCGTACAGGGACGATTGCTACGTGGCGTGGAGCAGCTGTGAGCTGTATCGTCATGTGTTGTTAAAAACTCGTCAATATGCATGGACACTCAACCATTTGGCGGTGCTGAGACGTGACCGCTTCTGACTGCTTCTGGTAACTTCCCCGTTAGTGTTGACGCTCATAACAAATGGAGCGTAACCAAGCTTTAGAGGGTACAAGGAGAGTGATGATTGACGTGGCCGTAGTCTGTAAAATATAGCCAAGGCTGTACCCAGGTAAGTCGCACACCCGATTGTTGTTTGAGGAAGTGAGGCAGAAGTCTACTAAACCATTCGAGAATAAGCAGGGAAAGAAATAGGGTACTCGGCGATACGTTTCTAGTGGTTCGTTCTATCCAAGGGCGTGCCGATGGGTAGACATAACGGTTCGGTGGCCGATGAAATTAACTGCGTAAGGTCTAACATCGCGGCCACCGACATCGAAGATGGCATAGTATACCATGAATAATTCCGGGTGATGTCATGCAAGAAAAGGACTCGAACGCAGCATCGACAAAAAGCAATGAGCCTCATTCATCAAAAGCTGTGGATTGAACTGCGAGTGTAATCTCCGTAGAGTACGAGCGAGCGGATCTGTACTCAATAGCCGCAATCATGATGCGTCTGGCGCGATCGTACTGCCATGCAAAACAGTTTGATGTGAGATCAGGCTGCGTCAAGCACTCTGAGAAATTTAAGCTGAAGCCAGTCGTCATACTTCGTTTTGATCAGCGCATGGCAATTGATGTCTGAATACTGTGCCATGGGCTTTATTAGGATGAGGTTGAGGGACGCACCACGGCCGCCGTAGTTGCACACTTCGGGTTTGGTTCGAAGGTTGAGATGACGACTCACGACGGTGACAGTGTAAGGCAGCGTATTGAGCCACTAGCCATGCAGCGCAAGCGATCCCAAAAGACTTTTTTATATGCGCGAACGAGTCGCCCTGGTTGATCGAAGGCCAGCGTCATGATGGTGACACAGCATCCGAGTCGATGATTTCCTGGTCCAAGAAGATGTCAGTATTAGCTTCGTACTGCGACAGATAAATCCTATGAAGAGACCAGAGTGTTTGGCTCCCGATCCCAATGGGTGGGTATGCTTGGGTATGGCAGCTCGACGTTGACCGACAGTCATCCTCAACCAGCGGTGGTTGTTTGTACTTGTTAGTTTTGAAAGCCTCCGGCAATCTCCGCTAATTACATTGGGATTTCTGAACGATGATATTGCGCACAAGATGTCTGCCGCGTTGTCCCTGTATTGGATATCTGTCGAATCCTCGCATTGTCCTACTAGTGTATCTTTATCGGCTATTCCTTGTGCGGTTACGGTTGTTTGTGTTTGTTGAACTCGGAAGTCTCGTGCTCGGTAAGCCAAACTCTGTCGGCTTCTTGCCACAGTGCGATTCCGTCATTCACATCAACCTGGAGGTGAGCACCGTCACTGTTCTGTTTGAGATGGAAGAGTTTGCGGATAATAACTCGAGTGCTATATGTTACTCTAGATACCACATAGGCTCTAAGTAGCCAAACTACGCGACTGGCATGATACTCGACACCCGGAGGCGAGTACGCTTTCAACGCGCAGTAATCGGCTTCGTATTGCCTCCGATCTCATATTATCCTTACTAGCTCCCGCGAAAAGCGACGGTCCGCTATGGACCAAGAGATATTTGACCTCACGGAGCGCATCAAACAACTCAAAACAGAGCGCAATGCGCTTTGTTCGATTTCCCTCCTTCCAGACGAGATCCTATCCCACATCTTCTTTGTCTATGGTGCCATCGTCGAGGATCCATACCGCGGGGCTTGGACGAAACTCATGGTCGTTTGCCGCAAGTGGCGGCTACTCTGCATGGCCCATGCCGCTTTGTGGTCTTTCTTCTCAGCACACCGCAAATCGACACACGGAGGTCTTGACTTCATGCAACGCCTTAGGCTTTCGGCGCAGTATCCATTGTCCGTGCAGTTCGACTTTCCGGGAGACAGCCTCATTATAGCGCACTTTACCGTTCATGAGCACGTGCATAGGATCCGAACATTGTCGGTGTATGCGAGCGGCATCGGCGACTTCGAGCACATATTCCAGGACATCGGCGACTTCCCTGTGCTCACTGAGCTCAAGCTCGATACCTGGGCGACTGATCTCTGGGCCATGGGACGCTCAATGGAAGAGGCTATCAGTCCTCGTCTTCAATCCCTCGTCCTTCGCAACGTCATATTTTCCTCGTGCCACCTGCTCGCCAACTTGACCACGCTCTCTCTCGAAGGCTCCAATGGACAAGCTTCCGACGTCAACCTCCCAAAACTGCGCGATATTCTCGGTATTTTGTCCCGTTCTCCGCGTCTCCACACGCTCAAACTCCAACAGTACTGGGCCGAAAGAGATCTCTCTCCGGAGGATTACAATTTCGGCCCAATTACCCTGAACCACCTTCACACAGTTGACCTCTTCGCTGCCGTTGGACATCTATGCGTATTGTTCCAGACGCTCCAAATGCCTCCCAAAGTGTTACTCCGCATCCTCGTCCGTGGATCCTGGGGCGGCGACTGGCTCAAACCTCTTCTTGTCCCTCTCCGACGCCATCTCCACCGCCCAGGCGGCCCCGTCTTTCGCTCGCTGACCATCGAGAAGACCTCGCCGTCATACGTCTCATTCTCCGCAAACACAAACGACAGCTGTCCCCCGCCTCTCGTCTTGCTCCCCCAAAACGACGTTCCATTCAGCATCACCACCTACCCCTCCCGACAACACGAACTCCGCTCCATCCTCTCCAAGCTCATCCACGCCCTTCCCTTCGACGCATCGTCCGTGAACCTCGACGCAACGTGGGTATCGAGCGAATTTACGCCCGAGACGTGGTGCATGGTCGGGAGGGCGCTCCCTCAGCTGAAGCGTATAGAGATCGGCGTGGGACACCAGATGGTGGCAATGTTGAAGGGGTTCATGTCTGCGCTTGAGCGTGAGCCCACGCAAGGTATCTCTGGGCGCAGGCGCAGGCGTATCGCGAAGAAAGTGGCTCTGCGTCCGGACAAACTCTTCTTGCACTTCAAAATCTGGCGTTCTTTTCGCGATGGGCAGCCTCCGGCTCTGGACAGTCGTCGCCTCTGGTTCGATACAATACTACACACGATGGAGCGATATCGAGACCTCCAAACGGTCAATAAGCATGCGGGGGAGTTGTGGGATACGCTGCAGTTCGATAGGGGTCATGGGGGAGAGGAGAATGAGGATATAAAGGCATATCGGGATAGGCTCTTTGGCGTTGTGAAGACCGTGATAATTCATGACGACATATACAATCCGGCTGTGTGGCGGGCGAGACAGGAGAAGTGGAGGAGGCAAGAGCAGAGGGCCCGCTTGGCCTTGGACGCAGGGGAAATGCCTCGCTTTGACGACAGCGATGATGATTGATATGGTGTTCGGCACGTTCTGTGTATTATTGACTTCATGCACATGATGGACTTTAGCTTGTAGTTCTTCCCTTATATATATCTGCAACGCCCTCTGCGTCGTGCCACCGCCACACCCGGCGATATGACGCGGAAATGCGGCACGTTGCCTGCAATATCATGGCTGTTCCGAGTCCGAGTCCAATGTTCATCTCATCTCTTTCGTCTACCATCTACTGTACTTCTTGAGTCCTGTCTCACTCATAGAGTCTCATCTAGTGTCTATCATTATTTGTCTGTCACACCAAACCAAACACTACCTAGACACCCCGAGACCGAATCATGGCGACAGTCAAGATTGGCACCCTTCTCATCCGCGTACGTCTCTCTGCCAAGTAACCGCTCTTCATAACGCGCTCCAGAAGGTATCAGTATCTCAAGCAGTCAACTCATTCCAGACATTAGCGAAGCCAATATCTGCTCAGATAAAGCATCAGGCCAAGGAGTGAGTGCGCACCTAGCTCACTTACCCTCCACAACGTGTTCGTGTCCGGTTATACTGACTTCTTGTGCTTCGCTTGAATCGGATGGGATGATATCTACGCGGGCGAAGACATGAGAGGTTCCGGAATATGTGTGTCGGACTCGCGCAGAGAATGTATCGGTACGAAATCAAGCTTCGCACCAGCCTCCTCGGTGAGCCCGCGAAGCACGTCCGACCTCTCTCAGAAACACGGTACGTCCTTCTCCAATCTCCCCATACCATTAACTCACTAATAACCGTCTCATGTCTCATCTCAATGATGCTCATGGTCATTTCCTACACATCACACAGCGCCATCGAGAACGGTGCCAACTTCCTCGCCGAAGGTTTCCTCTTCGCCGTCGCCACAGCCCTCATCCTAGGCGAAACATGGCGTTCCTCTCGAAGTTCATCAAAACGGAGAGATGACGTGGATGAGAAATTGGAGGATCTCCAGTCGAAGATGCAGGACGTGACGAAATGGATGGAAGGCGCGGAGGAGCGCTATGTTGAGGAACAGCGGAAGTACGTCTCCATCCTTGGACCTCATTGCTCATTCAGCTCTCTACATCCCTTCGACGACTCCTGCCTTCAACGTGGAGTCGCGGCTGACTCTCATGTGTTGCGGTGTTACAGGAATGAAGAGCTGACACGAATACTGGAGCGCGTCGTCGAGATAGGTCTGCGAGGCGGCTGGGCCGAACTCGAGGACACCCCACTACGAATTCCCCGTCTACAACTGGGCCCACCACCGTCAATCTCGAACTCATCCGCCTCTACCATTTCTTCTTCATCATCACCAGAGCCGTCCCAGTCATCCTCATCATCCTCGGACTCACCTTCTTCACTGGCATAACACAGACCGATTCATGTTCGGGGTCGTCCATGTGCCTATCGACAGGCGAAGTCGAGTAGTGGCCACACATCTACCTACTTGTATATTCTCCACGTATAATCATAATTGTTGTTCCATGCTGCTGGATCCAGACTGGGACAAGCCAGAGTAGCTTGAAGTGATTCAGGGTATCCGAGGACTGGATTAGGAAGAGAGAAGATATTGAATAGGATGCTGGCGAGGGCAAAGAAAAAGAACGTCAAGGGTGGAAGAGGTAATAAAAAGGCATCGATGATCATCATCATGACTGCCTTAATCCAGTCAAGCTCGTGAAGGGGCTCTAGAGCGACTGAGCGTGGCCAGAGAAGGGCCCCGGCCAATATAGCGGATTAACTAACCAGACAATTCAAACACGGTCTTTTGCACACTCATGGAAGACTCTTTCAAAGTATATTAGCTATAGTTAGCGGGATATAAGTCTAGCCCGGTAGCGTGCAATGATAATCCTAACATATTAAGGATCCCAGTCCCGGCAATGGTACTGGAATGGAGCAGCGATTATGGCGTAGCTATGTAGTAGTATGAGTCTCGTGGAGGACCGGCGGGCACAAAGCTATACGGCTATGTTGGGAGAAGTTGTTATTGTGGTTATTCATAATTACAACTTTGACATGGACACGAACCGATGGACCATGATTACCACCTGAAGGAGGGACAACCAACGGAGGAAGGTAGCTTTCATTAGCGAAACCAGGAGGTGCAGCACTCAGTGCACCGACCATGGGAGGAATGTTTCGGGGGTGTGGTAAACCCGGCCGGCGACTAAGATCTCGCGAGGAAGTGCTAGTGGGAAGGAGGCGATCTATATGAGCCAGAATGGCACCGATTTTTTCGAACATTTCGACCTCAAAGTCACGGAACCTGGCTATGAGGACCCGAATTTCATGGAGCTGTTTTTGCATGCTTGATAACTGTGTCTCTGATCCATTCAGAGGCCCGGCACCAATGCTGACCTCAGTCTCATCACCGTGAACGGCATTGCTAGATTACTTCAAATATCAGCCCAGAAAGTCAGAATCATTATAGGTGATAGTTGCACCTACAGCGGCGGAAGTACATGCCAATCTTGGCGCACCGTGTTCCTCATACTTTCGCTAATGGCCCACTTCATGCTCTCAATTCCCAACTTGAAAGTAGCTCGAAGGTCACGGATTTCCTCTTGTATGGTGGGCAGTAGGGCGCCGATGCCGGTCTCGGTCTCCTCGCTGTGAACGGCATTAATCCAAAGAATCCATATCGTTGCAGGTGAAGGTTACACTTACAGTGGCGGAAGTACGTGCCATTGGCACTTGTTGCTCATAGGATTGCGACGAGCGCACGGTCCACATTGTGGGCGAGATCTAAGTAATTCATCAGGATCTAGTCGAGCGTGACCGTTGACCGTATAGGAGCTTGAATGAGAACATACCTATCGCATTTGACTTTACGCTTTTTACACTCTAAAACCCAACATATGAGCCGGTGGTAATTCAGGAGGTACGGTGACGTGTGGCAAGGGATTGAGCATCACAAGTCAAATTCAACACGACAAACCTACAGCTCGACCACTCACCTAGACAACTCAAACCCTGGCGTCTACGTTTCCTAGGTGGCGCATCCTCTTCCACAAGTTCCTCATCTGACGCGCTATCATTAGGGCTCGGGCGTAGTTCAGACGTCGGTCCAGAGGTCGGATGACCCATGCCATTGAATATCGGGGTGTCGTTTGTGAAGTTTAAAGAAGAACCACTGGCACTAGTCACATCTAGAGGAGCTCGAAGGAATGCTCTGTGGTCATGATGCACTGGGATGTACGAAGGCGATGAGGCCTGAGTGAAAGTGGTCAGAGAGCTCTCTTCGGCTGGTGGAAACTGATACCAAGACTGGGAGAGTTCGCCATTAAGTTCGACCCCAGCGCTCGCCATGCCTTGGTACGAGTCAGCATTCAACAGACTCGCTAAGTTCATGAGGGCGTTGAATAGGTCTCGAAGTAATATATCGAAGGCTAGTCAAGCAGTGGTTGCTAAAAAGTCTATAGGTCCGCATTTATTCTTCGGTAATTCGTCCAGGTGCCAGCTAAGCGCCTGCAATAATACGTACGTACAGGATAACCGTATGCGGCCGTGGGCATAACGTAACCAGGCAGAATCCCCATAAAGTCAAGTGTGGTAAAAGAGAAATAGATTCCTGAAGAGATTTGGATGAGAAGAGCCGTCGAACAGTGGCAGTGGAGGTAGACATGTCGCTCTAGTCTCTCACTGTTGATGAAAGGCGTTTTCAACGTGTCAAGTGCCGCCCCTGGCAAACCGCCCCAAACCTGTTCGGGAATTCGCGTCGGTGTTAGGCCATTTTATGCAAGTATGTTTGTCGGATTCTCATCTCGGAGGTTATCGACCATTCCACCCGCGAACTTTGTCCACAAACGCAGCGTGTTCGTGAAGCGTACATCGTCATCATCTCATCTCGAGTTGTACGGTGCGCCAGTGTAAGTATGGTAGATTTTTGGGACGGCGCGGAGGAGAGGGATATTGTATGATACGATATGATATGATATGTGAGGGTAAGATATAAAGTGGCGGGTAAATGTACAATTGTCCACAATGACGTGAAGAAGGAAACAGAGATGGGAGTAAAGTACAAAATAAGAGAATGCACAAGAAAGAAGAAAGAAAGAAAAAGAAAACAACAAGTCCGAATCCATCCAAGATCCCTCCGCCCACAATCCTTCCACCACCTACATAATCGTACACCCACCACCCCTCCCACATCTCTCCCTCCAGAACTCCCACCCACCCCCACCAGCCCCACCTTCCCTCTCCCTCTCCTCCTTCGTCCATATCCTCCCCCCTCTCCTCCTCACCACGACCTTCACCTCCTTCGCTTCTGTTTCTGAAACATCATACCACCACCTCAACACGCCTCCCTCGATCTCGTACCTTCCTTCTGAGACTTCGACTTCCACCGCTAGAGTGGTACTGCTACCGGCCATCTCTAACTTCTGCGATGCGGGAGCGGCGTGGGGCGGGTATGGAGTCGGTGTCGGTGTTTCGGTACTTGGACACTCGGCCTGAACAGTCTCTTCAGACGAGTGTTGCGATGACGAGGATGAGGATGGAGGCGACGAAGGTGATGACGGTGCAGAAGGGTCCTCCGCATATATCGACTGAGCGAGTAAAGTCCCCACAGCCGCATCACTCGCATAATGCACAACCGGCAAAAAAATCTCCGTCGGCGGCACCTCCACCTTCCCCTCACCCTCATCCCCACCAACACCAACGCAAACCGGTCTATCCTCCGGCCTCACCCTAATCGTCATCCTAAACTCCGCCTTGCCCACATCGAAGGCCATGTCGATAGGTATACCGACCGCAGCCATAGGATACGGCCTCGAGAACGCTTTATACGCCCTCGCGCCGTCCGTCAGGAAATCGAACGACTCGAGCGAGTTGTCCCACCGATCCGCGTTCATCAATGTCTCGTCCTCCGATTCGGCTCTTTGGTGTCCGTTTCCGTTGGCGTTTTCGTTTTCGTCGGTCACAGGGAGCGAGGAGAGGGAGAGCGCGGAACCGAGGGCGGTGGGGGGCGCGTGCATGCCTGCTGCTGCTGCTAAGAACGAGCGGCGCTGTGGGCCTAGCTTGTGATTGTTGACGTTGTTGTTGTTATGCTTCAAGAGCAATGTCGATGATTTATCGTCCATATTCCCGAACTGGAGTCTACTCCCACTTGGATCCTGACCCTCCCCTTCGCCCTCCCCGTTTCCAGTCCCATTGCCCATCATCGTCCTCCGTGGTCTCAGGTCGTCTGGACTCCATAAACTCAAATCCTCCATATTCCACCCATCTCCCCACTTATGCCCACCATCCGCACAATAAGTCCACACCGCATAACTCAACGCATTCGCCCCATCCGCCGCATTCAGACTCGCGTCCAGCGCCCTTTCCTGTCTCCCATAATCGCCCTTATACCGCCCATTATCCGTATACCCGTATGCACGCTTGCCGTCCATATCGTACGGGATGCCGATTTCGCCGATCATGGTGGGGTAGGCACCGAGGATGAGAGCATCGGATTTTAGGATCCCGAGCTGTTCTTGGAGTGATTTCCGAATGGCGCGTTCCCCGATTTTGAGCGATTGCAGGACGGAAGTGTATTTACCCCTGAGGACGCCCAAAGCATCGGCGTTGAACCAGTTCCAGTGCCGGGTAATGAGCGTGAGGCCGTCGTAGTAGTGTGTGGAGTAGGCGCAGCGGCCGGCGAGCTCGAGTTCGTCCAAGGGGGGCGGCTGCGCGAATACGGGCGGCGCGACGAAGTGGATGGCTTCGGGTTGGATGGATTTGACCATTTTTGCGTACGCGGACCAATGCGGCCTCCAATAATCCGCGATGAATTCGACTTCCCTCGGTTCATCGCCCTCAAGACACGGCACCGACCTGAAATACTCCGGCAACATCACATACCCCGTCTCGACGTCCCATATCCCATGCAACGCCCACACGCACACCCCCAACGTCCACCCCCCATCCCTCCTCCATCCATACCTCGGATGCACACCCCCCTCCTCCGTCTCCGGCGCACTCCAAATCGTCCGTCCCTTCGGATCAATCGTCACCGTCCCATCCTTACTCGGCCCGAACGTCCCAAACGTCCAATGATCCACCTCCTGCGCCTTCCCCATCCCGAGCCTCAAACTCTGCGCCGGCGTCGGCGTCGGTCCTTTCTTGAGCTGTGAGGTCTGGTGCTGCGGGTACGCGTTCAAATCCGCATATCCAACCAATCCTTCAGACGGCTCGTTGAGTGTATCCCACCCGATCACACACTCGTCCATCAGATCGCCCGCCTCTCTAATCCGTTCCGCCAATTGCCCGAACGCGGCGATATAGTGCGATTGGAGGTAATCCTGGATATTAACACCATCAATAATACATTTCGGAGCGAAATCGCGCCCGGCGTAGAAGAGCGTGAAGAGGGTTTGGTTCGCGAGGCGGCCGTAGTTCGTGGACCAGATCATGGCGGGCACCGAGGCCGGGTCGGGGGATTGCGCGGAGGGGTATTCGGAGTGGATGATGGCGGCTTGGGTGGCGGTGAAGTTGCGCGGGTTGATACCGCAGGCGAGGAGGGTCCAGTATGGCGCTCCGGAGCCGCCTGAGAAGCGGGACCACTGTGGATAGATAGTGAGCGAGGACAGTCAGCGTACAGTGTGAGAGAGGAGAGGAGGGCCGAAAGGGGTGGAGGAAGAACGAGCTAGAGTTCGGGCCGAGAGGGGCCGTGCTGTAGACAGGAGAGTGGTTTCGCCACAAGCTGTGTTCCTGACGAGAGGCTCATCATATCTTGGTCAACACCACCAAGGCACCGAAACAGATAACGAGTGCACCGCGAGAGAGATGGTGTACACCAGACCCTCTGCACACATTGTAAAGGTCGCTGGTCATAATGGGCTCAGCTTCATAGCCATGGCGGATAATAATAGTCCTCGCGGACAACGCGCAGCGCAACGTGCATGACAGTGACAGAGACAATAATAACATGCCTCCCAACCCCAAAAATAAACAGACAGGAAAGAGAGAATAGAATAGAAAGCACGCACCACGTCCTGGTGTGGGTCCATGAATATCTTGAAGCCATACTGCTTGCATTTCCGAAGAACGCGAACGGTATAATCCATAAACTCATAATCATACTTCCCACTACCGCACCATTCATCCATCCATTCGTCCGTTGAGCCTTCGCCCACTCATTCAAGAAAAAGACCAAAAAACGAATGCTGCTCACGGTCCTTCATGCTCCAACGCCTCCCACAACACCGGATACCTCAACACATTGAACCCCCACCCCCTCAGCCTTGCCAGATGCACGTCCGCAGTGCCATCCTCCAGATTAAGCGGCCTTCCCACAAAACTCTTCCCCTTCCCCTCTGCGTCCTCCCAGAATCCGTCGAGGACGTACGAGGGCTCGCCGACGGGGGCTTTGGAGGACCCGGAGAGGTTGACGCCGCGGAGGAGGAGGGTGCGGCCGGAGGAGTCGACGAATTGGCCGTCGGTGGTGTGGATGTAGTGAGGCGGGACGGGCTGGCCGGTCGCGGGTGAGACGGACGGTATTCGTGGCATAATTTGGTATTAACTTGGGAGAGGGAGAGACGAAGCGGAGACCTGCAGAGCGACGTCTGGAGAGGAACTTGATAGCAATGCCCGATTGGGCCACTCCAACGTCGTACCACAACCCGGCGTTTATTCGGCATCGGACTTAGCACTCGTGTGGCACCTGACCGCCACACCCTGACACAAGCGTTTACAAGGATGGAAGTGGGAGGCGTTATCGTGATCACTAGCAACCAGTATCACCCTCCTTGTTCCATTTTGACGGTTGACGGTTGCGTGAAAACGTGAACCCCAAACCCCCACACCCGTTCTCTGGCAAAGAGGCCTTCGCTGATGAGTCGCCACTGCCACCTTCCAATACGCTGCTGCTTGAGCATGCCTTTCCCGCTCCCCCTTGGCTTTCAATATTTCAATTCCGAAAACCCCCCCTTCTAAACAACTACTACAGTACTGACCTCGCCTCAAAAGCAGTCTGGTAACTTGAGGTTCGTCACTGAGCGGACATCTCGCCTCAGCACCGGCTGTAATAACTCAAGAGAGGCCAATCGAACATGCGTGATATGTCGACACCGAGCAGACTATCATAGCAGAGCCAGATCCTTCGTTGTAGTAAAGGTCGTATTTCGAGCCAGAGTAATCCGCAGTCTTGCTCAAGATTACCTACGTATCATGTCGGATCATGGAAATACTTACTGTATTTGCGTAGTGGCGAGGATGATTCAGAAGAAACCCGCATGGGTTCAGACCATGAGTACATGGTTTGCAGCCTTCGCTCGGGAAGAGCTCAAAGCGTCACAGGCAGCTGCAGGGTGCAAGTGCCCTGTACACTCAAGAGTCATATCTAACAATGTAAATTCTCGACGCCTCAGGAGTCTACGGAACACTCACCTTCCCACGAGAAAACACCGAGGTAAGCCGTGTCATCCGCATGCGAGTGGCGCAACAAGCAAGATGAATAACTGTGCGTGTACAATTGAAATTTCCGTATGATGAGTATTAGGGTGTACTAGTCAACATGCAAGGATGATATAACAACACAAATACAAGTGCAGATAGAAAACAAAACGGGCTACTTAATCAAAACCTAGGGAGTGAGTGCAGTCAGAACAAACCTGGAAACTCGAGAGTGTGAGGGCGAAAGTACGCACAAGCATAGCAAAGGGAGCATCAACGACAAACGACGACCAAGAGCCCATGGACAAAGAGGGTAGAGGATGAAAACAATACAATCAGACGTATCGCGGCCTCATCACTGAGCAACTCGACGGCGCTTCCTGGACTTGGATGTATTGCTGGCGACCGTTTCGAAATCGGCCTTCCTGGCCGCATCTGAAACAAGACGAACGCATTAGGTTCCAGATGAAGACCGTAACACTATGGACGCGTAACAGGACGGGTGGGAGACGTACCTTCGACATTCAATTTCACAATCTGAGGCTCCTGCGGCTGCTGCCTCGTCCAACACCACTGATCCTTGTCCAAGAACCATTTGAGCTGCACACCAGGGGCCACGAGATCGCCGATCTTCTTCATATTTTCCTCCGGAACCGCCCCTTCATAATTACTCCCCACCTTCAATGCCAGCTTGAAATTGATCTTGCCATGCTTCAACGGATCCTCGACATAATCCCCGTCCGAGGCGAAAACGAGCTTGATGCGTGGATCGTACGGGATGAGGCCCGTGTCCTCGTCGAGCATGAGATCGATGGCTTGGAGACACGCTTCGTAGACGTTCGGGACGACATTGTTCTTGCCGCGCGAGATCGTGGGGTTGTAACCTTTCGATTGGACCCAGCGGACGACGCGGTCGGTGTCGATGAGCCAGCCGAGGTTGAGCAGTGGCGGCGTAAAGCTGCGGCCATCAGGAATGAGATAACTAGGGATACAATCTATAGGTTGGCTACGGAATGCTCGTGTACGATCCTATAGTGGGCGATTGGAAGTCAGTAAGAGGATTGTGAAAGATATGGAATGGGACGCACCGAATTGGTGTACTTTAGACGACGCGGCTCATTCTCTGGAAGAAACATAAGAGTTTTCTTGGGAGCAGTAGAAGAGGCCATGATAGAAAGCGTTTGATGTAGTGGTCAAGAGAAGGACGTTGTGAGCAGATGAGAGGAGAGATGCAGACGCTCGCGCGGAGCGGGACTTCAACACGCGCCACGTGGATATCCGGTCCGGCCGACCGTTCTTTTCTCCGTTGCCGAACAAAACGACATGACACGCCTTGGACACGCCTCGTTGTTCCCTCGTTGCTTTGACACGGCTAAATGCGAATTCAAAGAAGCCTGGGAATGTTTAAAAAGACTTTGCTCAGACTCGGGGCCTCAGGGTTGCATCTCTTTTGCCACCATCATCTCACTCATCCTGTCTAACTTGAACACTTTGGAATCGCTCCATCCAAACTCATCATGGCTCGCAACAGAAGTGCGTACCTTGTATCGTATCTGATGAATTACTCGAACCGTATATTGACATGAAATTTATACTCTGGAACAGCGTCAACACGGAGGCGAAGGGGGCACGACCCATGGAGAGACCCCGTGTCCACCCCCTACGCTACTATTCTTCGACAACACAGGCGCACGTTCAACGGCGTCGAGATGGAATTGGATCACGAGCAGGCGATTTACAGACCCGTCAATACTGTCCTGAACTATCAGGCCATGACACATTCCCAATGGTTAGCCCTCACCACTAATCGCTACCTCACAATCGGTCCGCAAAGTCCAGTCTACGCTCACGGCAAGCCGACCCCTCTCTCAGCTCCTCCGGCGGATGGAAGTACGTGATTCACCTTTTTGTATTATTTGATCATATATCCCCGAACTCGAAACCCTTACATCGTGCTCTTGATTGATATTAGTCGCCCATAACGTGAAGACAGCGCCTCGCTTGAGGGTTCAGACCGACACAGAGACGTTAGTGGAAACGGATGCGGCCTACAAGCGTCGTCAAAAAGGTCGGTCCCTCTCTTCTTTCTCGACGAGCTGCCAGAGGAAACTGACCTTCTCTCTGTGCTGTCCATCCGTCTGTTCGTCCATCAGAGCAGCTCCCTCGAACATTGTGGAGAAACGACGACGACGAAGCCGCCATACTGGACGAGTTTAACGACCCATTGGCAGACCTCGTCCCGGACGACCCCTCATGGGATGCCTCCCAAGACATCTCTGCCCCCGAAGGCCTGTCCACTAACCCCTCGGCCCCCATAAGCCAACCTCCCTCCGCATACCGCCTCATCGACTTCAACATCTACGTGAACGATTCCGAAAGTAACACTTCTGGTGTGGTTGCCAGTATCGTCGAAATTAAGGCACTCCCTAAGTCCGCACTCGACCTCGGACAGGAAACGGAGCATGTCGTCGCCGATGTGATGGACAGCATGCTCCCGCAAGTCATCCAATACGTCCAGTTCGTGTTCGCGGAGTATCCTTTCCTTGATGAAGTCCATGCTCTGCTCTTTGTCTCGTCTTGGTGTAAGTCCCTCCGGTTCAGGCGGAAGAACGTTCCCGAGCTTCCTCATGTGGACGACATTCCCAAGAACGGCTTCGTGCCCTCCACGGATAGAAGAAGGAGAAATATGAGGGACTTCGCGGAGAAGAAAGACAGGGAAAGCTTTAGGATCTTTGGCGAAGACGGGGATTACAACCCTGCGTTCAAGGCCGCGTTCGACAAGATTGCGCGATATGCGAAGAAAGTGAACTTGGGTATCTAGAGACATCGGGCGACGGCCGACTAGGCGTGTCTGCTTGGGCTCTGGCATCCAGCCGCTGTGTTATTAGGCAGGCGTTTACGCTTGCAGTGTTTTTGTTTTGTTTTATTGTTGTTGCTTTGAAGTGCACTTGTTATCGATGCTTACTTTGTTCGTACAATGCTATCCATCTCTGCTTGCTCTCGATATAGTTCATCGTGCCGATACAAACTTTGCGTGCGGAAAACGATCCATGGATTGACTTGTCTGGAAGTCGTAGTTGCTGTTGTCAACTAGGTGACCTCCCTAGGATCGTGGAATCCTTTGCCACCCTACTAAACACAGAGAAGCAACATTGCAGGTATATCTAGATCTGCTAGGAGCATGATCTTCGGCGGAGCTCATCGACATCTGTGCTACAATTGACTCCCAAATTCTACGGAAAGGCACCCTTTCCATGTGAGCTTAGCAGGTCAGGATACAAGATAACATGTGTACCGTAATGCCACCATAGGCTGCATCGTGCAAGACCAACAAATATACGACAACGCCACAGACCCCCATCTATCGAAGCTGGATATAGAGCATCGTGAAGAGTGTAGACATCGTACTTTTCAGGTTGGTGGACTATTGACCATGAAGGACACGGCCAAGACACGGCGGGGTCAGTTCACGCCTCCACGCAACCGACGACAGTATCGACAAAATGGTGTTACTTCACCTGTGAGCGATGATCACTGCGTGCATCGTGCACCCCATAGATTCAGAGGAGCACAGAATGAAAGATATCACCTATGTCGAAGCAAATAAGGAGCGTGGAGAGACAGAGTTCATGCTTTCAAGCAGTAAACCGACAACCGTCAATGCTCAGTATCAGGAAAGGAGTCATACACCATCTGGGAGCGATGCTAATTGCATGCGGCGTGCGCCCCGCAGAGGTGCACAAGAAGAAAGATAGAATCTTTGTCGAGATAAGTAAATAGACCTAGGAGTGTGGAAAGCCAGAATTCATGCCACCGCGCAACCGTCTAAATTATGAGTTCACAATCTCGTGTTGACTAAATAGCCACGATAGTCCACCAAAGTATACAAGTGCTCGAGCTTATGGCCGAGCTGAGTGGGTATATACCATACCAGACAGCATGCGTACCGTAATACCATCGTCTTCGTGCCGGTACTCGAGGACTCGGACGTTCAAATCCCGAGTGAGCTACCATGGAACCTGATCGCACTGCCACAGAATCTCGTTCTCCTCATTCTACTAGTGCCTCCACAGCTAGAAGATCTAATCAGAAAAGGACCCGACGAATAGCAGGTGAGGCTGGAGCTCTATCATTACTGGTTCCGACAGTGAGCGTCGATGTTCTGTATCTTGGGAGGTCGATCGTATGCCCAAGACCACCAGAAATCCGAGTGTGAGAACGCCGCATCTCTTCATCTATCAGAGCTAGATATATCACGAAGACTGTAGACATCGCACTACGCAAGTAGGCGAACCATTGACCGTGTCGGACACGGCGCGGTTGCCCAGTAATCAGATATGTGCCACAGGACAAAGATGCGCGTTGCGTCAGCCACATGTCCATCGCAATCACTCGTCCCTCGGACTTTTCGCGAGGCACATCACCTTTTCAGGACTACGATCTCCCATGGTTGCCCCTCCGAACAGACCCAAGGAGCGACTACTGCTGCAAAGTTCAGGAGTTCGCTACCTTTTCGTGATGAGGAAGAGGAAATACAAAGCCGACATGGCCTTCTTGTCAGCTTGGTTTCCATCATGTACCGTGATGACGGCAGCGCTGGGCGCCCTGGTACTTTATATGGGGACCTGAGGCGAACGGACGGTCTTGAAGGTAGTCCGTCTTTCCTCCGCACAACGCAGAAGACGACCAAAGCACCACACACTGTGTCAGGCCCGCTCAAGGTTGAAAGCCTTAAGCCCGATCCCAAACGGACTTGGAGAAGAATAGTCGTGCGTATATACCACACTTTATTTGAAAGAGGGACTTACCAGGAACCTGACCTCAGATCTAAAGAAACCACGCCTGTTCATGTCCCCGTATCGCTGTTAGCCAAGACAACATTTGACGGTGAAGAGAACCCTCCGATTCAGGAGCTCGAAAAGTTTTTGTATATCACATTGTCCACAAAGTCGAACACGAGCCCTCAGATTGAACTCCTCGGTACCGCGCAATCCCGAAACAACGCGAAAAGGGTTATTCCCGCCGGGCTTCTACCTCGAGCTCTTTTTCTCCATAACCACCACCAGCCCAGTCACTCCTTCATCCCCTTTACTTTTCCTTCATATACCATCACTCGACCAGGCCGGATGTCATAGCGATGTCGGATGCATCTGACGCGTTGAAGGAGGAGTATATATCGCTGTTTATCGCGAGTTTGGTTCCTCTCCGGACGGTCCGTGAGTACCCCAGTTTTTGCAATGGATTGTGGCGTGTGGACTAACCTGGTATAGTGCCCGCTTTGACTTGGATATTGCACGATTATTGTGAGCGGTCATAACATCCCATTGGATATGTGGGTATCGTTGAATTATTCACTGATGTTCGGGTCGTTGGACAGTTGTTACGCTCGAGGATGAAGTACGTGAGGTCATAGATGTATGGGCCACAACCTACCATACTGATCATTCACACGAACTCACAGATTCGATATATCTGGGTGAGTTTGGATCCCAAGCACCGAGCTACCTGGTGCATTCAAAGCGTCGACTAACGCCCACGGTACAGTCCCAACAACGATGCTTCAGCAAATTCATGTATCTATGGGTCAGATCCATTCTTGTTCCCACATTTGCATCGTTTTGACCCGAGTCGGCGAACAGATACGTTACTACAGCATCGTCCTCCTCATCTTCGATGCTACACAAATACACCTCTTCAGTCGACCGGGTATAACAGGCCCAACGGTGTGCGTCTGCTTTCCCTCATCTAGACATGTTACGGTCCTAAGGTCCGTTTTTCTGACTCCGTCTCTAGATGTGTGGCGATGGACTCCATCATCCGCATAGTCGGAGCTATCAGCCTATGGTCCGTCGAGATCATCATGCAGCTCCGCGTCTACGCCATCTATAAGTGCTCAAAGCGGGTACGCCACCCCTCCGCTCTCCCTCCTCTTTCCTACAAGGAGTTATTATTCGAGACCGAGTATTCGAAGCCGAAATCTGATGACCTGTCGACTATAGATAGTTGTGTTCAATTTTGTGCTCTTCCTTGGGTCTGTTGCCGGCTTCATGTACGTTTTGGTTTACAATGCTGAACGTCGGCGAGCGGTCATTGCGCAAGCTGTGACGTTACCTCTACCTGGATGTCCCTCGATCCATTCTGGTATTGAATGGGCACAATGGGTTCCTGGTGAGCGCTTTCTCGCCTCTGTCTATTCATATGTCGCCTCAGCGCCTCCGTATGGAGTATTACGAAGAACTGAAGAGCGAATGCTGTCCTGACACTACCCTTTCCGTTCATGTCTGACGTCCCTCTTCGATGCAGCTACAGCGTACGAAGGCGTCCTGTTCTCATTTGCGCTTTGGAAGACTGTCAAATCCACCGCTGGAAGAGTACGGAATAAGGCTCGGGTATCGATCTATGAGCTCCTGCTGAGAGACAACCTGTTCTATTTCTTTGCGTAGGCCTTTCGATCTGCTCTGTTTTCGTTATATAAAGTTCTGACGACATGGTCCAATCGGTAGGATCGCGGCCATATTGGTGTTCAATAATCTGATGGTGGTAGTGCGTATCGAGTCTCACACTGTTACTTCTGATATTTGTGGCTCACGTATGCCTGTCCGATCGAATAGGGCCTCACGCACATCCCGTGGTTCAGTTACGGGTGTGTTGCACTCAACCTCCCGTCTCTTTCTCTGCGCCTGCTAACTTTCATTCCCCTAACCAGTCCATTCCACGCAGCCGTCGAGATCCTCACCTGCCGCATGCTCGTCAACCTCCGACGCGCCTCGATGATCCATCCCTTCGACGAAGACACCGAACTAACAGCCATAAGTGGAACCTCCTCTTCATCCGACGATCATCATCGGCCCAAACGACACGGACGCGGGCTTCGAACGGACGAGTCATGGAGGGTCGCACCCGGGCTTGTGAGTAGCTCGTTGGGAACGACTACGGGGACAGGGACGATGCTGGAGACATTGGAGAGCATCGTTCCTGTTAGGGCAGACGTGGAGGCGCAGGTGGCTGGGCCGAGCGGGTGGGAAAAGCAGGGTGTGCCTGTGAAAGTCAAGATTAGGGGAAGTGATCCTATAGTAGAGGATGAGTTGGTGAGTCCGGTGGAGGTGGAAGTTAGGGTAAAGAAAAAGGTGAAAAGTCAATTATTTTGCTCGAAGACGTTCGACTGACGGATTTGGTCTGATTGGCATAGCTGGAGATGGACGATGGCCTGCTGCTCCGATGACGAGGCCGTCAACGACTGAGTTCCTCATTTGTATTATACGATCACTCTCTGGTATACCCTACATCCAGTACTTATGACTACCACGCTACCCCAAGGGCGGGGGCTATCTTGTTTTCGCTGCTATTCCCTCGTCGAATATCACGGGACGACCGGAGATAGACAAAGATGAGGATGTTTAAGAACCGTAACTTACGAGGGACATATACTGAACGATCCGTTTGAGAGTCACCCTCGATTGGTGGAAACGTCATAGGATCCATTTCATCCGGGAGGTCAGAAGTCACACTAGTCGTAGTCAACACCCATCTAAAGAGTTCGTCCCATATCTTCGTGCTTTCGCAATACCCGCTCCCGTCACCTAACCGGGTCGTACAACTCCCCATCAATAGTCAACGATTTTGCCACCTCGAGCAATCTATCCCTATAGAGTTGAATCATGTCATACTCCTCGCTCCCCTGGTGCCGCTCGAATTCCAGCGCCTCCCACTTTTCCCCTGCAGGCTTATTGACGGTCTCCAAGTCGCGATAACGTTCGAGAGCGTGGAGTAGACTGTTGAACCAAGAGAAGCGTTGAGGTCTCGCAGCTATCCCCTCCGGATTGGAGGGATGTCTCCAGACCAAGAAATTGATGGCCAGTTTGGATGGACGAAGCCCCACCGTCTTTTCCGCTAGTCGTCTTTCACTGCGGCCATGGAGGTCTTGAGGGCCTTGTTCAAGGACAGATAGGAACCCCTTCAACATCGCCACCATGTCATGTCCCATGCCAATTTGAATCTCTTTTAACTGAGGTAAGACCGTCCCGACCGTCTGCCACGTTTGTAAAGTGAAGTCTGTGGGCATACACGAGTTGAGGTTGACGGAGGACGAGTCGAAGGGAAGGGCATGGATCAGCTTTCGAAGAGACGATCGGATTTCAAGTTGAGTTTTGGCGCCGGTGAGGAGGCTGAATTGCGCTAGAGTACCTGGTAGGGACACGGACCTGATGGGGCAGGAACTCGTTGTATGTGCTGAGAGCCTGAAGCCCTCTCCAGCTTCATGCCCAAGTGCTGTGGAGCGAAAGACGGGGCCACCGGGGCGATGGAGGTGGCGTTTGATGGAGACAAGAAGATGTTTAATCGATTCTCCATCGGAAGAGTCTGGTACTAGTAGGCTAAGAGTTGCCATGGGTGGAATCTTTAGGATATCAATGATCAACTCCATCCATTGCAAGGACGCCGTGACATCGAGAAGGGTGAGATGAATGAGCTGGATGGCAAGGGATGGTATCGCTTTGAAACCGTCTAATTCGGCTGGATCTTGATTCCAGTATTTTTTCCAGACCAGTTCGGTTAGATGTGGTGATCGTGAAAGGACGCAGAGAATGTCGCGGAACGACGGGAGTGGCGCCATAGCATCTGAGCCTTGGAGAGTGAGTGTGGTTAGGTTCGACACGAGGTCCCACGCACGAAACCCCACTCTGATAAGACAAAGTAATCGCAGATTAGGAGCGACCTGTCTTTGCAGTCTCTGATCGAGCTCGTAGGTGCTGGTCACAGACGTAATAAGCGTCAAACCCGCCACCGCGGGCAGAGCGTCGATGCCTTCGAATACATCGCGAATAATACCCGGCCCCGTGGCTGAAATGTTCAAATAGCGCGTCCGATTCGAATGAGACAACAGGATCCGATTCGGGATGTAAGACTGGCGAGGTAACAGGAAGAAGTTGAGGGTTAACGGACACTGAGCGGATCGCTGTAGCCGTTCGTCAAGAGTTAGGCCCTTGCTTCTCTGCGACAATGATATGAAAGACCACAGAACGGCGTGGTTCAAACCGATTTGTCTCCATCTCTTGCAGACAAGCATGAGCTTCGTCCACGTTCCCCGAAAGGGAATCTCAACATTTCGACCGTACTCAAAGAAGATTTGCGAGAGGATCTCGTCTGGGAGAAATGACAAAGCGGCGAGAGAATTGCGATAGCAGTTCAGGAATTCGAGGCGTTCTCTCAGTTGGACAATTTCCTGATCCACTTCGAGTCGGGCGTTACCTCGTGAGCTGTATAGTGCATTATATCGTCAGGAAATGAGATCTCGGGCAAGCAACTCGTACATACGCAGTGGTTTTGAGGATCATGTCACCTGTCTACTACTTAGCTACTTGCGGGTGAACTGGCAAAGCTTCTGCCAATATATAGTCCTTGGTGACTACACACTGTGAGTATAAATTCATTTGGGTAGCAAGCTGCGAAACTGACCTTCGAGCTGCTCTCAATTTGAAGTTGCCACCATGAGACGTCCCGGAGTGAGACTCGGTCCGGTCTGGTCCGGAGCCTTGCGAATTCAACAAGCACAAACAATGCTAAGCATCACGACTTGCTCCCACACGATTACTGTAATCGTATTGTTTTCTGCGCCCAGCCCTGCTCAGCCTACTCTCGAATAACTACATAACTTGATTTGGAACAAGAACAGACAACTGCAGCATTATATTGATATTTGAGAGCCCCTGGTACGTTCCAACGATGTGCACATAAGCAGTGACGAGCTGAGTTCAAGTTCTCTGTGGCTGCTTAAATTCATTCTCACATATTTACGAGTTCTCTTTCGTTTCTGTCTAGATTGAATAGCATCGAGACCGGAGAGTCCACCAGGAACAGCGTCGCATTCAAGAGGAGATCAAGACAGATGTATGTTCTCAATATCTTCCTTCAAGACCTTGAATGTTCTTCCTCCGATCACATATTTTTCGACTTCAATCTTCTCATCGCCGTGAGCGCTGTCTCCACAATGCTACATGGACCATATCATTTTCCCATTTGTCGACATCGACACGATTTATGCGCAGACCATGTCACTCTTTGGCTCCTCCGGTCGTTCTTGTCATCGAGCGCCCTCACTCTTGACGGTCCGGAGGCGACAGAGGCCTGCGGGCCACCCATTATTCTTCAACCTCACTCTGAACTCGGGAGAATATAACCTCTCCCAAAATAAATCATTCCTGGGCCTGGTGACCTAGTAACCAGGAGACGCTTTCGTGGTTCTGAGCCGCTCTATGGCCGCACCACCTTCCGATGTTCATATTTTTGAACGAAGGTACTTTTTGAGCCTTCCTTACTCGGGATAGGATCACCCTAGCAACTCTATATTGTGACCACTTCCTTTTATAGCCACACTGTTGTCTGTCCTCGTATGGGCTCCGTCTTCCCATATGCTATAACTGCTGCATTGTTAGATAATGCAGACATCCGTGACCATCGTCAGCTGCCTCGCGCCCCACTACGATGTCGCACCTGACCAGTTTACGGCTCGATGAATCAATTCATTACCCCTACCAGGGCATGGACTCGCTTTACCATCTGGTCTTGCTAGGCTCGATATCAGACCATTACTCTCGATCATCATTTCATCGCGCCGTTAAAGCGCCGTTGCATCTCTTCTACGCTTTCTCAGTTCATATGTATCGCAGACGTCTTCTGGCCCATCACGCCCGCATTCTCACATCATAGCTGCATGCACTCACCATTTGGATGATCGAGGCACAGCTCTGCCTTGATGTGCTTCCATAAGCTAAACGGTCGCTACGCTCCATACTTGTCAAAGCACCGTTGTAAACAATATGTCTCCTTAATGATCACACATATATGTTGAGATGGACGGAGCAGCGTACTTCATCCTTCATGGCCTCGTGGAGGATGGAGGCCAGGGAGATAGCATTGCTAGAGAGATATGGCCTAGGCGGCTGTTAAATGGGGACCGTTGATGGCCCTTAGTATTCATCATCTCGATCACTGAAGGAGCCATCCATGGCAGCTTCAATCAGTATGTTTCGGAGGACGCTCACGCCAAACTGCGGAAGCTGTCGATTGCGGTGAATGTCGTATCCCATTGGCCTGGCATTAATATTACTGCTCGTTCATCGCTTGGTCGTCCTAGGCGGGTAAAGTAAGGCTCTGCGAACGTCTCATTACCCGCTGTGGGACCTGTCCTCTCGAGAGTCATACATTTTGATCAATATATGTTCATTTGGTTTCACTTGAGGCTAGTGGCAGCTGGTCACTTTTGGACGGTACGGCAAACAAATGCCATCCATATGATCTCGAAGCCCTTCTTGACTGATCATCGAATTTGAACCCTATCATTAGAAAAATTCCGGTGGTACAGACTCTCCGACTGTCCCCATACTGTCGATGTTTTTCCAGTCGTGGATAGCATATTCTCAGTCTCGGTGATTGTAGGCCCTGTCATGAGCGGAAGAGGGCAAATTTCACCTTCCTGTGACTCCCCATGCCACCACCATCTGCGGGTCTTGTCTCCATACACAGTGCAATTTCTGCCCGTGTCGCTTGAACCTGTGCATGTTCCTCATCTCCACCCGACCTGAGCTCGTTGATCACTGCTTTCATTGCGGCTAACTTTGGCCGCCTTCATACATTCGAATTGGCCGTTGAGAAGATTGGTTCAGCGACAAGGCCGCCACCTAGAGCGCAAAAGTGGCGCCATGACTACATGCAGGTATTCTGCTCATGAAACACTTTTACCCAGAAGTTATATTGCGCCCATGCTGCCGGAAAGGCATCTGCCATCTCCGCGAGTGTGCCGAAAACATCATATTTGGAATGCAGCACCGTTCAGAGATCGACTGTTCTGGTTTATCCCCTCGAAGGTTGGCTCAGGACCTCCATTCCCGTTGTCTTACACTCCTCGGTCCACAACAAATATCGCTGAGGTTCTGAATGTAGACCCTCTGAAAGTGTTATTTTTCGGAAGTCCCTGCTACATGTGTCGTATAAATAGGAGGAGAAGACTGCGTATTTTTTGCTCACGGACTCACCAAGAGCTCTCGCGCATCCTCTTGCACCACCAGACACTTGACCAGGTATTGTATCCATCTTGTTTTTCGGACAAGATCTGCCCATGACCATGGTCGTGTATACAGATCTCTACCATGCGATTCCACGTCCTGTCGTTGCTTTCCGCTGCCATCATCCACGCAGGCACTACTTCCGCCGCCTACGTTGACCTCGACACCTCTGCAAACTGTGGCGGCACTCCGAGTGTCACCTTCAACCTCCAAGCCAGTCATCAGCAATGCTTCCAACGGGGGAGCGACCAAGCGTCCTTGTTCATCAGCTTGGACACATTTTCTTGCACTGTCCAACTCTTTACGAGCACATCGGGGACGTGTGGGGGGAGCGTAACTGGGGAGATTGACGTCGGCGAGGATGGCAATGGCTGTATCGACTTCACCGTCACGGGGCAGGATGTTTTGATTGTGTGTGGAAGCACGTAAATTGTAGGATAGCTCCAAATGGGCGATGGGATAATGGTGGCCGGTGCGAATGACCCAGTCCACAATCTATGCACGATGCTTAAACAGTACTGGTAACGAGACCAGATCCGACCTACGAAGGCCAACTATAGATCGACATCAACAGTGAACATACACGGGGGCGCATATTTCATGGCCGCAGAGGCGAGTCCTAGACATGTATATTCAAACTCACCTTCAGTATTCGCCGCTTTCCCATTGACAGGCTCAGCGCGCCCGCTAACTGAAATGTCACTACTTTTATGATGTTGGAAGGAAGGAAGGAAGTAATATGAATTTCTACTCACTGCTGTCGACCATTAATATTCAGAGGATACCTACATACGCAATATTGGTGTGTCGGACGGACATCACGGAGCTGAAGGGCCGAAGTGCGTCCTTGGGATTAGTCTCGCAAATTGCCCCGTGGGGCTTACTTTCGCTTGAAAGATCCTTTCTTACAACGGCATGCTATTCATAAATGGTATGAGCTAGCGCTAGAGAGATCCTCTCTCCCCATCTACAGCGCCGTTATGTGGATTACTGTAATATGTGCAAGAGCCGCTGTTAACTCACGGTATATGTAGATTCGCTGTATCTAATTTTCCGGCCTCGTCAACTGTATAGTTCTCGGACAATGCCGACTGCACTTGTTCCTCGTGAGATGAGATTATCTTATCGTCGCGTGGTGGTGCAGGCATCTTTCCAGAAAATCACGATATGGCTTCTCTACTACGACTTACCCCGTTCGTTTAGCAGGCCATCACTGTCAACCTCAGTAGGCATGCTAACCACCACAGGACGTCCTCGACAAAGTCCAGACAGTACAAGAAGTACTGGCTTCTGGATCCTTATTGACGGCAAGTCGACTCGGAATAAAGTACTGTTGGTGTGACACCCTCGTAGCCTTTATTATCTTGACTGTTAGTCTTGCTTTTTTATCTATTGATGTTGCTTAAGTCTTGGTCACTCCTCCTCCCTCCCGGCCAACGTAGGATCCGACCGCCCCATCTTTGTGGGTATTTTCCGCACTGTGGATTGCATACGGAACGTTCGGTGATTGGAGGCTCGTCGGGCGGAGGGGGGCAGTTGCCATTTGCCCATGAACCCCACGACATCCTCTTTGGGCGCACTCCCTGCTGGTCTTAGCCGCACCAGCGTATGGTCCTTGTCTCCGCCTGATCTGACCTCCTTGATCGTTGTTCTATGCGGTTAATAATAACCGTCTCATAATACTGAGATTGCATATCGAGAAGGGCTCTTAGGCGGAACACTGCACAGAGCCCGAAAATGACACTCAGGAGATGACTATGACTGTTCTGATCACCAATTACGTCTATTCGAGACTTCTATGCATCCACGCAATGTCAAACCTGCTGCAGGAAAGGATCTACAATCTCCGCAATATCGTAAACGTTGGTAAAAACGTCTGGCACCGGACTGTTCAGGTGTTGCAGCTCTACGACCCTTGACTGCCTCGTGAACATCCGAGGTCACACATTTTATTGTCATTTAACCCTATATCGCGCTGGGGTTCTACATATAGTTTTTGCATCTCCTATCTGACGCACATTCTTTCGTAAGGTTTCTGTCTCGCAGACTTGTATAAATACTAGGACGAGGTTTCTTGGTCTTGCTCAGGATCTCACCAAGGGTTCCTACTCATCCTCTAACTCCTCCACCTCGCTCCTCACCACAAGGTACTTCATCCATCTCGAGTCAGAAATGTCTCGCTCATTATCATATTCTTTTCCCCCAGACCTCAGCCATGCAATTATCCATACTCCCAGTTCTTTCCGCCGCTATCCTCCTAGCTGGCACAACTTCTGCCGCCTACGTCAACATCGATCCTTCTCCGCACTGCAGCGGCACTCCGGTTGTCAATTTCAACCTCCAAGCGAACCATTCGCAATGCTTCCAACGGGGCAGCGGCCAAGCGTCCTTGTTCATTAGCTTGGACACATTCCCTTGCACCGTTCAACTTTTTACGAGCACAGACGAGTCGTGTGGGGGGAGCGTGGTCGAGACGTTATATGTTGGCAAGAACTCCCATGGCTGTATCGACTTCACGAAGCCTTCGCAGGATATTTTTGCTAAATGTGGAAGCGCGTGAAGCATGGAATGACCGGGGAAAACGTCGTGTGGTAGCGGAAGAAACGGGTACGTAAGTGTACTGATGTAAGATGTCGAACTTCATATACTCACACTGACCATGCATGTTACAGAACTTCGACGATCTGGGTGTACTCCAGAACGAAGAGTTGGTTGCATACATGGGCAGAAGTTTGGAGTGTCCGTTTGTAATCGTCGGCGGGATGCTATAATGCAAGTTACTCGCACCGAAGAGTTTGGAGTCATATGTGATCATGAACATAGTACTAGGACAAGTGTCTCGAAGCTCTGAGAATATCAAGGGAGATCAGACGATGAACAACCCATCGTCTCTGGATTGCTCATACGAGGCCATCTCCTTCTGCATTTTTACCTTCATACTTCAGCATCTTCGTAACGTCCTTCAGCCTCGGCCAATATTCCTTCAACATTCCCGTCCCGCTCAAGTTCGAAACTTGTTCATAGATGACCGTATCCCAAGCCACCCCACTCGGCTTTCCAACCAGCTCCATATCCCGATATCTCTTCAGCGACTCGACCAGACACTCAAAACACCGCCGGTTATACTCTTCTTCTCCGTCCACACTAAGACAGCGAGGCTGCAGTGAGAGCGTCGAAGGTGTCAAGGGAGCGGTCCTGGCAAGTCTTCGTCGTCTACGCCCACTAGTGCCTTTCACGCCGCCTTCCAAGACCGCTATCAGCCCCTGAAGCATTAAATCCATTCCGTCCGTGAGTCCGATAGACACCCTCTTCAACTGCGGCAGCGCCCTCCATAACATCTTCCACGTTGCTAGCGAAAGACGTTCTCCCCGATTGAACATGGTTTTGGTCAATGACAGGCTGAGGTTGGACGACGGGTGAATCGGAAGCATGTGTATGAACTTGACGAACATCTTGCTCGCGGTGAAGAAAGTGGATGAGCTGAACGTGATTTCAAGGAGCGTAGATGAATGATCGCGAGTGTAGCGTGGAATGTCCTCTGAAAAAACTCGGAAGCTGTGAAAGTGAGAGGCGGGCTCGATGTCGATGCAGCGGATTATTGGAACACCAGGCCGATGCAGGATACGTCGAAGAGGAACGATGAACTTTCGTATACTTTCTCCGTCCAAGAGGCCTCGTAGAAAGAAATTGAGGGAGGCCGCGGGAGGAATGACGAGGGACTTGGCGAGGAGCGTAAGAGCATCGGCTCCACCGTTGAGAACGAGCCGCTCCAGGTGGGACAGCGTCATAGGAGGAAAGGGATTTAGAGCTTTGATTTCTGTATCGTTTTCGCTCCAGTAGTCGGTGAGACGTAGGGATGTGAGGCGAGGAGAGCGTAAGACAAGTGACACGACGTCCTGAAGCGAAGGTAGGATGGCGGTCGAGCGATCCTCGTCATTGGAGAGTTCGAGGGAGGTAAGATTGGTGAGGATGTTGAAGCCTGTACTGTCCGCAAGCTGAACGGCGCGAAGGCGAAATGAGTGCAGACGTTGAACATTACGATCCATAAAGGCCTCGGACAACGTCCAATTCCGGGACTCGATCTGGTCATCGTCCTCAAACTGCCAGGGATCTTTGTACTCCAATTCAATACCTTCGAGCGCAGGAAAGTCCGTAGTTTCGCTGAACGCCTTGTCAAGGACCTCACGATAGCCTACGAGGTGCAAGCGACCGATGCGGTGGCTGTTACCCCTGAGTACGTCGAGAAATTCCGGGAGATTGTTGGATGAAAGGTGGAAATCGCAAGTCAGCGGAGCTTGGGCGGAACGCTGTATCCTCGCTCCGATTGGAAGTGCTAAAGGACCCTCAGGTACTCTCTGCGAGCGACGAATCCGGTCTTGAGAACGCCCTGGTGAGATGAAGGACCACAGTTTCGCGTGGTTCAAGCATATGGTGCGCCACCGACGGCAGACGAGCATGAGCCTGACCCAGTGTCCTTTCATAGCAGCCTTGGAGACGGTGTCGTAGTGTAGGAAGATCAGGGAAAGTATTTCGTCCGGAAGAATCGAGATAGGGGCGGCGCTGTTTCGTTTGGCTTTGAGGGCCAATAATGCATTCAGCGCTCGTGCAATCTCTTTGTCGTAAGCTGCACATATGACCTCTCTGGAGCTGAGCGGGCATTCGTGAGCAATACGCGAGGCGACATGATTGGAATGTAAGGCTTACCCATGATGAGCGATGGTAGTAAACGGCGAATCCATGCTTGCGTGTTGCGCGGGGGTGAAACAGCCGACAACTGCCATAGCAAGATAATAAGAAATCGTGAGCACATCAACATACATCGTGAGGGGGATACAAGCTATGTTAATACCATGAGGAAGCATGAGGAATAACATACCTGTCGTAGTCGCTAGTAACCAAAGGGTCAATGCGATAGCTTGGTGGTAAACGTTCGAGTGAAAGAAGCGGAGAACATCGAAGCAAAATTACCCCGGAGGAAGCCGGGTTCAGCCTTGTTGATATTTGAAATTGCGTGCCACTGTGGCAACATATATGTAGCGCAGAATCGCAAAGGTCGATATGAGCGGACATGGGTTGTATGCATTAGGTAGTAAATATCGACTAGTAAGTTAATACAGTGATTAGTAGAGTGGTGGGTGTAAATGAATCGATATACATGTCCAAGCACCGTTATTCTATATGTCTTACGCTTCCTCACTCGGATAACTCCCTAAAAGTCGCCACTCCACCCTCCTCAGGTTGTATGACCCACCCAACCTTCTTCGTGAGCTCCTTAATCCTTGACTTATACGGCTCCAAATCCGCATCCGGTATTTCAATCTTGTTCCTCGCGGCCTTCAACTCGATCACGTCCCACGTCTCACCCTTAATATTCCCACCCGTTGCACCCTCCGTCTCCTTATACTTCTCCAACCAGCCAACCAGACCTTCGTACGCAGTGGTTACCTGGGGTTGATAATGGATAGCAAGAGACGCCGGGTAGACCGGAGGCTGTAGAATGATGGTCGAAGGCTGGAGGACAGTTGTCCTAATGATACGACGACGTCGGCGACCGGAGATTCCACGCGTACCGCGTTGCATGGCGGTCAGTAGACCTTCTAGCATGGAGGGCAGCCCTGTGTCGACGTCAACGACGATCTGATTTGTCTGAGGCAGCAACTGGAAAATCGCCGCCCACGTTCTGGTCGGGTTCGCGTAGATTTCATTCGGCCTCAGGTGGGCAGTGAGGGTGAGCTGAGGGGTTTGCGACGGCTCAAGGGGAAGCGCACGGATAAGTTTGGCGAACATGGCTTCTACGTGGCGAGCATGTTCGGGCTGCACTTGGATTGAGAGGTGTGCGCTGCGAGGGTCCTGGAAAGTACCGGGACAGTCTTCCGTGGTATGAGCGGAGAACGCGTAAAACAAGTCGCGGCCGCCTTCGACACAGACAGACCGGAGCGTTGGAACGCCAGTACGGGCCAGGGTGCGGCGGAGAGGGATGAGAAAGGGAAGGAGGCTGGAAGGGAGCCATGCGTCGCTGAGACAGAAGTGCATGGACGTTGAAGCCGGTATGTCGAGCGTACGGAGGATAACGGTAAGGCAAGACGTTCCACCGGAAAGATCGAGCATTCCAAGGTTAGGAAGCAGAATGGATTCATTGGTGAATGTCACTAGAGGCACGCCGTTCTCTTGCCAGCAGTGGTGCAATTTGAGGTTCGTCAGGCGTGGTGAGCGCTGTAGAAGACTGAGAACATCCTCAAGAGGCGGCCGGAAGCCATCTTGCCCTTGATAGTTACAGAGTTCGAGGGACGTTAGGTCATTCAGGCTTGGCCAGGAGAAGAATTCGACGTCGTGGAGGGAAATGGATTGTAGATGCGGGGCATTGGCCTCCACGAATTCCGCAGGAATAACCCAGTGGCGCTCTCGCATACTGTGGCCATTCCACGCAATGTTGAGATCCACGAGTGAAGGGAGATCTGTTATGCCTTGAAAAGCGGTCTGCAAGCGATTTGTTGCCCCAGTGACCGAAAGAGTGCGAATTCGTTGGCCATGATTTGACAATACAGTCGCCAGACTCTCCGCCGTTGCCCTGGACAGGTCGAATCTGCAAGTGAGAGGTATTTCGGCAGATCGGCGTAGCCTGACCTCTAAGGGTAGTGCAGGACGCGGGATTCTTCCGAAGCGGCCTTGACGGTCGGGCGTGACGAATGACCATAGTCGTGCGTCGCCCAGACAGATTACGCGCCAGCGACGGCAGACGAGCATGAGTTGTGTCCAGCGCCCGGAGGTCGATTTCTCGACGACTGTGGCGTAGTAAAGGAAGATCGTGGAGAGGGTCTCGTTTGGAAGTGAGGAGATGGGAGCCATGCTGTTGCGCATGAGCAAGAGATGTGCTATTTGAGCCTTCGCTTTGAGTATCTCTTGGTCATAAGCTGCTCTTGTCATCTGTCCAGTCCTAGCCAGGAAGAAAAATCAGAAACTACCTCCACGGAACGTAAAGTCGTGAGCTAAGTACAGTGAGCAACGACTCACTGGCCATCAATGACGGGCAGATCTGTGTCAAACGAGGAGAGCACGACCATAGTTCGGATATTCTCTGAATAAAGGCTATAAAGGAGTTCAAGGTGAGCGATTCTGTTTATAAAACGAGGATTCCTTCGAGCGTAACATACTTTGTGGCAAGGGGTAAGACTTCGGTACAGTCCCTGCAAGAGCTCTATGTCCTCAAGACTTTTAAGAACAAGATACAGGATGAACGAACGAGCAGAGTACCAGATGCCGTAGGACTGAGGACCTGACAAGCTCGCCGTGGTGGTCAAAACGAAGAGCGGCCAAAACACTCCTGACTTTGGACTACCATTACGTAAGTCAGTCATGACTTCAAATTTCGAAAGCGCTTGTTGTCTCTGTACCACCACCACTACGATCCTCTCCCTGTTCCCTGTTCTCGCCTTTCAGGTGAAGCATTAGCTTGCTTCACAGTCTACTGCTCTAGTTGTATCAAGAAATTGGCCTATTACTTGTCATGGCATCTTCAATTTCGCCACAATATGCCTGTCAGTCATCGTTTTCGACTCTAGAGGGATGGGCCAGGAAAGATTCGACTGAAGAAGAGCGAAACAAAAGAGCATTAGGATGCCTTTGACGGTACGCATATTTGATACTCACCCTATATCCCGATATTTACAACTTTGCGTCTTATAATTAGACGGTTCGGCCGTCTGATGCCTCTAGCTTCGCAGTTTTCTGGCTCATCCCTCGTGGCATGCTCCGATTCTTATAGTTTCCGTATTGACGAATGTATATAGTCCGCGCACAAAAATCGATGGGTCTCGTCGACGGATCAGTCAACTACGAGCCAATAGAGGGCTTCCAAGTCCCCGATGTCTCCGCCCGGACGTACCAGTACTCTCCTGATGGACGTTTCTATGCGTATGCGCTCCCTACCTGGTAGGTGATCAGCTATCGATGTATATAATCTCCATAGACCCCCTAATTATGCTCATTATACTTCTTTATTAGCGTTCGGATATTTCAAGCCGAGGGCGCTGCCCTGCTTCGAGAACTTCCTCTCCCAAATATTGTCGAGTTCAATTTCTCGCCACGAGGGACCTACATCTCCACCTGGGAACGGCTCGCAAAACTCGAGGACGGGGCGCAACATAAGAACCTCCGGGTCTTCTCGGTCTCGACTGGCGACGAGCTCATTTCCTTCACCCAAAAGTCGCAAGAGAGTTGGGACCTGCAGTACACCATCACCGAGTCGCACGCAATCCGTCTCGTAAATCAGGAGGTCCAGGTGTTCAGACCCGCAGAGTGGGGGAAAGGCGTGGTCGACAAGCTGAAGGTTGAACGTGCGAACAGCGTGGTGCTTAGCCCAGGCTTGAACCCATCCATTGCCGTGTTCATCCCGGAGAAGAGTGGCCAGCCGGCGAGCGTGAAGATTTTCTCGCTGTTGAACCTCGCTGCCCCTCCGACTTGCCAAAAGACGTTCTTCAAGGCGGAGAAGTCTCAGATCAAATGGAACACTCTCGGCACTCAGGTTCTCGTGCTCACGCACACGGATGTCGATAACACGAATAAAAGTTACTATGGGCAGACGGGTCTGTATCTGCTCACTGCGGCGGGTACCTTCGACTGCCGGGTGCAGCTCGACAAGGAGGGTCCCATTCACGATTTCGCGTGGAGCCCGAACTCGAAAGAGTTTGGTGTCGTTTATGGCTGTGAGTACCTCTCCGCTTTCCCGTGTAGTGTCCCATCCTGACTTCACTATAGTCATGCCCGCCAAGGCTATGTTGTTCGACCAGCGCGTTCGCACGTTGCACGACTTCGGCTCCTCGTTCTACAACTTCATCGCCTTCAACCCGCAGGCGCGCCTCATCGCTCTTGCCGGTTTCGGTAACCTCGCAGGCAAAGCCGACATCTTCGATCGTCGCTCCCTCACCAAACTCACCACCATCGACGCCTCCAACACCTCTCACTGCGAGTGGTCTCCCGACGGCAAGTTCCTCCTTACCGCCACTCTCAGTCCCCGTCTTCGTGTCGATAACGGCATCAAGATCTGGTACGTGCTCGGCCAGCTCATCCACGTGCAAATGTGCGACGAGCTGTATCAGGCGAGCTGGAGACCTATTCCTGTCGATCTGGCGCCTCAATTCCCTCAGTCTCTGCCACCACCACCTGCTGCTAGTGCGAATGCGCAGGCTCACCTTGCCGTCGTGAAGCCCGCACCGACGAAGCCTGCGGGTGCGTATAGACCCCCGGGAGCCCGTGGTTTGGGACCATCCTCCGCTTACAAGCGTGATGAGGAAGGAGGATCGCCTGCTAGGACGCCGAACGGGAGTGGAGCGGCCACGCCGACTGGTAGAGGTCATGGATCTCCTGGCCCGGGCCGGGGTGGGTATCAGAACGGAAGGAGGCAGGTTCCAGGAGCTCCTCCTCCTTCCCATTCTCCCTCGCCTGGTCCCGGTGGTCCAGGCGCTGACAAGAAGGCGAGGAAGAGGAAGGGGCCGAAGGAGGGTGGTCAGCAGCAGAATGGGAATGCGAGTGCGAATGGGAATGGGAATAGCGTGCCGCCTGTCGAGGCCGTTGTGCTACCTCCAGGGCCGTCGATGGCGATTGATGTTAGCGGAGGAGGGTTTGATGGTGTTGACGGCTCGGTTCCTCCTACTCCGGGAGTCGACGGTCTTGATCCTATCGCAAAGAAAGTCAGGAACCTTAATAAGAAGGCACGTTGCGTTTCCATTTCCTTGCAGTTTCGTTGTGCTGATGACGGTCTACAGCTCAAGGCTATTGATGAGCTGAAGGAGAAGGCGAAGAAGGGAGAACGACTTGAGGCGACGCAGCTCAAGAAAATCGAGAGCGAGGCGGAGATCAAGAAGGAGCTTGGGACGCTCGTTCCTTCATAAGGTACTTCTTGTCACCCCTCGTCGTTCGACTTCCCTTCTCCCTCATCTATTTTGAGGTCATTTGGGCCTGGATGTCCAGATTGTGAGAAATACGTATCTGATGTTATCGGGTGGGTGTTCGATATTGTTGTAGCGAGCATCTGTTGTTGTTGCAATTCTTTCAGGATTCGTTACTTGTGTGCATCGTATATATGGACTTGTAGGGATCATCATATGAATGTCGCTTGTTGTATATGTGCGAAGACTCAGGAGAGGGAAACAGGATTTACGGGAGGTGTCCCCGATATGCGTCACAATTATGAAGCGGCCGCTAGACATTCACTAGCGATTTGAGCACAACGAGTACGAGCAAAGTTTTGGTAAGTTGTGTACGCTGCAGATGTCAGCTTTAATTTTATGGAATGTTGTCATGGGCCACATACGCATCGGCTCCACATTGTTATGTCCGACTCGTGCCGGGGCAACCCGAGTTGAAGCCACTCGATAGGTTCGGGTTCAACGTTCAATCTCTGACCACCATCTCCTGGAACCTCCTGAGCCGATCCTGAGCTCACTTTCTAGATAGAGCTTGACTCATTGACTGTATGCATTTCTCAGATCATTCATCCTTCGAAAAAAACTAAATGTTTTTTTTCAGCTAGGTTCAGGATCCTCGCTACGACTCCACGTCGAAGTTCGCGGCCCCCCTTGAATAACTTACTTCCAAGCTTTCAATGTCATTCTGGCTCGAGCCTCCCTTTCAACGCCTCAAGCTTTTCCTATACTGCCTTCTCTCTTCAGCAGAACCCGGCAGTATCCGCCGATTCAAATTCGGTGTTCCTCTTGTCATAAAGCGTACTCCACGACTTGTGTCCACCGAAGCAGATGCCCTCGCTTTCCTCAACTCAACGGGGCTCGACCTCCCCATACCTCGTTTGGTCGACACCGTTCGTCTCGACGGATATACGTACACGATCATGACGCGTCTTCCTGGCGTACATCTACGCAGTCTGCTCATATAGAAATCGTTAGCCGTGGAAGACCTTCAAAAGATCATCGACGATATCCTCGCCGTACTCCACCAGCTCTGGACCCTCCAACAACCACCTTGCGACTCCGGCAAAGTCATGCTCAGTGCAAGTGGCCACGGTCTGCCGGATGGGTCGAATGACAAAGATACACATGCCGGGCCTTGTCCCTCCATCCTCGACTGCTACGTACCACTCACGCATCACCTCAAGCAGCCCGGTGATCCTATGTGGTCTGCAGAGCTGCTCTCTGCGAGACAGCCCGAGTTGATCAAAGCCGTTACATCCGACCGGATCGCTTGGGTCGCTGGTGATCTCCGGCCACATAACATCCTGATCTTGGACGGCAGACTGAGCGGCATCATCGATTGGCAGGATTCGGGGTGGTTGCCTCTTCACTGGCAGTTGCACGCGCTCCGGAACCCGTGTATGGGTAATCCGCTGTCCTTCTGTAACCTGTGGAGGAAGGTGAAATTTTCAAAGGAGACGGAAGAGGCATTCGAGGCGTCGTGTAAATTGCTTCGCTCCTACGTCGTCTAGCCTTCTGATGCTCGTTCCTTCGCAAGGTGCTTGTCACAACCCGCTTTTCTCGATTTCCTTCTTCCTCTTTCCTTCGTATGTTCGCTTGGTCCGCGGATTGTCAGGATTGTGCGAGAAGGAGTGACTACGTGACGTCAAGTTCGATCTTATCGTAGTTCTTTCGAGGCTGTTTGCTTTAATCATATTATATATTATGAAGGATATTGCTCTCGCCGTTGAATACTGAACATATGCAAAAAAAAGAAGAATCTACGACAAGGTTTTCCACAATGATGTTTTGCATGATGTCTTGGTCTTGACGCAGTGGACTGTGGCGTCAACGTCCGTGCCACACAATTACATCAGCCGAGGATTTCGCCCCTGAGGCCTGAGGTGGCTACTAAGCTGCCTCTTCACTTCGACAACGTCACACGAAACTGCTTGCTCACTATAGTTTGGCAGACTTCGAAATCAGCTTGTTTGTGTGTTTGTTCAATTTCTTATGTTGCAAACGTGCTGATCAGGGTACGGCATGGCTGTTGGTATATCATCGAAAAGGCGGCCAAATCACGGCTATTTACAGGAGTTGAGTCTGTGTCACTGTGCTCTCCTTGATCTACGTTTGGTGCGTTGAACAGTTCACATAATTCTCCTATTATCGCTCATGCAGGGCTCCCAGGGCGTTTCTGATACTCTGTCCGACATGAACCCCTGTAGTATTGATATTCGTAGTAATGGGTATGTGCTTGAGCGCCGGTCACATACTTTCTTCCTTGTGCTGAACACCGATATTTGAATCGACTACTTAGATCCCAGGACTCGATACGAGCAGCCTGTGATGAAGGGATCGAGAAAACGATCGAGAGGCTCCTCGCTCTCCGAGCCATGCGCAACACGATCGCGCCCATCTCTATGCTCCCCGACGAAATTCTCTCCATAATCTTCCTATACTACGGCACCATCGTTGAATCTACTGCCACTGGACGCTGGACTAAATTGATGGTCGTCTGTCGCCGTTGGCACAAGGTCTGTTTGACCCACGCCAAGTTGTGGTCTTATATCGTGCCCGACCCCGGCCCCGTTCCCAGGATTCGTCCACGGAAGGCAGTCGAACCTGGAGCCCTCACTATCGAGGAGAGGATCAAGCGTGCCGGCAGCATCCCTCTAGTTTGCCAATTCACAGTAACTGATCACTCAGTAGACGATATCGCGGCTATAGTCACCGGACATGGAGACCGTATACGTTCACTATCAGTCAGCGGAAGCTACGGACCTCTTCAAAAGGCTGTTAGCTCCATTGGAGATCTTCCCATGTTGCGTGATCTCTCCGTGGAGTATTTGCGCGACTGGATAATGCTTGATTGGGGACCACAACCTACCAATTTCACCATCAACCAAGCCTTCTTGGAACACAATGCACCACACCTTCACTCTCTTCGGCTCCACGCTATACAGTTCGCAGACCCGAATATGATCAATATATTTTCGAATCTAACCTCGCTGACCCTCGTCAATAAGGAAAGTCGAACCGCTCCAAGCATGCCTTCTTTCATCGACGTCCTCTCGCTTCTTTCTCGCTCGCCGCGTCTCATAACCCTTGAGCTCGATCGGTACTGGCAGGAGAACGAAGGAGACGCAAACGCACTAGTCACCGACGCCCCAATCCCCCTCCCACATCTCGACCAACTACAGCTTACCGCCGGAACGGACTACCTTACCGCACTCCTCAATTCCGTAGTCATACCCCCGACGGCCTCTCTAGAGTTCTCTCTCAACGACGCTCAGGACGCGCTACGCATCCGGAAATTCATCGTCCCCCTTCGGCGCCTTCTTCACAGCCCTGGTGCTCCCGTATTCCACTCAGTCTGTATCAACTGGGTTTCATCACCCCGGTTTGGCCTCAATGCGCACACCGGTGACTTCTGTCCAGGATCTGAAAATTCAAACGAGCGTGCGCATCTAAAGATAAATACATGTCCTCGGTCCATTCGCCAAGTGCGCTCCGTCATTACCAAGCTCATCCATATGCTTCCTCTTCCAACATCATCCGACTTCGGTGTCACGCTCAACGCTCGTGTCGTCAAGAGCCGCGATGCATATTCGGTGGAATTGTGGAAGACGATCGGTCGAGTCCTGCCGCAGCTGAAGACAGTCCATATAATGGTCTCCGATGCGATGGTCTTTATGCTGCGCGGCCTCTTGGACGCAATGCAAGATGGCACCAAGGGAATCAGCGGACGGAGGAGGCGAAGGATTGCGAAGACAATCCCCTTGAACCCTTCTATGCTTTTGCTTGCAGCAATATTGCGAAACCCTATTCAGACGAGCACTCAAACGAGGTACGAGGCCTTGCTTCAATTATTGAGGGTATATCGCGACATGGAGACGGTGGGCAAGCCAAAGGGTAAGATTTGGGAGAGGATAGAATTTGAGCCTTTCAGGAGTCAGCGGATCTTTGACACAGTGAAGGATGTTTTGCCGCGGCTGAAGGAGCTAACAGGAACGTTAACGTACCGTTATCAGTGAGACCCCTTGCTAAGGAACGCTGCTGTGAGGAATTCCTTGTATGAACAGACTTTATCTATTACTTAGTAGCAGCTTCGAAGTACTTAATGTCTATCGTTTGTACATGGCTATCATGTTGACTCAATTACTTGATCTACAACTTGGTACACCCCTTGTACTCTCCGTATACATACAAATTCCCTCAAAATTGACCGTCCCTTGCTGCATTTTTCACGAGATCAGCGGGGCAGTCTTAACCGCCACAGAGGGTGAATTCTACAGAAAGGTGCCACAGTGGCCACGGCGGACCCGAAGTTACGGCTCGATCATTTGTTCAAGTTTGAAGCACTCATCTTTTCATCCACTTTGGGTCCCACCACAACATCGCCGTCCATCTCTCCTCGCCATTGTATTTGAGCTGTGAGTCTTCCAACGTTCCATACAGGCAGTTTCTACATGCGCTGACAGCGTTATCAATCGACGAATTGGTCTTTGTAGGTACTGTCAAAGTCTCCCTCTTACGTTTTGTATGGCGTATAACTTCGACGATATGGCCTCGGCGCGAGACATTCCTACTCAAGAGTGAGCTTCACAGTATTCCTCTTACCTATCATCATTTTTTCTGGTGCTAATGAACTACAGCAGAGCTCGTGACAAATTCCGGCAGCACGTCGATCAGGAAATTGCCAAAGTCGCTGCGCTCCTCACAACATTACAATCCGCCTGCAATGAAATCACACCCATATCGACCCTTACGGACGAAATACTGTCTCATATATTCCTTCAATATGCGACCGTTGTTGAAAGAGGCACGTCGGGCCGATGGACAAGGTTGATGCGCGTCTGTAAACGCTGGCGCCGAATCTGCCTAGCCGACGCCCGCCTGTGGTCGTATATTACTCCAGACCGTCCTCGCTGGATGCTGGATCGAAAGCCAGCACTCCCTTTTTCTCAAAGGCTTCAGCTATCAGCGCGTCTACCTTTGACATGCAGGTTCAATCTCAACATTAATGGCGACAATACAGCTCTCCCGAATTTGGCCACCGTGCTAACCACGCAGAACCATCGAGTCCGCTCATTAACTATCATCGGAAACGAAAGTCATCTTACTCAAGCGCTCGAGGGTATCGGAGACCTGCCCATCCTTCGAGATCTTGAGATCAGACCGCCGGCCTTTGAGGAAGAGGCAGGGCCTCAGTACACAATACCTGCCGGGTTCATGCAGTTGAATGCGCCACATATTCGATCTCTCATTCTCGTGCGCGCTCTCGCACCACCTTCTTGGCACCTTCTCGCGGACTTGACATATCTCGAACTCCGCAACGTAAAGGGTCGAATCACCGAACCACTACCGTCGTTCCAAGATGTGTTGTCCATCATATCCCGATCTCCTCGAATGAGACATCTGCAACTCTTTAACTACTGGCGTGAGGACGCGGATGAACTCAGCACTGTGCCGATTACTACCGACGCCATTACTCTGTCACACTTGGATTGTCTCGATGTCGGCGGTGGTGCTGCGTACCTTGTCGTCCTCTTCAAATCCCTCGCTCTTCCGCCACACACCTCACTCTGCTTCTTTCCTCACGAAACCCACGATGGCGCCTCCATCAAATAGAGACCGTGAAATCGGCGAGAATCTAAACTCGGAGATTAGAGCGAAACTCAATCGAGTTTCGCTCCACCGGCACGAGCGCTCACCACTGAGTTTGGAGCATCAACCGTTCCAGTCTCGGCTTTTGAGTTTCGATTTTGGACGATTTCACGCTCTCTAATCTCTCCTCGTACCACTTCATCGTTTTCTACATCGACCTGGAGTGCCCATTTTCCGTTCTCTCTGTATTGAAGGCAACCCCAACAACTTTCTCCGCCTTTCAGCCCACACAACCAGTACTTGTCCGGGCCTCAATCCCATGATGGGTATCACAGATCCCGACAAGGCCCATCTTTCGATCATCACGCGACCTCGTCGCCACCGTGACATGCGCTCTATGATCAAGAAGTTCATCCACACGCTCCCACTCCAGCCGTCCGTCAAGCTTAGCCTGAACGCGCTTACACTTCGAGACGAGAAAAATTGCTCCTTGAAGACGTGGACGACTATTGGGCAGCTCGTTCCGCAGCTCGAGAAGGATCGGTCTCAACGGGGGAATGGTGCTCATGTTGCAGGGGTTATTGGCCGGGATGGAGAGTGGAACGAAGGGCGTGTCTGGGCGTAGGCAGAGGCGACTGATCAGGGAGGTGCCGTTGGATCCGTCGAGCCTTGTGCTTCAATGCTGCGAGCGAGACGATACCCAGCAGATATATTCGGCGCTACTTCAGCACCTTACGGACTATCAGAACATGGAGACTAGGGCGAAGGTGAAGGGCAATCTCTGGAAAAGGCTTGAGTTCACGAATCTGAGGTCGCAGACGATGGTGAACGACCTTATAATTCATTGGACGAATCTTGGCGACGTCGTTTCGGAACTAGATTATCATCCAAAACCGGGAGGAAAGAAGGAGTCAGATTTGTGAACGGAGCTGAGGTGGCGTTGAATGACCGAACTTGGGATGAGGCATGAAGTAATATATTAGACCTTATCTGTTGATGAGGCTGGATGAAACAATGAAATAATGTTGATAGAGTCGGTCGACCGTCGACCAGCGTCGCCACTCGTGTCCGGTGGCACGGTCTCAACACGTGACGTAGAAGAACCCAGATTTCAGATTCACCAGAATATAAAGGGTTCAACGTTCAAGACTGTCACAGCTTTGCGTTCGTTCTGCGCCCCCTCCCAACCACATATCTCCCGATGTCTTCCTGGCTCGAGTCTCCGTTTCAACGCCTCAAATTCTCTATTTACTGTCTACTCTCTTCACCAGAGCCAAGCAGTGTCCGCCGATTCAAATTCGGCATTCCTCTTGTCATGAAGCGCACCGCACGATCTGTGTCCACGGAAGCAGATGCTCTTGCTTTTCTCAACTCTACAGGGCTCGATCTCCCTATACCGCGTCTGTTCGACACAATTCATCTCGGGGAAGAAACGTACACGATCATGACGCGTCTTCCTGGAGTACATCTACGCCACCTGCTCATGGATGACACGATAGCCATCGAAGATTTTCAAAATATCGTCGACGATATCCTCGCTGTACTCCAAAAGCTCTGGACCCTCCGACAACCACCTTGCGACTCCGGCAAAGTCATGCTCAGTGCCAGCGGACACGGTCTGCCGGATGGGTCGAATTTCAAAGACACACATTACGGGCCCTGTCCCTCCATCCTCGACTGCTACGTACGGATCACCGGGCACTTCAGGGTCCCCGGCGATCCTCCGTGGTCTGGAGACGTGCTCACTTCGAAACATCCCGACCTGGTCCAGGCTGTCACATCCGACCGCGTCGCTTGGGTCGCTGGCGATCTCCGGCCACACAACATCCTGATCGTGGATGGCAGGCTGAGCGGAATTATTGATTGGGAGGATTCTGGGTGGCTGCCCCTCCACTGGCAGTTGCATACGCTTCGTAACTTCTGCTGGGGAAATCCCAGAGACTACTGTGATCTGTGGAGGAAGGTGAAGTTTCCGCAGGAGACGGAAGAGGCGTTTGACGCGTCGTGCAAGTTGATTCAATACCACGTCGTTTAGGCGCGTGGATATATTCTCGTTTTGCTCTCATTTTCTGCCCGACTTACGGTATGCGTCAGTTTATCAGGATCGTTTGATTTCTGGATGTGATCTATATGTGCGGACATCACAATGCGTTGGTGGGTGAGGGTTCGAAACCTCGGTGGTGTCTTTGTTTCATTGGCGGTTCCTTCTTCGGTCGAGTTTGTTACTAGTTCTTTGAACGAGCTTTTTTGACACGGTCTTTTATGCTCTCTTCCCTGCTTTCATCCCTGCTTTCAAGTTCCGTTCACGTGTATGTACTTATTCTCCAACTATGCCCTCTAAGATAACATGCGAACTGTCATCGCATCCTTTTCCTGCAACTCACGAGAGCGTTTTGCTCATCAGAAAGTTTCGATTTTGGATCTGCATAGTCGGTCTTGGGTACTCAGAACGTCCGCAGAAAATAGTCGTGTACGTGTGGCGCGTCCCATATTTGTCCTCGATCTGGTCGCAAGCTTGTTCCACAACTCGAGAAAGTCACGATCGGCCTAAATGGAGGAATAATACTCACGATACGAGACTATTGGCCACAATGAAGCATGGAACGAAGAGCGTGTAGGCGGCTGATCAAGGAGGTGTTGTTGGATGTGTCGAGCCTTGTGCTTCAGTTACCTCAACACCTTACAGACTATCAAAACATAGACTCGGGCGAAGATGAAGAGCATCTGGAAGAGGCTTGAGTTCACGCATGTGAGGTCACAGACGATGCTGCTGGACGATATCAGAATTCATTGTATGAACCTCAGTGGCGACGTCGTTTCGGCAATACATTATCATCCAAAATCGGGAGAAGAGAAGAAGATGTCAGATTCATGAAAGGAGCAGAGGTGGCGATGAATGATCGACGATTGGATGTGGCATAAAGTGATCTATTGTAGTTCAGAATCATGTGACAGGCGCAGAAAAGATCACTGATGGAATGGCGTTTCGCGAGTGCGGGATAGTGAAGCAACGACACAACTACCTGAGGTCAAGCGTGGTTGAAGTCTATGTATAACATTTTCATATTCTTCTCAGGAAAAGCGAAATTATTTGGAGCTGGGGCGGTTGTCTATGAGAAAGAATCCATGCTCACCTATCAGATGGCCAAGACGTGGGACGCGTTCAGCTCGCCACGCTCGACTTCCTGCTCAAGGCCGACGCTGATGCTCTTCACCGTCTCTTCGAACCATTGAGGCGTCTCTTTTCGCTGAAGCCATCCCGCATCTTGAATGTGAGAAATCACGTAAAGCACCCACGTCCTGCAAGTCAATCCCGCCGCACGGTTTTCTTGCAGAGTGGCGTAACCAAGTCGTTTGTCCTCCGGAAAAGCTTCGAGAGCAACCTTCTTGAATGCCTCCAGACCGGGAGAGGTGAAACCTTTGACTTTCATGTACGCGAAGACGACTGCATAGTTCTTCAGATATGTCGTCGTCTCGTTGACGGTCTCGATGACGACCCCCTCCCACTTTCCACTGGGATGGTTTGCCTCAAGGGTCATCCATTGGAGTTCGGTGGCAACCCCAGCCGCATCCGTTAGATAGAGAATCCAATGAAATTTCCCGAGCTCGCCAAATATTTGGGAAGTCGCGATGTAGAGGCTGTTTGCCTCGAGGGTAATAACCGGGTTTGTGGACATGGCTGAGATATACGATCGATTAGCTGGACAATCAGGATAGTGAATATGCGGCCAGGCGCACTGTATGTGGAAGATGCAGGAAATGACTCGGAGAATAACGGCGGTCGCCTTGAACTCCTGAATAACGAGGAGAGTGAAAATGAGCGCGCTATGATGAATCTATTCCGAGGTGATGACTCGAGACTCACACAAGGAGATACTTGTATGGAAGATGAAGCGTTGAGAAGGACGTTGGGAAAAGGTTTGATAGCTGTATCACCTTCGTGGCCTTGAGGGAAACTTGAGGCGGACACGTGTGCTGCAGTCTACGGGTGGCGATTGTACATCCAAGTGTCCAAGAATGGAAGGTAGAAAGGTCAGAAGCCAAAGTCAAGCGTGCTGGAAAACCCGTGGGATGATTGCTTCTAGTAAGAGGAATGCCCACAGATTTAGTATCAGTTCATGACCCAGGTTCAGGGCGAACGACATGGTGGCAGCCTTCAAATCACGAAGAAAACGAGGATCCCTTACCGCCACCTTCGCGAAGTTGGTTTATGCTTCTGCCTTCAGCAGCCCCACGTTCCTTATGTCTGCTCTTTGTCTGCTCCGCGTTGCAACGATCACACATCAAGGACGCTCCTGATAACACCCCAGTGCCAAAAGTCTTCGGCACACAGGCGTACCTCGATGTTTTCATTGAGCTCCTTCCCCCCGCCGTCCCCGACATTGCTACATCGCTCGCGCCGGACACTCATAGAGAATAAAGGCTGTGCTCCATACCCCCATTAGACAGAGATTTTGACAACGACTTTCCCAACGTGCTGACCAGAGCCGAGATACTCGATAGCCTTCACTGTATCTTCAAACGCGAACACACGATCGATATGCGGCTTCAACTCATTCGTTTCGATAAAACGAAGCATATCTGTATGAAGCTGCTTGGATCCCACGTCAACTCCACTGCATAATTCAAGGCGTGTCGGCTTGTGAGCGAGTGTGATAGCAGTGTGGAGCGGCGATTGGACATACCGTATAGTCAGGTTCTTCAAGAGCACATGCATCAAGACGTTTGGGCCTGGTTTCTGTTGATCTCCCAAAAAGCCGATGCAGTGGATGTTACCACCATATGCTGCGCAATTGAAGCATTTCTCAATCTGCTCAACGCCTACATTATCGAAAATATGATGAGCGCCGACACCTTCCGTGAGCTATGTATGGGATGTCAGGGTGGTTAGTATTAGAACTCTAGAAACGAATGGTGAAAAGGGTCGAACGAGTGAACACTGACTGCGAGTACGACCTTATCCCAGTCGGGGTTCGTCTTATAGTTAATCGTGTGCGTAGCCCCGAGTTTCTTGGCAATCTAGACAGGTGCAATCAAAGGAGCGCGAAGTCACGTTCAGGATTGCGTCGGTGCAACATCAGCCAATAAAGCTCACCGCAAGCTTTTCATCTGAGCCGGACGTGATGATTGTCTACCAAAACTACCCACATCAATTTCTGCATCCCAATCACTGAAACAAATGAAGAGGAGAAATTTAACCGCGAAACACTGACCTTCGCACCGGCCCTAACTGCGAATAACAAACCTGCCATCGACACGCCTCCGGTGCCCTGGAACAGTACGGTCTGTCCAGGCACAAGAGGGTTTCCGTTGTATAACGCATTCCACGCCGTAACACCAGCACAGGGCCAACAAGCAGCTTCTTCGTAGCTCAAATGTTTCGGGACATGGAGGAGGCCATCGCTCTTGAAGACGCGGTACTCCTGCAGAACACCGTCCAAGCCTTCTCCTAAATCCTGTCCTAAAATATCAGAAGACGAGATGTCACATTCAGCGAACGTCCGGACAGAAACAGGATGAACGAAAGGAAGACTAACTTTGTCCAGTGCGTGTCCCGAAGATATGAGATTGGCTGAAGTTCGCGGTAACCCTATCCCCCTTCTTGAACTCCTCCGCCCCCACGCCCTCTCCCACCTCCACAACCTCACCAGCCATGTCGCTCCCTAAAACTCGATTGGGCGAACGAGAGACGGGGTAAAAGGCTGCGCTCATGGCGAAGTCGCGGTAGTTGAGAGAGACTGCGTTGATTTTGATGAGGACTTCATGCGCTCTCGGAGAGGGTATGGATGTCGTGCGTTTGGAGATGGTGTGGAGGCCGCCACCCGCATGGGGGAGGATGAAAGCTGTGTTTGATGGAGGAGTCTGAGAGGACATGGTGCTGGATCGGTTTGAGCGAAGATGATCTAGAAGCCCCAAGTTATATGCCTGAGGATCTAGCGCACAGAGGATCGGAAGAGCAATCAATGCCATGACAGCAAACATTAGCTAGTCCCGTCGAGGCGCCCACATTTCAGGCCCACGAAACAACTACCAAGAGCGTGCACAAAAGGCTACGGAGACCTGAACAGATTCTCGCTATCGCCGATGGGAGAAAATATCGGTTTCAGCGAGGAACTTGAAGATTCGGACGTAACGACGTACCCCTTGAGTCGTAAACCCGAGTCATCTTCGACATGTTTCGCACGACACCGACACCTGAGTAGGGGAGACTGGAGCCGAAGAGTTCGTCCATTCATGTACATACCCTGTCCATCCAGATCACGTGTATTCACTTCGAGCCATACGAGGTCCACGACACTTTGAGTTTGCTTAAACGGGAGTATCTTCCTTCGCCATTGTGCGCACACTGCCCGCCGTGTATTATTACCTAGCCCATCTACGGGCTTCAAAAAGATCATTGCTTTCGTCACCTGCGGACCGTATAACACCACCAACCGTGCTACAGTTTAAGTAGACACTTTCACGACGACCTTCCCAATGTGTCGTCCCAAACCAAGATACTCGAGAGCCTTCATCGCATCCTCAAACGCGAACACGCGATCGATATGAGGCCTCAGCCCATTCGTCTCAACAAACTGAAGCATTTCCATATGGAGCTGCTGCGAGCCGACATACACTCCACTATAGCCATGGCAGGGTGTTAATTCGCAAATGAGCAGCCTAGAGCGAAACGTCCGAAAGTATAGAAGAATGAGCGGGTTCACGTACCGTATCGTGAGGTTCTTCAACAGAGCGTGCATCAATACATTCGGACCCGGTTTCGTTTGATCGCCCAGAAAACCGATACACTGGATGTTGCCACTGTACGCGGCGCAGTTGAAACATTTCTCTATTTCCTCGACGCCTACGTTGTCAAAGATGTGATGCGCACCGACGCCGTTTGTAAGCTATGACGCATGGGGGCAGTTGGTTTTCGTCGGCGGATACACGGCAGAAAGCGAGTGAATACTGACTTCGAGGACGACTTTGTCCCAGTGCGGATGAGTCTTGTAGTTGATAGTGTGCGTTGCCCCGAGTTTCTTGGCGATCTTGACGAATCGTGGCAAAACGACAAGTTAGCGGTCGTATCAAGAAGGAAGAACGTGCAAAGCTCACCGTAAGTTTCTCATCCGAACCGGACGTGATGATCGTCTACCGTATGCAGATTCCATCATAATCTTGTATAGGAACATAAAGGAAACAAGAAGATAAACTTGTGTTGCTCACTTTTGCACCAGCTCTAACAGCAAACACCAATCCAGCCATCGACACGCCTCCCGTCCCCTGAAAGAGCACCGTTTGTCCAGGTTTAAGCGGAGTCCCACCATACAACGCGTTCCAAGCCGTGACACCAGCACAAGGATAACAAGCCGCTTCTTCGTAGCTCAAATGCTTCGGAATGTGAAGGAGAGCGTCGGCCTTGAAGACACGGTACTCCTGCAATACGCCGTCCACCTCTTGACCTAGGACGTGTGCGGTGAGGTCTATGAGAAGATAAGTAAGTAGATGGCTATAATTGAGTCGTTGATGTGATTGAAACTTTGATAAATGTTGGAATCGACAGGACGGATACGTGGCCTTCTAGGAGGAGGAAGAACAACTCACTAGGTCCATACTCCGTCCCGAAGAGATGAACTTGGTTAAAGTTCGCAGTGACCCTATCCCCAACTTTGAACTCTTCCGCACTGACGCCCTCTCCCACTTCCACAACTTCTCCAGCCATATCGCTCCCCAACACCACATTGTCAGGAGGAGAAATAGGATAAAAAGCAGATATCATCGCAAAGTCGCGATAGTTGAGAGAGGCGGCATGGATCTTGACGAGAATTTCATGTGCTTTGGGTGAGGTAATGGGAGAGGTGCGTTTAGTAACAGAGGCAAGTCCGGCGCCGACATGGGGGAGGGTGTAGGCAGTGTTGAAAGGATGATTTTCAGGAGACATGGTTGAGTTTTGTCGATGAAGTCGCGTTGGACGAATTCTGAATACAATGGTATTGGAAGAAGACAATCTACAGGATGGTTATATATTCGGTACTCCATCGACTGGCAGCTAACGATAGGAGGATAGTTTAAAGTTCGTTAGGCAGTATACCGTCGGGACTCACTGAATGGCCTCACTTTGAAAGGTCAGTTTACTGCGTCAGCCAGTATGCCGACGGGAGTATACCCCACTTTGAACTCTGTAAGTATAAATCAGCTTACTAGCATTCTAAGGAAACTATCCTTTCCTAGATTGTGTTGGCGCTCTGGATTTTCGCGCCTCAACCTTCGACCATGGAGTCTAGTTACCGCCGATGCTCCTACTTACCACCCCCTTACCAAAGCTTTACAAAGTCCGATTCCAACTAGAACCGCAAGAGAGATGCATCGGCGATAAAACGTATGACTGAAAGCCTACACCTGAGACATGTTCATAACAGCGACCTAATCCTGAGCACCGAACGCACTGTGGAGTTGACCCATCGCTTTCCATACTCTGTCCATCATCGGAGTGTAAAAAGGAACCAAAGATTTCGAGCCACATAAGGCCACATAGGGTGTACTGGTAGGCGCGCATCTGAGCTCGTTGAGAAGAGAAGTGACGGTACAAGCCTATGCTGCCATACAAGGTCCATTATTGTTGAAAATGGATTTGGGTGTTTGTTTGTCCTTGTTGATTTCTAAGGCTCTTGGCGTCCGCTTTGTCCGAGATTCCGACAGTCGCCACTCCTCGCCACTCACCAGAAGCAAAACTTCCACAGGGCTTCTAATAGTCACGCACAGGCCCAAGCTTATCTTCCCCGTTTCAAGGCAGAGAAGGAGTCCTACAAATGTGAGTGATGAGCTATGCTTTGATCTACTTCTCAGACCCTCAGGCTCGCGGCCCCCAACTATCGCGGCGTCTAATATTTTATCAGCTCAGTGTTAGAGAACGTGACTACTTGGTAGTGAACTATTCAAGACACGGCATCGTATATCAGTTGTGAGTAGGCTGGAACAAATTTACGCGCGGTCCTTGGTCTCTGAAGTGTTGTGTGAGTGACCGCCTCGCCTCCTCGTAAGTCCGCCCAGCAGCACTTACCGACATATTTGGAACAGGTCTTCTCACCCGCCGGTCACCTATCTTGGTATATCACCCAACATGAGGGTGCAATCTTCGATGGTACCTCGAATGTTAGTCTATGTACCCGTGATACTTACACTCAGACTGAATTATTGAGGTCAATAGGACAGGTCGAGTCGAAAGGAAGGCGTACGAGACCGAAATCTCCAAGCTTTCGCAAAGGCTCATCCATCTGAAGACCCTGCGTAACGATGCCGCGTCCATCTCAAGATTTCCCGACGAAGTCCTGTCTATGATTTTCCTCGAGTTTGGGACCGTGGTCGAGCACTGGCCACTCCGTCAATGGAAAGACCTCATGCTCGTCTGTCGAAGATGGCGCGACATCCTTATGGCCCACACAAAACTATGGTCCTTTGTCACCTCTGAGATGTCTCTATTCGGTCGAAATGGTCTCACACTCGAGCAGCGATTGCAGCGGTCCGCAGGAGCTGCTCTGACGTGCGAGTTCAGGCTTTTAGGAGGACATACCAGTGCTTTATCAGACCTTGCCATCGTTTTGGCTGGTCATGGCCATCGTGTCAAATCTTTGAACCTTACTGGCAACTACGATGATCTACAGACGGCTCTGGGATTGGTCGGAGACCTTCCGATGCTGTCCGAACTTCAGATTCGCCGTTTTTCAGACGATGACGACCGGAGTTCGCTTGCTCCACACCGGTTCATGACGCTCAATCTTCCTCACGTCCGACGACTCGAACTACACAACGTCAGGTTTACTGCCCACGATCTCCTCTCAAACCTGTACTCTCTTCGATTGCGAAACCACAAAGGCCAGGACGTCGCATTCCTTCCATCATTCAAAAACGTGATCGATATCCTCGCTCGTTCGCCTCGTCTTGAGCGGCTCGAACTCTCTTCGTTTTGGCGTGAGAACGACAGAGCGTCCAACGCCCTCACTGTCGGAGATCCTGTCATGCTATCCCATCTGGAGCATATCGACGTCAGTGGCGGTATTCGCTACCTCACCGTCCTCCTCAAAATCCTCGCCTTTCCAACAACGACAAAGATGAGCTTCGATATCCCCGATGACCTTACCGGCCTTGACATCCGCGACTTCCTCGTCCCACTGCGCCGCCTCCTACACAGACAGGGCGTCCAGCCTCTTCGCTCCCTCGCCATCGCGGGCGCCACTCCCTCATACCTGAACATCGTCGCAGACACTGCCCAGCACTGTGAAGGAATCCCCCTACCGCGTTCCATAGCAGATGGCCCACTCTTTGCTCTTACCACGAAATCGATCCGGGGTCGCGACGTACGCTCCATCATTATCAAGGTGCTCAATATGCTTCCCCTAGATCCGATGACGGCGCTCTGTTTGGACGTACACTGGGCAAGACTGGACACGAGTCATGCAATGAAGACCTGGATCGCTATATGTCAGTTGTTACCTCAGCTTACGCATGTCGTTGGGGCTATGGACGCGGGTGTGGTGGTTTTGATCCAGGGGATGACGAAGGCAATGGGGCGCGGGACGAAGGGCGTTTCTGGAAGAAGGAGGAGACATATGATCGAGCAGAATCCCCTGCATCCAATGGCGTTGACACTTCATTGTCATCGCAGAACCGGCATGCCGGACGAAATCGCGACACCCGAAACGTATCAACACTATGACGGTCTGGTGCTGGCCTTGCAAAATTATAGGGATGCGGAGTTGCCTGGGAAGCCCAAGGACGTGTTGTGGGATAAGCTCGAGTTTGCACATCCTGAGGAGAAGGAGGAAAGGTTCCCGGATCTGTATGATAATATGGATAGATTGAGATTAGTGACGAGGAGGTTGGATGTACACGATGACGGGACGAGAATGACTCGCATGCGATATTCAGATGAGTAGTGCAGGCATTCTTTTGTAAGTCGATCCACCATTCTGGGTCTCGTTCTTTTATACTCACGCCACAGTCTTGCCAGAATTATCTAGCATACCTGAAACAGATAATCAAACTTTCCTACCTAATCCATTCCACATCGTCAGTCAACCACATTCGCCACAATCTTCCCCAGATGCTGTTCCACCCCAGGTTCCTCAATCCCCTTCGCCGTATCTTCGAATGCCAACACATCATGGGTGCCTTGGCTGTCGGTGGCCTGGCGAAATAGATATCAATATACTTTGAGGTCAGCAGTCTGATAGTGTCGGGCCCAAAGGAAGAATAGCATTTCGATAGGTCAAAGCGGCCCTGGCAAGATGCATGCCGTCATCCACCACCGCAAGGACATGCGGAAGGACGTAAATATATCGGCCAAGTTCACACCTTTCGAGGTAAGGAGCGTGTCACTTCTTTACATGGGCGATCGCATCCCCGTATATAAGTACTCCACGCTTCCCTCCTGTATATATCCTCGACTCTGCACCTAGAGGTGGCCAGCTCGGACGGATTTGACCCTCAATGTTTTTTTCTTGGAGGTATTCCCAGCGTAGTGGAAAGTAATGGACCGAATGTGCAGTTAAGATACCGGCCATGGAGGGACGCGGAAGAGGTCGAACAGAGTTGGATATGATGATCGTCGTCGGAAGGAGCACAGGTTATGCGCAGGGTCTGTGGCCACACTACGATATACAGCGTGGCGTAGTAAATTCAATCTCCGAAAGCCGAGACTACGACGCGGACTCTTTAAGTTACCCGTTTTTACACGCCTTCACCACGCCTATCAGTCTTGTTTCACAAGAATGTATTCCGATCTTAGGCTTCTTGCTCTCGATGGTCACAAAATATATGTTCGTCTATCTAAGTATACTCTCTTGAAGCTTGTTTGAAGCCCACGTTCGTCCGAGGACCGATATCTGGTCTTTGAACGCCCAACGAACGACACAATACCGTGATTCGAAGTCCTTCCGAACCTCGATGTGCTGTGTATCTCTTGCCACGCCTCGTCCGCATTGCAACAACCGCCCCTTGGAGAGACACTTACTCAAATAACAATAATTTATTCCCGCGGTTTGTTCTTTGTACCTCAGCAGGACTCCACCATAGTCCAAAAGAGGTGCGAACCTCGCCTGAACCGGTATGTTTTGCACGCCGAATGTTTTACCCTGTCTTACCTCCTTAGCTAATTTTTTTGCGGACACGTATGTACACAGTGTCTCACCTTGCTTCCGCTGCGCGCTGATTGGCGATTGAATTTGCCTGGAAGAGAAGCGGCATGCTTTTCTTCGACGCGGCCTTGCTGCCTCCGCGCTGAACGCGACACATCCGTCGACGCGTATATAAGGCCATCAGGTCTCGTCTCGGACCCTAATATCTGCACTCATACAACATCTTTCATTCTATAGCGTCTTTTGCACACCACAGCAATTACCCCTTTTATATAATTCAATAATCATGGCACCCATCCCCGCGCGTAACTACCTCCCCGACTTTACAGGAACCACCATCGCTGGATCCGTACAACTCACCAGACCACTAGGATACGGGACCACCGCCGTCGTCTATCACGGTATCGACACGTCCACCGGCTCCGAATATGCTGTGAAATGTATGCTCAAAGGCAAGCCTGGGACTGTGAGGGGATATGCGCAGAGGATGGAGGTTTTGCATCATGGAATTGTTTCGACGTCGTCTGGCACGGCCTCAGGAGGAAATGACGGCCAGCCGCACGGAGAAGAAAGTCCAGACATCGTCCAACTTCACTCCACACACGATCTCCGCACCCTCTCCGGATCTTACACTTTCATCCTCCTAAATTATTGCGGCCCATATGACCTCCTCACCCTCTCCGGGTCCAAACATCGCCTCTTCTTCCGCAATGACGCGCTCCTCAAGTCCGTATTCATCAGGATCGTGAAAGCGGTGGAACATTGTCATGAGAGGGGCGTGTATCATAGGGATATTAAGCCGCAGAATATTTTGGTTGAGTGGTTAGGTGGCGAGGGTGGCGAAGGAGAGGAGGGTAAGGAGGGTAAGGGGGATGGGAGTGTAGGAAGGGTCTGGTTGGCGGATTTCGGGATGGCGACACGGAAAGAGTGGAGTACGAATTTCAGAGTGGGAACATTACCGTACATCTCGCCAGGTGAGTCCTTCTGCCTCCATCCCTCTATTCCTTTGCTTCCTCTATCAGGCTTTCGTCAACTACCCTCTTCCCTCCGTTGCTCGTACGGCCGCCGGTGCTTACCTCCTCTTTTCACGTCTCAGAATGTCTCGCCTCCTCAGGAGATCCCAAACCTTATTCCACTCCCCAATCCGACGTGTGGTCCTTAGGAATCCTCTTAGTAAATCTAATCAGTCTTCGCCGCCCCTGGCGTATCGCCGTCGCCGATCCTTCCGCCACCTCGACTTCTTCTCCCCCTCCCGCTCACTCAATGTCACCGCCACCACAACCCGCTCCTTCATCTTCTTCCACGACCTCACCACCCTCCTCCCCATCCCCACCCTCAAAACGACCACAATCCACCAACCCTCATCCCCACCCCCAACTCCCCAAAATCGAACCAGACCCCTGCTACACCTCCTTCCTAACCAACCCCCACTTCCTCACACAAACACTCCCCATCTCCCACTCTGCCAATCTCCTCCTCCGGCGCATTCTCAACCCGATCCCTGAAGAGAGGCCGAGCTTGAGGGAGATAATCGATACGGTGGAGGGAATGGGAGAGGGAGGGAGGGAGGGTTTCTGGATGAGCGATGAGGAGATCTGGGGGTCCGAGGGCGAGGATGAGGATAGGGAAGATGTGAGGAGAGCGATGAGCGTGTTTGGTTACCGTGTGGATGGACGGGGGATCAACGCGGACGATAATGAGGATGAGAACGAAAAGGAAACCGGAGAGGTAGAGGCGGGCGAAAAGGATTGCGGTGCGAAGGTGGAAGTGGTGAGTGTGGCGTCACGAGAGGAGGTATCGGAGCCGAAGAAGACGGTCGGAGACGCAGAGGTGGAGGTAGAGGCGGAGGCACCCGCTTGTAAAGGAGCGTCGGTGGGAGAACCCTCGAGCTCAGATTCAGTGTCCTCCTCGTCCTCGGGAACAGTCCATTCGGCAGCGTCATCCCCGGCCGCGTCACAAGGTACATGTGTCGGGTCTGTGAGCGCGGATGAGGGTGATGATATCGGAAAGGGTCTGGAGAAGGAGAGGGGGGAGAAGCTCGTCGAAGCTGTGGAGGTGAAGGCGGAGGAGGTGGAGGGGGCGCTCCCTGTCCTGGTAAACGCAATGCGGGCTGTGGCGGTGGCCCAGGTAGCGCCTGCCGACGGGCTCGAACCAAGTCCCCTCGACGTCGACGTTGCGGAAACTGCTCTCCCTATCCCTGTTCCTATTTTGTGTCCTTCCTGAGCCCCACCATGGCCGCCATCCTCCTGATCAATGTTTCTCTTGTTTAAGTTATTCCCGTTCTTCTCCACGCAATATTTTTACTGTATAGGCAAACCCATCCATCAACCACATCTGTATCATCCTGAACGAATTTAACGCTCTCGCACGCATATTTACGTAGACATCACTAGCTCGCCCACTCATTCACTCACTCACGTCGTACAATGCATACCCACACACTCATCACGTTTATGTATCATCACACTTGACTTATTTGACCCTGCTCCATTACATCAAACAACCCCTCACTCAGTCACTCGTCCATAGCATATGTGTGTATCTCTATATTTATTCTGAAATGCGATGTAAGGTATAGTACTACTGGAGTAAGTTATCTACATCATCGAAGTCAGTATCGATAGAGTCGATTCTTGACAGGTCCGATCGAGTCCACTTCTCGCGCTTGCTGCCGTCCTCCTGTCAGGGTATAAATCCATATTACGGTCTAAGTATATGCGAGGTGAATGTGTAAGTTACACGATGGAATGATGCAGAAGGGTGGTACGTTCTAAGGGATAGCGAGGATACTACGACGAGGAAGATGAAATGAGCGGATGAAGGAGCGAGTATTGGCAAACGAGCGACTGGAGTGAGAGCGAGAGCGATTATGGGCAGTAGAGACGTGAGAGTGCAAGAGCGAGAGATATGTATGTTACACGAGTCCGTGTGTGAACGGGCGTGGCACGGTGAAGAGGACACGGATGCGAAAGAAGTGAAAGATGAAGATGAGGAAATATGCGGCAATGAGTGTATGTTACAGTGATGCAAACGGGATGGGTGGGCGGGGATATCGAAGATTCTGTATCATGAAGAGAACGAGTGAATGTGTAAGTGAGTGAGTGAGCCTAGGGGCATAGTATGGATCAAGCAGTCTTGATAGGGGGACGAGCCGTGGAGAACGGAGACGAGAACATGAATGATAACTTTGCGATGCGGAATCGAGATATGGGACGAACGGAGGTCACGAGACGAGGCACGACGAGAGCGACGAGAAAGAGGAGAAGAACGAAACGCTTCGACGGCCAACTGGATATAAGTATCAGAGTCAGCCATCGATCCACACAACCTCAAAACGATCCTCAAAACCACTTCATCCGCGAATCACGAATCCCCAAACGCAACACAAAGGAGAATCAGAGCATACCTCGAACCCCTTCACGAACCCACTTTTCTCAACCATAACAACCTACTCTCTCCCTCCCCAAGCGTCGCGTTCACACCCAGCGACTCCGGCCCCCACGTCGTCTTGTTCCACACATCCATAATCTGGAAACTCCCACTGATTCCCAAATCCGCAAAAGCAGCAGCAACATACTGCTCGCCGCCCAACGTCGTATTGAAATTCCCCTGTCCTTCGTCCGGTCCATAATTCGTTAATAGCACCACCGCATCTCCTTGTGCCCATTGCGTCCCGTCTGAAGCTCCCGAAGGCCCAGTCGCAGGCCCCGCGATCCAAGCCTGCAGTTGTTGCGAACTATCGAGTCCGGTGCCAGGATTTCTCGGTTGCATAGGGTAGTGAGCCGTAAATTCCGCAACGCCCATCGCGTCCTTATCCGTCAACAGCCCAATCCCCAGCCCATCCAACTGCGTCAAATCCGATCCAATAATCAAGTTCGAAGCCGCCCCGATCCAATGCGACATGATACTCCTCCTCTGCTCGTCCGTCACTCCCGTCAACCACTGCGCATTCCCCACATACGCCGAGTCTAAATCAGGGTAGATAGTCAACGTCTCCGTTCCTCCGGTGTTTTGGGGGTTCCTCCTGACGATCGTGGAAACGTAGTTTCGGTACCTCTCGATTGCCCGTTGTACGGTGGCCCAAGCGATAAAGGGCTGAGGTGGGTCCATTCCGTAGTTGTTGATGTCGGTATCGGTGCGAAGGGAATCAGATGTGCTGGCCCAGATGTCGTAGAAGGATTCATTGAGGGAGAGCTTCCAGGAAAGGTCGAGGCGCATGGGACGAGGGTTGGGACGGTCGGGGCGGGTGATAGCGTTATGGTAGGCTATGGCGGAGCCGGAGGTGTTGGCAGAGAGGCCGACGTTGTTGTAAGGCGATCCTGGAGTGACGTAGTCCAGCTTGATGAAGTCGACGCCCCTGTGTGCCAAATCGTCGAGAAGGTCAGGTTCAAGAACTGTACGTGTGCTAGAGTCTCTTACCATGATGAGAAGAGGTCGATGACAGAGTTATGCCACTCCTGGACGCCATCCATCCCATAATCAAAATCACACCTACTCAATCCATTCCCTCCAAAACACACACTTCCAATCGTGATCCCATCCGTCCCCAGAATCGTCTTGTTCTCGTCATTCACAAACGCCCCCGGAACCACATAAACCCCCAGCTCGAGTCCATTCGAATGTAGATGGTCCGCCAACCCCACCAAATCAGGGAATAACTCTCCGTCGGGTATTATCCTCCCATTGTCGTCTCCGTTGCTGCCTACACTCCAATTTGAATCAAGGCCACAGTAGGTATAGTTCCCCGAGGCGAGTGTGGAGGAAAGGACGTCGCATTGGGCTGTGACGTTGGCTTGATTGAGGGTGAAAGCGGGATTGATGGCTTGGTTACCGAAGGAGTTCCAGCCACGGGCGGGGGAAGTGAACCCGTTGGGCGTTGTGGTCGTTTGGAGGACGGTGAGCGGGATGGCAGCGACAGCGACGGACTGGGCGACGTCGCGTGCTGTGAGGTCGGCGGTGTTGGTAACGTGACTGTTGAGCCGTTGACGGGGAAAGATTGGGAGACGCATTGTGGTTGCGTGCCGGCGGTTCTATGTGACAGGAACGAGTGGTGGGTGCTGCGCGATGCGGCAGTAATGACTAGCGACGCTAGTCGTGAGGTTTTAAATGAGTGACTGAAAGAAGGGGCGTGAGTTTCCACGACTCTTCGATAGAGCTTCATGACGGAGAAATCTCTGTGCAGCACCTCTAGGAAATGAGCTACGCGTGCCGGTATGGCCTCTCGCTCTCGTCGGAGCAGGCTACCATCAGGATTGGAAGTCGCCATCTAGCTAAATATAGATGTTTATAGCCTCGTGCAGAAGCAGCGCTGGCGTAGTGGAGCAAAGGCTGAAAGAGGAAGACGCAGGCCATATGCATCCACGAGACTGCCATGGTGAATACACATTCAAACAACCTCTCGAAGTTCGAACCAGCCGAGCAGCCCCTATTGGAACGTTCACGTGTTGCGTTGCCGCCACGCAGAACTGAGAAGCGGTGCCACACCAGCAGAGCGACGACAAGAGATGCAAAAATTACACTCTCTATAGCACGCGTGCTCACCGCTGTAACAGTCCCCGAGCATACGCCAACACCGCTCTGATAGTTAAGATCCCCTTGCGAACCTACGCCTGGCAAATAGTCGCTAGAATCCCGGAACACCTGAACCAGCTCTGAGTTCATGGTGGCTGAGGACCAAAAAGCCTTGGCCCAGGGGTGCGACACAGATAGACAAACAGCCACCAGGCGACACATACCTAAAAAAAGAGAGCGAGAGTGCTCGAAAGAGCGTGGGGGCGAAGCAGGCGGGGAGAAGGGAAGGGAGAAAACCAAGAAGGTCGTGGGAGGGAACAGAAACAATGGCGGTCCAAATGTGGCGACGAGCGTTGAGGGCGCTTCCCCGAAGCGGACTTCGAATCATGACATCATTTATGTTGTGCGCACCTCAAAATCAAGCGTCGCCCCGTCTGCGAAGCTGCCGACGTTCGCGCTACGGCTATACGTATATGGGAAGGTCCTCGTTTCATGGGCCATCCGTGCAAGTCCGTGCAAGCCCTACTACTTACAACGGCTACACGGATAAAAAAAATGTTCGAAGCCCGAGAAACTACGGATTATTAGTCGAACTCCACCTCGAAGCCTGTGTCTAACGCGAAACCAAGAGTAACATTCAGCACCATCTTATCCTTATCCCAACTCCACTCCGTCGTATTTGAGCTTCCTCCACTCAACGCAACCGACACAGTCCCCGGCTTCGCTTCCACCCCGAGCACGAGTACCCTCGCGACCTTGACCCCGACATCGTACCCGAAGTCGCCCACGACGCTGAGCTTATTATTTCCATACGTCATATTCACCGTCGTCGTCGCGTTCGGGCTGATACTCTCCCCATCGTCGACGTATAGACTTCCCACCGCCGTCCTATTCCCCGCTGAAGTCGTCGTACTCGGCGCTACGACAAACTCGAAATCGATCGCTCTCACTTCACTCGTCAACATCGCTGACATTTCCCTCAATGGCAAAATCGCACCACCCTTGATGAACACAGGAATCTGGTCGAATCCGATGTCGGTGAGTGTTATGTTTGAAGCATTGCCGACGATGGGTTCGAAGGTCGTGAAGTTGTAGAAGGTATCGGAGGGGAGGTAGATGGTTACGGAGGTCGAGTTCTCTTCGGTTACAGGAGAGACGAGGAGGGAGTCGCCGAAGAAGAATTGGAGGTCGATAGGGTATGTGGAAGAGTCGGACGGGTATTTGAAGAAGAGGGGGTGGAGAATAGGGGTTCCGACGACAGAGGCGGTGTGCATCGCGGTGTAGATGTAGTCCAGAAGGCGGTAGCTGGGCGCTTGTGAGTGAGCATGATGGGCAACGACGAAGTTCAGTGGGACGAACCGTATGTCGAGAACGTTCTTCGCCGCAGCGGTCGTCAGAGGCCAACGGTAGAACTCCTGACTGATTGATGTGTCTGCGTTGTGCTGCGGGGAATGTAAGTTCAGTATCCATATTATTTGTGTCATCTGGTTGACCTACGTTTCGGAAAAACGGATAGAACCCGCCGAGTGTGGCCCATCGTGCACAGAGTGTCTCCGTAGTATTCTCCGCTATAAGTTAGTTATGAGGCGACCGTCAGTCCGCCCTCCCTCGCAAATTACTGCTGGAAAGACAACTTACCATAACCACAAACATCAGCTCCAACTTCCGGAATCTGATACACACTCGCAAATCCAAGACTGCATCATACGAGTGTTGTCAATAACTCTCACTTCATGTCTTTGGGGATGACAAGAACCGACTCACATCCCAGCAATCGAATTCCTATAATGATCCCAATCACTGAAATTATCCCCCAGCCATTTCCCAACCTTCGTCCCAGCACCTGCGAAAGTTGAGCGAGTGATAACGAGAGTACGAAGGCCGGGTCGGCGCGCGAGCATGGCTTCGTGAGTGGCCGTGGACATCATCGTTCCGTAGATGTTGTCTAGGCGAAGAAACATTCCGTTAGCATTATATCGCAAAATGGTCGATAGTTCTGCTCACGTGTATCATACTCAAGCAGCCCATTCGCATGGCTCGCATCAGTCTACGCCGACACGAATCAATACCTAGTATCGCACTTATGAGACCAAAATACACCCACATAACCGGTCTTGTTGCTCAACGTCACCGCAGCATTGTCAATCGCGTAGGGAGGAATCAACACGTCCTCGCCGTCATGGCTCGGGATCGGAAAGTCTCGTCTCTTTAGCGTCACATTGCTAGTGTAGTCGTCAAAGATAGGAGTACTGGGGTCTGGAGCGGCGGTTGTGCGGTTTGGGGGAAGGTCTTGTTCGCGGGCCTGTTCGAAGGGGTCGTCGCATGGGTAGGTGCAGAACTATATCATGATGGGCAAATCAGTGAGCTTCTCTGGTTTTGAGACAGAACAATACCGTTTAAAGGAGGAAGGGACTCACACTGGATGGTTCATTCATGTCTATCCAGGCTCCGTCGATGTCAAGACCGGTATCGGGATTGTAAAACATTGCGAACTCATTCGTCCAGTAGCTGGTGGGTGCAGTATATTAGCTACATCTACCCAGAGGACGGCATCAAGGGTAGAAATGAAGGGGCCCTTACTCAGAAATATTCGGGTGGAACCAGTCTTGAATTTCGTCGTTCGTTAGGCATATATCGCGAAAGAAGGTTGGGCGAATACTAACCAGGATATACAGTCACACCAGGCCATACAAGTCCCAAGCTCGCACTTCCATTCGGCGCCTTGATCCACACATCCATCTCCGTGCCACGATCGTATGGTCCATAGTCATCGCCAGGTAGATATCCGACGGCCGGGTCTGTCATCAAGACTGCGGGGAAAGAACGTATCGTAAACAAGAAGAAAAGACGAATGGAAAGGCCGGAAGCTCACTGAATTTTTGGTCGTGGTCATGCAGGTAAGAAATAATCTCTCGCATTTTGTCAGTAGGGAAGTAGTCCGGGTCGTTCGTGAAGATACGGCGCTTATACATATAGTCTGGAATGGTTCATCAACTTGAATAGACGGGACGGACATGCAGCGAGAAAACACTCACCAATGTCGGTCCACATCGTCTCCAGAGGGATCCCAGCTGCCGAATAGTTCGTAATCACATCCGCCACATCCACGAAGTCTGCACGCCACATATGTTAGCCCCTCGAAACATAGTTGAGATCAACGATCCGGCAACACTGTACTCACTCTGATACCCAAACCGACACTGATGCAGCCCAAAGCTCCAATACGGCACTTCCGCCGGCGTCCCCACAACCTCCGCATACTGCCTCGCCACCTCCGTTGGATCGCTTTCACTCCCCGCCAAGAAGTACAAATCCAACACTCCTCCGATCACGTTATATTCTAACGACCCACTGTCCTCATCTTCCACGATCTTGATGTCCATGCCGTTCGAATTCAGGAGGAAGACGCCGTGCGTTCCCGTGGTACGGTGTTCGAAGTAGATGGGATGATTGCCATAGAGATTCGTGTCTGTTGGAACACCATACGCATCGCGCGACCAGAATGTACGCGTCGTGTTGGTGGGGTCGAGACGGAATGAATCAGTATGTTCGCCTAGACCATAGATGTTTGCGGAAAGTGGGAGGGAGGTTTTCAGCCGGAGGTATTGTGGCTCGAAGATGATGGGATGAGAAGCCGTAGAGAACAAAACCTCTTCGGTGCTTGTGCGATAGATGGCGAACGAAAATGGAGACTCAGTGTAATTGAACTTAATCTGAGCGTCGGAGAGCGAGACGGAGTCGTTGGCTGAAGGGCGAGGAAGGACGGATTCGGGAACCTCGTAGCGAACGGTGTTCGGGTCGGTGATCTTAACATGAATGCGAGACGCTATAAATAACAACAAGTCAGCCAAACTGCTCCACGAAGAAAATAAATTGAAACGACGAACTCGTCTCATATGTGACCTCCAAACTCAATGTCTGTGAATCATTTCCAAAGACATTACAAGCCGTACCAGCCAGAACGAGCCCTGCTGTCAACTTCGTTCCCGAGATGGAGATATTTGTGGCACTATAACCCGGGCACGCGTCCAAAACGGCAGGATCCACCCATTCCGCGCTAGCAAACCCAAAGAAAAGACCAGAAAGCACTAAAAACCTCGCAAGACGCATTCGAAGCGTCATGACGCGTCGTTCGAGGAAGACGAGGGAAAAGTCGTCAAGCATGCGTTGAGGTCAAACATCGCTCTACATATATGAATGCCAGAGAATAAGCTTTAAGGGCCCGAGGCGATCAGAAGACGCCTGTCACAAGATGCATGTACGGCAGTCTCAGACTATCCTTGGCCAAGGGAGTGATCTTGGCTGCTCCAGCCATCGGTTTGCGATCACGAGGCAAGGGACAAGAAGACCGACCACGAGGACGGAGATGGACAAAGTTAGGCGGCCTCTGTCTCGCATGGACGAGACAAGCGCTCTTACGAGGATACCGACAGGTGCACGAATCAAATTTGAAAGCTCAGAAATGTTCAACTGGAGAGACAGTTGGTATCAAGATATATAATTTCAGTGACATTGGCTGGTCAGTTCGCGGGGCCACAAAAAGGGCGATTGACTTACCCCGGTGGCCGATCTGGTAATTAATAACGGGCTGCCAGGCCGTTGTGGTATCGCCACCTTATTCGATCCCATTAGGAAGGACGTGGTCAGTATCTGCCGGATGCGATTGTAAAGTTGTCTACACACCTGAAGTGAGTAGCCCACTGGGCTACTCAGAAGCCGCTATCGAAGAGGCTCCTCTCACCCATACAAAAGGAAAGCAATGAAAGAGATAGAATTCTTGGACTATCAGCATAACAACGCTATACAATGCACAACGTACAGGAAAACGCATACAACAAAGCAGCGACTCGACGCTCGCCCCATAAATACCCTCAAAAGATAAATATGCAGGGAAAAAATGAAGAATTTTGTACCTAGTAGAGCATGTTTGTTCGAATGTGAACCGTTGCATTCAATCCCAGATCTTCATAGTAGAAGCCTTTGAATGTAAAAGTTCACATTGGATCAGACATGGTCCCAAAACGCCTGGCTCCTAAGACAGAGAGCACCATGAAACCAGCACGTTTATGCAAAATTCTGCGAGTTTTGTGATCGGCTGTCCAGGCCCTCGCCCCGCAGACGACTTTCACATAGACGTGCTGGTTACCGGTGGTCTGGCTTAGATGACAGGACACCACGCAGACCTCTCAAGCATATCCTCAAGCCTGGGGTTGGACGCTCTCGCTCGGGTCCGGGAACCAACAAGGCTTCGTCTTGTTCCACACCAAGGACGCCGAATGGTTGAACGCAGCGAGCTCCTCGAGGGTCGAAGGTGCGATTTCGGAGAGGCGGGAGGCGGTTGTGGCGAGGGTTTGCACGAACTGGAGTTAGGCAACGCGAGTTCAGTTGACTGGGGTGTCGGAACTACAGAGAAGAGAGTGAGATAAAGGAAATGGAAACGGACCTTCATCCGCTCATCAGACCACCTCCCCGCCCATCCTACGCCTACGCCTATGCCTCCAAATACAGATCCCTCAGACACTCCGGTTCCAGTGTCAGCACCACTTCCACTACCGCTGTCGCTTCCACTACCGCTCCCACCTCGACTGCCCGTCTCATCATCTCCCTCGCCGCCGAGTTTTAACAACGTTTCATGCGCGCTCTTGAACGCTGCTGAGGGATTATATGTCTCGTCCTGCATATCATGCAAAAGAAACCATAGTCACACATCAGCTCTATTCTGTCGAGCAGACAACGAAAATAGTGGTGCTGCCTACCGCCAAAACCCCCGCACACGCGTCCAAAAACGCCCTCAAATCGGGATGCCCCACAGGTTTCGCAGTTATTACTCCGTATTGGGGCAGAAATGCCCATTTGTATCGTTTGAGGAGGTTGAGGTGCATTCGTTCAGGGGTGTAGCTGAGTTGCGGGAGCGTTAACTGTCGATAATAAACAAAGATAGAGATTGAGCAATGGACATGAGTACAGTTCGGGGGGTCTCGAAGGATGAATAAAGAGGGTAAGAAGGGGAAGGTGAATATGACTCACGACGAACATCCCCCTACACAGATCCCTCAACCCCTCCAGATATCTCGCTTGGAACTCAAGCTCCGACAACGCAACGCTACCTATTCGACCACAAAGGACAGATGAGCCCTAAAACATCTCCATCTCCTCGTGGCCGATATGTAGGTAAAACCCAACCCACCTTCAATCACAACCTCTCTTAGCTCCCCCACAATCTCCAATGCCGCCTCCACAGTCCGGAGAGCATACCAATACGCGAACGGACGCTCATCTGCGACGTATAGATCGAGCTCGAACCCTGAGAGGATGACGTCGAGGATAGTTTCGAGACGCCAGAGGAGTGCAAGTTTCGGGAGAAGAAGGAGGAGGGTTAGGTCGGCTGTGTCCTGGTTAGGGTGGAATACGTGGTGATGAGAACGAGGTAAGAGTATAATATGCAGACCAATAAAATGCGATGAGAGTGAAAAGATGGTTTAATAAATAAAGACAGGAATGGAGAGACGTACAGTGGTCGTGACGCACAGAGACATATGCTGTAAAAGGTCATACACCACATGCCAGTCCAGCAACGAGTTACAGAGTGCCCGTCGTCTTCGTGGAGGGTTATACCACGCTATTTGAATCCTCTTCGTCAGGAGCTACCCGGTTCGATTCAACGTGAACACCATCATATCGGCAATAATCCAATAAGCTCTTTGGTAAACCCCCACAGAATGAGGCAAGAGGAGAGTGCGTTACCCTGATAAGCTTCCCCTCCAAATCTTTCAACGGCATCCCCGCCCCACCGACCCACCGTCTTGCAAGAACATCGACGATTGTATCATACGAGACACCGAGACGCTCGACGAAGAAACAGTCGACGGCCCAGCGGGGAGGAAGGGCTCCTAAAATACGGAAGTCGTCGAAGTAGACTGACTGTGCACGGAAACAGAAAGCAGGTCATATATGAGCAGGTAAGCGGTATACTTCACATAAGCAAAAGAGAGGAGGATGAAGGCGAGAGGTCATGCACCTGAATCAACGATCTCAGGTACGGCGTTTGAGGTTGCGATGTCGGTCGTGTCCGCGCATGGATATTGCCTACAATCTTCTCCCCATACCCATCCGATACTTCAACACCTTCGCAATGGTGAACTCAGAAAACCCACCGACCTTCCAAGTCATCAAATTCCCCACTCCCACCATCTCACACACCTCCTCCAACCCGTCCAACAGCCTCTCAACTCTTTTCCATGTCTCCTCCATCTCCGGCAACTCCAACACCTTCAGTGGCATATAACTGTTCAGTCTTCGGGTGATGTAGGGGTCAAAAGCGTGTAGGGCTGGAGATTCAGATGACGGATCGGAGGGAGAGGATGATGAAGATGGAGCGGGTGGAGAAGGGCGGTAGCGGATTTCGTGCAGATGGTGACGGGCTTGGGCGAGGTGGCGTTGGTAGCGGAGACGGTCTAGGGTTGGGTCGAGGGAGAAAAGTTCCAGGAGAATCTGAGAGCGTATTGAGGATTATTTGAGTGATGAAGGTGTACGGAGGATCTGTTGGGAGCTCACATTTCGGAGTTCCATTCGATGAAGAAGAGGTTCTTTCCATGAGAGTCCATCTGCAGAAAAAAATAATTAAGCATATCTCATTCGTGCGCAGAATATATTGGTCTACATTATACGCACGAGATGTTTGGTCCGAGATCCATGTGCAGGCGTCATCTAATTGTGCAAGTGCTCGTCGAACGGGGAGACCTTCCATCAGTGAACCGCCACCCTTCTCTGACTGCCAATCCTCCGTCTACACCATCACCATGCACGATTATATGAGCATATGAGTCTGAACATGAGAAAGTGCACGTACATCGAATACCTTGCCCTTGTTCAGCTCCCTCCAGACCATATCACAACACTTCATGAACCCCGCCACAGCAGATCTAAGCACCAATGTGACCAGCTCCATAGGTCGTGCAGGATCGCGCTGATCAAGCGGGATGTAAGGTAGTATTTCTGGGTCGAGTTCATCATAGTGATATATGTAGAGGAATGTGTAGATGGTTTGTGTGAGTGTTGTTCCTGTATGCCATTCCATCTGGGCCACATCAGTATACAGTGTGGCCCAAAAGTCCAATCGGTGTACGCACCTCGCATGCAAACGTTCGGTCGAGAATATAGCAAAGTTCGGATGGAAGTAAGGGGTCTAGAGGTTTGAAAGGAGGTCGTTTGGTTTCTTCCTCAAGAATCACACCGCTGTCCATCCGGGGTTCACCTATCTGCAACAACGTCTAGTTTTATACCCTGACCACGGGAGAAGAGAACTGACCTCGATTGCACTCATGGAATCCAATAATGTAAATCCATCTGTCAATATGACAGTCCCGTCCGGGAGACCTACAAAATCTAGTTCGTCGACTTGTATAAGACCCAGAAATTTAACGATGCGCACCTTCTGCCGCGTCCCGAAACAGACTTGTCACCTCCACGAAATCATCCCCTCCTGGCGTGTCCTCATCGTCGCTGTCATACATTTTGCTTGGTTGTAGAGTTGTAGACGAAGCTACGGTGAAAGGAACGACTTCGTGTGGCACCAGACGCGGTGGCCGATCTCGGCGATGGCAGGAGGAGGGAGAAGTTTAGCTGAGTTTGAACAGTCCGACGATGTTCACTTGTTCTTCGACGCGGCGGTTGGCGTTCTCCTTTGCCAAACCCAGCAATGTTTCTCGTACTTCGAAGGCCACAATATCGAGAAAATATTCTGTCGACGCACAGAACAATGATATACCAGCAAAACGTCGACCCCGCATCATTTTCTCGGGTATTCAGCCCACAGGCATCCCTCACGTCAGCACCTTTTATCTCTTGTTCGTCCGGCTTACCGCTCACACGACCACATGTAGTTAGGAAATTACTTCGGTGCTCTGGCAAACTGGGTGAAGCTCCAACGCGAGGCAGAACCGGAAGATGAACTGTTGTTCTCGGTGGTCGGGTGGCACGCGCTCACGCTCCCCCAAGACCCGAAAGCTCTCGTCGAGGCTAGGCAGGATATGATGGCTCTCATGTTGGCGGTTGGGCTGGATCCGAAAAGGTCCATACTATTTCATCAGGATCATGTGAGTTGCTTCTTATATTTTTGCTTACTTCGGCGCGTTTGTACGAGAGAGGCCACATATCATCCAACGGTAGTCGACCTGACCATGTTGGACCTTGGGCATACTTCCATACCATTAGACTCGTGCGAGAGCGTTGCGAAAATGATTTTCCATGGCGTAGCCATGATAGAGACATGGACGATCGTACGATCACAACACAATATCCGAACATGCTGGTGATCTTATACCTCGTGTGGCGTATCTTCCTACGACCCCATAGACACTCGCAGTTGTCGTACCGTTGCGGGTGCTCACCCCGTAACATCGACTCTGACAGCCTCATCTATTTATTCTTACAGAATCAGAACCATGTCGAACTCGGATGGATATTCAGCTGCCTCACTCCAGTCGGCAAGCTGAGACGAATGACAACTTGGAAAGTAAGCTTTGCCCACCCTCCTTACCAACCACCCAAGCAGCAACAGCATCAGAAACTAAAGCATTCTACAACAGAGCAGACTAGCAGTATCGCGAAATGCAAACGATGAATCCGAAGTCGACGATTCTTTGTTGAACACCGGATTGTTCACCTACCCCGTCCTCCAAGCCGCGGATATATTGGCCTACAAGTAAATATTCCGTCTTCTCCGCCCAGTAATATTGGAGTGATTCTAATGAATGTTTCGCAGAGCGACACATGTTCCTGTCGGTGACGACCAGCAACAGCACCTCGAGCTAGCCCGCGACATCGCCGACATCTTCAACCGGACCTACAAAAAACCGTCGCGCCTATTTCCCCTACCTCAATCCATGTACAGTACGTAGCTTCTCGTTCTCAGTCCAGAATTTCATCCATGTACTAACTGACAATGTCACTACCGCCCCTCTCTACCCCTCTCGCCTCGTCCAACTCTCTCGCTCGCCACGTCCAAAGCCCCCACCCGCCGCGTCCTCTCCCTCAAAGACCCATCCGCCAAAATGTCCAAATCCGCTCAAGACCCTAACTCCCGCATCCTCCTAACCGACCCTCCCTCCCTCATCTCATCCAAAATTCGCTCTGCAGTCACCGACTCGCTACCCACCATAACCTACGACCCCCAGACCCGCCCCGGGACCTCCAACCTCCTCAACATCCTCGCCGCGTGTATGGACCAAGATGTTGAAGATGTGGTGAGGGAGAGGTATGAGGGTAAGGCGAGGAATCATGCGGATCTGAAGAAGGAGGTGGAGGAGGCTGTTGTGGAGAGGTTTAGAGGGCCGAGGGAGGAATTTGAGAAGGTTAGAGGGGAGAGGGCGTACCTTGAGGAAGTGGCGAGGAAGGGAGCGGAGAGAGCGAAGGAAAAATCGGATGTGGTGTTGACGGAGGTTAGGAGGAGGGTTGGTTTGGCTTGAGGAAGGAGGCTTGATGTCGGTTTCATGTTACGTGAGTTCGTTCATCGTGGCATACTGCGTGGTGTGACTGATGAGGTCCTCACCTGAATATAGTTACCTTATATTTGGTTCAATTCATCACCTTTACTCCCCGGTCCACCTCGGATATACGAGTGTTGCCCGAAGGCGAAAACGCAGTTCTTCGTTGACCAGCATTGATATCCTGAGTCTTAGGATCAAATGCACAGAATCATCCACAGCAACATACCATAGTGATCACGACGCTAGCACAAAGGCGGCAGTCCCATATCTCGCTCAGTACGACACTTACCTTGAGTATCTTAGTATGTTTCTCCGAAACGGACATGGCCGACCCCGACGGGCTTGGTCAGCTGTGGTGAGTAATCCTTTCTTGTAAGTTCCGTCGGGTCCTTCAACGATGACGTGGGGATATAAAAAGTTTGCAGTACAGGGGCTCTTGTCGACATCCTACATTAGGCCTCACATCCTGTCTATCCTCCATTCGCATTGATCGTATCACTCAGAACTTGACCACATCACCTCCAAGACACCTACGCCTTTGACCTCTGACACCAGACCCCATCATGTCGACCCCACCGAACACATCCAACACCACCTTCATCCTCCCCACCGCCGGCGCCGGCGTCCAATCCATCACATCAATCACGTCTCCTATCCCTACCCCCAAAGCGCACGAAGTCCTCGTCCGCATCCACGCCGTCTCCCTCAACTTCCGGGACTATGCCATAGCCAGCGGGAGATATCCCCTCACATTGAAGGAGAATTTGGTGCCGGGAAGTGATATGGCGGGGGAGGTCGCTGCGGTGGGTGACGGGGTTGAGGAGTGGAAGGTTGGGGAGAGGGTGACTGCAAATTTTGATCAAGGACATCTCTACGGGGCTTCGCGCAAGAGTGAGCCATTCGCTCATCTCACGTCTCCGTTTCTCAACTAATTATATTAAGCAGGACTAGCACTAGGCGGTACCCTCGACGGTGTCCTCACCCAATACCGCATCTTCCCTTCCGTAGGCCTCCTTCGCGTCCCCAAGCATCTCAGCTACGAAGAGGCGGCGTGTTGGCCTTGCGCGGGAGTAACGGCCTGGAATGCGTTATTTGGTGCGATTAGGCTTCTTCCAGGGCAGACGGTGTTATGTCAAGGGACTGGTGGGGTGTCAATTATGGCGCTTATGTTTGCCAGTGCGGCGGGGGCAAAAGTAAGTTCTCTTTTACTAGCTTATGAACTGTGTGTGGAAGCGCTGATGAACTGACCTTTTCCCCTGTTGTTTAGACGATTATTACCTCCAGCTCGGATGAGAAATTGGAGGTATGTATATTCGTGAAGACAGGTCGCCTATCAAAGATGTCTCATTTTTTAGTCCATCAATAGCTCGCAAAGAAACTTGGCGCCACACACACGATCAACTACAAAACCCACCCCGACTGGGAGAAACTCGTCCTCGATGTCTGTGCCCCCTTCACCTCCATGTCTCGTAACACTTACTCATACTCTTGCGATTTGCTTTTGTTCATTGGCATCTAGCTCACGGACGGCGAAGGCGCGCACCATATTATCGACAACGTCGGCATCAACGAGATCGAGAAATGTTTGAACTGCGTTGCTAGCGGCGGAAGCATCGACTGCATTGGTTTCCTCGGCGGTCACTCGAAGGAGACGCCTAACGTTCCGTTACTGGCGATCATGAGAAATGCTATTGTTCGGTACGCAGTTTCTCCATCCACCGTCTCCTTGACCGCTCCATTCTATACCCCGTTCTTCTTCGTAATTCTACCGCTTCTCTCTTGCGTTTGCACCTCTCGTGAGCTTCGGTGCTGACTTCGTTGTGTGGCTGTCTGTGGCGTGTGTGCTATTCGAGCAGCGGTGTCTACGTCGGGTCGAAACAACAGTTCGAGGAGTTGCTCAAGTTCGTGGAGACAAAGGGTTTGAGACCGCATATTGATAAGGTATTCAAGTTCGAAAATACCGTGAAGGCGATCGAGTATCTCGGCGCGGGACAGCATACGGGAAAGATTGTTGTCAAGGTTGTTGAGTGAGTATTGGGATACCCAGGTGCTGGACGTGAAGGTGGTTGAGGTCTTGAGGTCGGTAATGAGGTGTTTTCAGGGCCGTTCCCCCTGGAAGACGTACATTTGATTAGGAAGAGCTCAGATGTGACATGGGATATACCTTCCGAACATCTGTAAATAATACATACGTTTCTCGATCCATCGCCACCACTCGAATGCACAAACCAAGCTCAAGTTCTAGCCCTGGCCACGGTGTTCGGCCCATTTTATCGAGTACCCGTACCGCTGCCACCACATCACCTTGCGTGATGTCTCCGCCGCAGATATCAAGAAATTCAAAGAGAGCGAATAGTTTAGAATAAGATGTGTCTCGAATTCTTTCCACCGGCTTCCCCGGCAAATAGCCCCCGGGCTCTGCCGAGGCAAAAGCTTCAGAATTCAACAAGAACAAACAACTCAGGTTTCAGTGGCGGCGGAGCCTGGCAGAGCGCTCCCACCAACGACCACCATCACTAGTATACAGCGCGAACTGACCTAGTCATCTCAGTCCCGTCAACTCGAAGACAAGTTATTCTCTTTCCCAATTCCATAGTAACATAAAGATCCTCGAAACAACCGGGTGCGTCCCTCACTTTGACCGGAAATGCCTCCAACGGCCTGCTCTTTGGCGGTAGCATTACGGCGCCGAAATGGTACTTACTCTATTTGGAATTCTTATCTAGTTCGCGGAGAGTTGAAAGAGCCAGCATCCATGAAGAAACATGCCGCCTTATACAACAAGCGAAGGACATCTCTGAACGACTCAACATTCTTTCCAGGCAACGCAACACACTGTCGCCTATCGACTTTCTCCCGGATGAACTGCTAGGCGAAATCTTCCACGAGGTCTTCTTGCTTCACCCCGATAAACCACATCCACACGGTGGTTGTTCCACTGAATTTGATGCTTCATGGACGCGACTTATGCTTGTCTGCCGAAGATGGAGACAAGTCGGCTTGACTGAACACAGAACGTGGTCGTACATATCAGACAGCTCTCGATCGTACAAAGGCCTCTCAATCGGACAGAGATTGGCTCGATCATCCCATCACCTTTTAACATGCCGATTCGATCTTGGGAGAGAACCAAATGAGGTTGGCTTCCTACTGAACGAACATGGTGGACGTATTCGTGGTCTCGAAGTCACCGAAAATGCGTTTCAGTTCGACGCCATCTTCAACGGCGTGTCGAAATTACCTAGCTTGAGGGAATTAATTGCAAGATGTGCGACTCGATATAGTGGCGTCCATTGGGTCCCCGACGTCCTGGATGGCATTGCACCACAACTATGTGCTCTCGATCTATACGACGTGCAATTCACTCGGTGGGGATTGTTACGTTCTAATTTGCGCAGTCTGGTCCTCAGCCGATCTTGGACCAACTCAAACAGTACCTTTCCACTACTGTTTGTCACGGAAATGGTATCAACTCTCAGACATCTTCCTCGTCTCACTCTCCTCCAACTCCATCATTATATGTGCGAAGATGCGCAAGTGCATCATTCGGCCACTGCCATTCGTACGAGACTTCGAGCAACACTTCCTCAGGGATTTTAGCCTCCATATCGCTGCCAGTAATTTCTCCTTATTGTCAGTCTTTCGCGCGCCATCCCACAGGTCTAACCCATGTGGCGATGGAATTGAGTTCAGAGATTGATCTGTGTCGACACGGAATCGGTGTCGCGTATTCTATTTCTCTACAGCCAACCTCGCGCGACGCTCCATCTCTTAGGGAGCTCAGTGCCTCAGGCTATAGCTGAATCTGATCAAGTGGTATTTATTTTTTCACGGAGTTCTACTACTTATCGTTCTTTCAATAGATCCTCGCGAAATTTCCGTTCCGTTGTTTTCCTCCCAATTTGCTCCCAATGGTCGAGTACCTTGGATAGCTCCAATTTACGACATCGACTCCATCTGGAGGATGGAAGATGGACCAGACTATACGCAAAAAACATCGAAAGACGAACTCTTTGTCCACCGTCACGTTCGAGTACGCCCCATTGTGCTTGTTCAGAGGCCAGCGTGACAATCCGCGCGTGTCGGGGATAAGCGACGAACAGTCTAAGTTCAGCGTTATCGCCGACCCTGTTTCTTGTGACGGCCCTTCTACTAACCTCCGACTGGACGCCAGGAGAAACCACCCCTCTAAATGCCGATTGCGAGACTAATACCACCATACTATGATGACCAGAGAACCAATAGAGAGTGCGAGAGTTGGTCAGAATCCATACTTGAGACTCGGGAGCATCAGGCTTCGGCGTCTGTGAACCATAATAATCTTCCTGGTATGCAACTAAGTTTGATGTGTCAATGCCTTCCGACGGTATACTGACTGATGTTGGCTGTTTTCTAGACTGGTACACCTCTGGTCCTCTTGATATGATTATTCATGAGTATCCATTATGGAAAACGTGACCATCCATTCTCAGAAACGTGATCATCCATTCTCAGAAACGTGACCATCCATTCTTAAAAATGTGACTGTGAAAACAACTTATACGGTCAATGTGGGTCCTTCGCCGTCGTTGTCGAAGGAGGCCAGATATATAAAGACCTCATGAATTATCCCTACTGACCCTGTCTCAACACACTGCGTTAAAGACACCCTCATCACCGGAACTCGCTCATGTCTCAACAAACGAACACCGCATTCATTCTCCCTCAAACAGGTGCTGGCCTTCACACTATTACAAAGCGCACCACAGACATCCCCTCCCCGAAAGCGCATGAGGTGCTGGTGAAGATTCATGCCTTCTCTATCAACTACCGCGACTTCGCAATGAGCGCTGCCTTCTACCCCGCTCCCCGTCCGCCTAATCAGGTGTTAGGGAGCGACATGGCCGGAGAAGTCATAGAGGTGGGAGAGGGCGTTGTGGCGGGGGAGTTTAATAAGGGGGACAGGGTCACCGCGAACTTCAATCAGGCCCATTTCTTCGGGACCCATACCGGACAGAGTCAGTATATTTCCCTGTTTTTATTTTTATTTTTATTTTTATTTTTATTTTCCAAGGTCTTTGTTGTTGATGCCTACTCGGGCTCTTAGGACAGGATCTCGGTGACGCCGTGGAAGGCGTGTTTCAGGAGTACTATGTCTTCAATGTCGCCGGCCTTCTTCACGTTCCGAAGCATTTGACCTACGAAGAAGCTGCATGTGGACCTTGTGCCGGAGTCACGGCGTGGAACGCACTGTATGGTGGAATTCCGCTTGCTCCTGGACAGACTGTGCTGTTCCAAGGGACTGGTGGCGTGTCGTTGGCGGGGTTGCAGTTCGCTGCTGCGGCTGGTGCGAAGGTAAATAATTTTTTTTTTGTCCTGTGTGTCCTCCGACACTTGGGATCCAGAGGTTGACTTGTCACCGGTAGACAATCATTACCTCTGGTTCGGATGAGAAGCTTGCGGTGAGTGTTGATATTAGATGTTGCTCCGTCAAGTTCTGAACGTGCCGTCCGACCCCTTGTTTGTCTAGATCGCCAAGAAACTCGGTGCCACGCACACCATCAACTATAAGACCAACCCCGACTGGGACCAGGTTGTTCTTGAAGTAAGTAACCACTTCCTTCACTATTATTTATGCTCTCTCGAACTCTACACTGACAATATATACCGACTCTATAGCTTACGGAGGGCGTAGGCGCGCATCATATCCTCGATAACGTAGGCGTCGAGGAGATTGGGAGATGCTTTAACTGTGCTGCGACTGGTGGCAATATCCACTGCATTGGTTTCCTGGGGGACATGACAAAGCCGGCTCCCAATGTACTGATGTCGGTCCTCATGAAGAGCCTCTCAATTCGGTACGCTCATCTGCTCGCTATCCTGGCGTTTGAAACCCGCGTTCTAAGACTGATATACCGTAATGCTTTTCGCAGCGGGATATATGTCGGCTCCAAACAGCTTCATTCGGACATGCTTCGCTTTATGGATACGAACAAGTTGAGGCCTCATATCGACCGCGTTTTCGCATTCGAGGATACAGTGAAGGCTTTGGAGTATCTGGGCTCGGGGAAGCATGTTGGAAAGGTCGTTGTGAAGGTATCAGCGTAGTGGAGTAAGCTCACACAACCTTCCAGTCCGCGTTCAAAGTTTAAATGGCGGGGTATGTACGTACATGTTTGGTAGCGGTATGGTTTGGTTTTGTATCATGTCTTGGCCTCTCGATCAATGCATGTGTCTGCTTCGTATCCGCTCACGACGCCCGTGTGTCCAGGCCGTGTTGAATGGGATGTCTTAATAGCTATACGCCGTGATAGCTCAGCTGGGAGAGCAACAGACTGAAGTTCTGGAGGTCGCCTGTTCAATCCAGGCTCATGGCAGTACATTGCATTCTCGCTCGTGACTTTTGCCCTGTCCTACAATGTCAGTCCATTGCATACCACAACAATCCATCGAGATTATGCTATCCAACGACGAATTGATAACGATACTCCGTCGACGAGCTACCTTGCAACAGTCTCGTACTTTTGTGTATGAGCTGTGGTTCTCCCATACATGCAGTGTCCGAAGAGGAAAGTCATGTCGATTACACGGTATGCATCGGCAGACCAATGTTGGAGAGGACGACGTCTGTCGCTCTGTGACTCGAATGCGACGAGGTTTACGATTTACTTGTCATGACAAAAGGATCGATTTATGGATGAGAGCCATATGTGTGTCAACAAGATCGTAGAAGGCCCTGAGGACTACAATCAGACTCGAGAGGACATGATAACCGGAGGTTTGTGCTCCATTGAACACGCCGAAGTAAGTTACTCAAGGGGAGGTCTGAGCGTCTTGTGGGCCTAAACCTCAGGCGGTGAGTGTATTGGTCTTGAAGATCATCACCACGAGTATATACAATATGAACGTACCTCGAGAGAGAAATCGTTTCTGGGAAGTTGATACTTCGACGACGCAGCGCGGTGAGGAAGTTAGGGGATGCAGAGAGGCACTAAAAACAGGCCACCTCACAAGGCAGTCACCACAAGGATCACTGTGAATTACCACCCCGTAGACAGTCAACAACCCGAGCCTCAATCGAATCGCATTGCTGTACAAACCCCAGCTTACAGCTCCATGCCTCCCTTCCAATCTACAATAATAATCTAATCAATCACTCAAAGAAACAAGCATCATCCCCAGCCTTCTCGTCACCTCATCCACCTCCACCTCCACCGCCGCCACTCGCATCCTCAATCGCAACCTTCCCCCCGATCGCTGCCACGATCACGAAACATACAACGAGCGTCAACTGCCCCACGAGATCCATACCAGCCGAATGGATAGGCATGGCATACATGTCTGGATCGAGGTTTCGGTTCCACAGGAGGTGTGTGAGCGCGCGGGCGACGAATAATGAGACGGAGACCTGAATATTGAATACGAATAGAGGATAGAGAATAGTGATGTTAGTAAAGTAATGAGACGATGCAGAGGAAGGAGGAAGGGAGAGAGGAGAGGTGGAGGGAGACGTACGGCGAGGCAAAATCCTAGCCCAGCAGCGGAAATCATACCGAATCCTAGCGTTAGCCATCCTAATCCCTTGAGGATCGACAGAAGGATGACTTCGACGGGAAGAGTGACGAGGAAGAGTGTCAACATGACCGTTCGGGTGTTGAGCGCAGGAGTCTGAGTATTCGAGTGGGATTGTGGGGGAAGAAATGTGGTGCTGGCCGAGGGATCGTGTGGAGTGGAAGAGGCGGCGTGTAGAGCGGTCGAGAGCCGGGAGATGAGAATGGAGCCGACGCTGCCGGGAAGACCTATGCACGAAACCAAACCAATGGTATCAATAACATCTTATGGTCGTGGGGTATATAGCACAATTTACCACTGATGGCAACCGCCAGCAATGCGAAGTCCTCGAATCGGCTCACAAATATGTCCAATACGATCCCCGTCCCACTGCTGATCACCATCGCACCAAAGAGCGGACTCCATCCCTGCCAGATCAAGTGTTTGACATCTGGATTCTGGCGGGCGATGTTACCGCAAACTCCGATGGATACCACGACGATAAGGACAATAAGAATGATCAAGAGGATTGGAGGCGAGGAGAATAATGGTAGGAGTAGAGTTGAGCTTATGCCGAGGAGCGTAAGGGTGACCAGGTCGCCGAGACAAGATGCTATTGGCGGTGCGATGTTGTCTATACAAAAGGATGCGATGCATGAGTATAAAGAAGAAAGGCGACTGAGGAGGTTTCGGATGGCTGACCAGGATCGCGACCGAATTTTCTGCAAACGACGATGAGGCCACACATGAAGGAGCCCAACACGAGGGCGGATATACATGCGGCAGACATGGCGGTAGAAGAGACCATGACGAATCTAGACAATTTGTTAGCTAAATATTGAAAGACACGTTACCAGCCATGGTAGACACAAGAAGTAGCCAGAAGAAAGCCATGGGAGTAAATGGTTGTGGCGTCAATTGCGCAGGAACGCCACCTGAACCTAGGATCGTGACCACAATCCAGGCGAGGTACCCATAATACGAGAAGTTGACATTGAGATCATCTCTCAACCGTGGGATGCACTGCATACCTGTGTAGAGAGATGTTGTGGCGTTAGAGACGGTTACTCACTCAGCAAAGCCAGACTTCGGTGCCTCTGGACGATGTGTAGGTCTAGGAACTCGCGCCAGAATAGTTCTGGATGCGTTCCCGAGTATAGCACTTGTCGTAGAGTTCGTTCCCGTGCCCTCGCCAGTTTCGGGGGGCTGATCCGGGACCACAAGGCCCAGTAAGAACGAAACGCACGCCGCCACAAAGGACACGACTGCTGCTTGCACCTGCAGCAGGGCGAGGTTTCCAAGTATAAGGGAGTTTCTAGATTTTGGATTGTCAAGTTGGCCCATGTTAGCAGCAGTTCCCAGGCGTGCGGATAAGTTCATCTCGAGGTTGCCCTTGAGGTTGAGGATGACGGGGATGATCATGATGAGCTCGTTTATTTTACTCATGGCTTGCCAGTGCTACAAGCAATTAGCCTATATAAACATCGAAATCACATCAAAGCACGTACCGAGACGTGGTCTAGTAACTCTCCGGTGAGCATGAGACCGATGGTGGTGAAGAGTAGGGTAGGTGCTGTCTAATCCGACATTGATTTCTGTTTTATGATATCAAAATATACATGGCGCACCTCAAGTACCAGACCAAAAATTAGTCTCCCTACAGGTTCCTTTCTCTGTCCAGTATCCCGCCAGCGGTGACTGTGTCCCGAACCGGGAGACAATAGGGCTTCCTCGTCCGCATGCTGGTCATCGTCGGAGTGCCTGTCTTCGTCATACTCGTACGTTTGTCCCCTGAGAAGATTCGGATTGGGAGTAACGACCACTTCGTCCAAGGCCGAGAGCTCAATATCGTCGCCCGTTGAGCTCGACGGTGTGGATGGTGAGCGTGACCTAGGCGACATCGTTGACAGCGTAACGTGTTCAAAGCCATTTCCCAGAAAGGCAATCGACACATACTGCACGCGTGGGAATCTGGCTCAGCCGACTCAACGGTCACATCGTTCACGACTCGAACGACACACTTCGCCTATCGCCTTCATTCTGGCTTTGTACTGCTCATATATCTTCTCGAAAGACTGGTCAATAGTTTTTGGCAGTCATTTTGGACCGTCTTGACATCTTCAAATCACCCGGAACGCGCCTGAGCGACCACACCGACGTGACGCGCCACTTTGCGAACAATGCCACCAATATGCTCTCCCTATCCTCCCATCCCAGAATATCAGTCACCTATTATCAAGACATCGCTGGAAACGATGCCGATGACCAGCGACCTCGAACATCTCCTTTCCGAGCTCAAGGAAAGGCGACAGTACCCGGAGGAGAGACGAAAGAAGGCAGAGCAGGACATACACACCCTAGACGAGTCGTATCGGAGGCTGACGGCGAAGGAGAAAGGAAAGGCGAAGGCTGTTGAGAGGGTCAAGCGAGAGCGAGGCTGTGCGTAAATTTGGCTTGATTTCTAGAGATTTATTGACTTACTTCTGCGCACACCTTGTTTGTGTCACCCGGGTCGCTGTCTCTTGAACGCCATGCTTCTGTTTCTGCTTCAACATGACTTATTCCATATTCGCCGTTCGCATGATGCGATGGATCTTGTTCCCTCCGTACCTGGCCGCTATTTGTTTGACAAATACCTTTGGCGCTATGGCCATCCTCGACTTCTTTCCGCTCGCTACACCTTGCTCTTGTCCGGATTCCCAGTTACCCCTCTTCCTGGACAAGTCGAAGAAGTCAGAGCTTCACCACATCCTCAACCGGGACCATCAGCTCCTCCACCCAGAATGGCTTCAACTCCAGTGGCGTCTGTCGTGCCAGCCCCACCACCACCACCAGCCGCCCTTCCCCGCAAGTCGTGGGTGCCCTCTTTCCCGTCCGTCCAAACTACGGTCTCATTGATTTCTACCTCAGTGACTCGAAGAATAAGAAGAAGAAACGTAAACGAGATGTGGACAGTGACGATGATCGTGGTGGGTCGCTTCACCGACGGCGTACACCATATCCTAACACCGCATGCAGATTCCCAAAGACTCAAGCCAACCCCTCCATCTGTTCATACAACCCCCCAACCAGCCCACGCTCTCCCAAAGGCCGCCAAACCCAGCGCCGCCTCAGCAAACCCTTCCAAAGTACGCAAACCTCCCCTTTCCCTCATCACCATCATGGTGCCACTAACCCACGTCCTCCTAGCTCTCTTCCGGCCCAGACTGGACTGTCCCACCAATAACGAATCTCCTCCCCGCCCGCCCAAAACCCGCCGAAGTACCCCTCCCAGGACCCAGGGAACCCTCAGAAGTAACCGAGGACTTCTCCAAAGCGAAACAACCGTCCCAAATCCTCATCAACACCTTCTACACCTCCATCGAACCCTACATCCGGCCCCTCAAAGAGTCTGACCTCGGTTTTCTCTCACATACCGCCTCCGAGACCGAGCCGTATATCATGCCCCGACTTGGACGACATTACACGGAGATTTGGGAGGAGGAGGATGTGGCAGCGTATGGAGGCGTGTTGCCGAGCACGCAAGCGATCAGGGCATCGACGAGCTATGGGAGGCCGGCGGAGAGTGCGCCGGTGCCGCGGTGGGATCCGGCGACGCTGAATGAGGATAATTTGTTGGCGGAGGAGAGGGGACACGGGCCGTTGACGGAGAGGTTGGTGAGCGCGCTGTTGCCTGTGGAGGACTCTGTAGTGTGGAAGGGTGTGAAGGCGGCGGAGGAGGCGATGGAGGGAAGGCATGGCGTTGGGGTGGGGAACGCGGCTGGGAGGCAAGTGATAGTGGAGGATTTGGAGAAGAGGATACGAGATAGCTTGCGGTTTCACAAACTGCTGGAGAAGCCGGTATGTGCCTGCGTTTTTTTTGGCTAGACAAAACGCATACTAACTCGGTGCTTTGATAGCCTGATTTCTCGGACCCGCTTGACGATCCCATAGCCACCGCCCTTCGTCAGGCTCAGGAGCAACTCCGAACGGTCGTAGCCACGAACAAAGCTCGCAAAGCCCGCCTCGCAGCCGTCGCTCGCGATAGAATAGGCTACCAAGAATACATCGACCTCCGCGACTCCATTGACAAGAACATCAGCACGCTCTACACCAAACTGCAGAAGAAAGAGGGCCCCAAGGCTCCGAAGAACAAGAAGAAGAAAGGTTCTTCGACCGACGTCAATGGCGCAGCCAACGGTAGTGCGAATGGCGCAGCTGCACCGACGGGTACTTGGCCTGCGTCGGCGGGATTGGGGCCAGATGAGGACAACTTGTTGAAGGTGCCGGAGCAGTTGAGCCAACTTGTGGCTACGAGGAGGAAGTGGGTCGATGTGGTTGGTGGAGTCTTCGAGGAGAAGCAGAAGGAGAGTCCAGGCAGGATTTATGGTCTTCCGAAGAACAGTCTCTATAAGGGGATAGAGGAGGAGGTCCAGGAGCTGTTGAGGGCGGGACCCGAGGGCGCGTCTGATGGACTGGGAGATGGAGGTTTGAGGGGGAAGGGGAAGGCAAGACAACTAGGCCCGGACAACATGGATATCGGGTAGGGAGATCGTGAGTCTTTTGTAATTTTGCATGTTTTGACGCTCGCTGTGGGCCTTTGCTGTTTCATTTCCGCTGTCGGATTATTATAATGTTATTTTCCCCCTTTCCCTTCGCCTTTGCTCCACTCATCCCCATCCTTTCCATCCTTGCCCCAGATCACTCCCCTCCCACTGCTGTTGTTATCCTTTTGATGGTGTCGTGGAAGACCCGCATGTATCGCTTGTGTTTCTCACCATTGCAGCTCATTCACAGCAGAAGTCGAGAGGCCTCGTCGTTCTCCTCGTTTTCGATGTATTTGTCTTTTCCTTCCGTTCTCAACACAATTCAGACTTCCTGGACTGGTCCGCAGTTCCGTCAGCACATACTGAGATTCAGCCTCCACAAACGCGCCACGCATGTACTCCTAACAGCGTGAGAGGTTGAGAAGCTTGCCACTTTGTGTAATTTGATCCGTATATCGACCCGGCCGTCGTTGTCGGTACCAAGTGTCTCTTGTCTCCTGCCGTCATCAGCTTAAAAGGCAACTCACTATTCGTCAACCGACACTCATCGTTAACCAAGACCTTCGTACGAGCACAGCACTCCCTCGTAGCAAGATTCCTCCCAAGCTCTGCCCCTGAGTCTTTTTTACAGACGAGTGTCATCCAGTGCATCGCTCCTTTGTTAATGCAGTAATGCCGTTTCGGCTGTTGATCACAGAACACAGTCGTCGGGTATCCTTTTCTCGTCATAGTCCAGGTAGGGCACGAGCAGGGTAACTATGAATCAAGCCCACCGGGACATATAAAGGACCTCTGTGCTTCCTTCGAGACACTGATTTCACTCTCCTTTGCCTACATTCATGGTTGATTGGCAAGATCCCGAGACGATACGTGCTCAACACGGTACGTCTTGTTTTTTTCCGCACACATCCCGATCTCTTAACTGACGGATCTTCAGAATCTCTTGTGAAGTTATGCTATTTCTTGGATGGAATGCTTGTGTATGATTTGTTTCAAACTTAGAGCATATGGGTCAAGTTCATACTCAATCTTGTACAGATGGGAGTTTCTAGTCGCGTTACCCTTTGACTTAAAGCTGTTAAGAAATGGTCGGGCTACCCATTTCGCGCCGATGGTGAGTACCTCCAGCTAATACATCATCGATATCTGTAAACATCCTGACGCTCATGACTTCTACAGGTGTATATGTTGTGTCGCTTCATGACTCTTTCAACCGCATTAGCACAAGTTACTGGCTTCAGCCTACAAAGCGACTTTGATTGTCAGGTATGTAGCGCATTTATCCTTAGTATCATATATGTTTAGTAGCTCACCAGATCGGAGCAGGCATGGTACACGGCTCTCGGGGTTCGACGATCGCTTTCTGCCTTTGATAAAAATCTTGATAGAACTACCCTAGGTTTTCTCGTACTGCAGCCTTGGAACTGCATCCTTATTGATAGTCCTACGCGGGTATGTTTTGGCTCTTTTGCGGTCGTACTTTCCTCGTTCTTCATCCACTAAAACAGAACTAGACTTGCTATTTGGCAACAAAGCCTTTTTCCGTCGCTCTTCATGGTCGCTGTCTGGCTCGTAAACATCGCATTCCTGATTCGGAGTCTGGCCATTGGGGTGGGTTGTTCAGCGCATGACCGTAGGCGCAGATAGCTGAGCTCATCGTCCTACATATATAGTCTCAATCTGAATGGGACCCTACGGCCGACGCTTGTGTTTTCCCGAAGTCTAACTCCGCACGAGATAGTATCATAAGCCTGCTGGTCACCGATACTGTCTTACTGTGCACCGTCCTCGCTGGTTTGTTGCGTATGAAGAACTCAGGCGGCCTATGGAGTAAGCTCTTGAGCCAGGTGCCTTTATACGTCCTCGACTTCGCGTAGCAGACTCAATATCTAATTGGGGAACTTCTTTCAACCAGGGTATTGTGTGGATAACAATCGCAATCACCTTCGGGATACCGGGTGCTGTGAGTTCAGAACACCTTTCCGTCAGTCGTCATATTGAGCTTAATCATCCATCCTTAGGTTTTCATAGTGTTAGACCTGAACGGTAGTAAACGATAGTGTCTATCGCTGCTCTTTATAATGCTGATATACCTGTGCTCTGTCGGTTGATACCTACAGAGCCTATGAACATGGTAGGTGAACTTTCCTGAAGCTCCGTTGGCGGTATGATCGTGACTTTCAGGATAATTGTCAGATGTTCCAAACCCTCACACGTATGCCAATGTCGCTCCTTGTTCTTTCAATCTAATCAATATTGATGACCCATTCACTTCTCCAGTGGCGTCATTGTATGTAGCAGTCCTTGTGACCTGTTCTCAGCTTTCTGACGCGAGCATTGTTAGAACCATCTGTGCTACACGCATGTATCGCGACCTCTCAGAATATGCGCACGTCTTGATTTCTGGTATATCTCTCGTAGGACAGCGTTAGCCTAACACAGTTGATCCGCCTACAGAAGCAAACCGATCGCGACTATGGACTTTATCGGAGGTCCCTTCCCCGTCTTTAGAGATACTACTACAGAAGGTGACACGTTGAATACTACACATAGCATTGTGTTGACCTCAATACCACGGCACGATGAGTAAGTGATACCTTGTAAAGCCGCTCGTCCACGTCGCTAATACGAGGCTGACCTTTTTTTGCGGACCAGTCCTTCTGTAGTACTTGGTGATGATATGGAGAGTCGCAATCAGCTAAAGACCAAAGAGGCTGGAAAGGGAATACTGGGCACCGTCGAGTCCGAAACGAGTAACGTCGCCTGAATCCCACCCTTTTTTACTTTTACCTGAGTATAGTGTCTATTATTCGAACAATGCTTCTCGATGAATGCTCACTGGAATCTGATTCATTGCAGTGTATATATAGGCCAATCCGTGCCTAAAAGACTAGGGCAACAAATTGCGCGCTGCCGACACTCGTCTGTGCGTTTGGCACCGTCATAACCTCCCTAGGGATAGCCGTCCATATCAATGCTTACGTACTAGAACTTCTTCAAGAAGGAGAGCAAAATGCTACAAGAGACCGTGTATTAGTCTCCAAGTAGGTCGGCTCCATTCATTCACCGCGGGACGGTCGCTGTAGATGGATATCCCCAGTCACAACTGGGCATCCGCGAACGCTTTTCAAAAACGTATAGTTGCAACAAAATACATAACTGATCTTGGGCATGGACTACTATGGAGGCGGAGCCATCATGACGGAAATCCGCCGCTCTCTCTCCACTTAGCTAGAGTTCTCGTATTCCGCCTACTAGCTGCAGTAGCTGGAGTGCACGCCCCGCGAGCGGGTACATGCCTGAGTAGATGAGTTTGTGTATCTCATCCCATGACCGTGACCACAGGCTAATATAAAGGCTGACGTACATCTCATTAACACTTTCTGGGCAGCTACATGTTCTGTCGCCCCGTGACGATTCTAGACGGCAGCCTCTCCGAATCAGAGGGATCTCCCGCTATTCTGTTCGATGACTACTACGCTAATTCGGAGGTTTAGATACCCCGCCTAGCTACGCGTCTTCACCCACAGTACCCGTCTCGTACATTCTCTTGAAGTGGATCCGCTCCTGGGGCATACATAAAGACCGGGAAAGTCTTGCTCTCATCCATCTCCAAACCTGAGCCTGGATCAGTCAGAAGTCTTTCTCTCTTGCGCGATGGTCGATTGGAAAGACCCTGGCACTATCCAGATTCAGCGATGTGTGTAGTGTAACTGACAGTGCCTCCATCGCGCTGACACTCATCCTCAGTGGCTCTTGTCAACTTCTGTCACCTTCTGAGCGGCATATTCTTGTAAGTCCCTTTGACATGTTTATGTTATATGCGTCTTGGCTGATGATCACTTTCGATGCAGTTGGGAGTTCTGTACGACTGTGTCTTTCGAGTGGGCTTTGGTAAAGAATGGACGAGCTCTTCGGTTTGCACCCATGGTACTCCAGCTGATAGTCTCTGGCCACTGCGATCAGTTTCTGACCAAGGCTACGTTCATAGGTCTATATGTGGTGCCGCTGGTTAACGTTGGGCGCAATGATATCCGAGGTCGTTGGCTTTAATCTTCACGATGAATACAATTGCGAAGTACGTCTCACCACCCTCAGAGATCATTCATTCTTCCAACAACCCACTAGGCGTGGTACATAGCGCTCACGGTAGGCCGTCGTCGAGGTCCCTTCGTCAGCCATACTTGCGCTTAACATGTTATCACAGACGTTCGCCTTTACGGCCATTGGCGCTGCGTCTCTATTGATAGTCCTGCGAGGGTATACCCAGTCAATGTGAATCGCATTTCGTCGTTGTGCTAAGATACTGATAGAATTGCAATCTGGAATCGTCGCTGGCTTCCGACCTGCTTCCTCATCGGAGTTTGGTTGACGAATGTAGGATTTCTACTTCATGGTCTCATCGCAGGCGTGAGTTTTACGATGTATTAATCTGAGAGCACAAACCTATCACTTAATTTCATTTCTAGGCTCACTCTGTATGGGATGACTCAATTGGTGCTTGTACATTTCCAGACCGCGATTCCGCTCGGGACAACGTCGTGGTCACGCTCGTAACAGACGTTATTCTTTTGTGCGCTGCCATCATTGGCCTCCTGCGCATGCAACTAGGAGGAGGGCTCTGGAAACGAATCCTTAATCAAGTGCGGAAGATCCTCCATCTCAATCGCGATCGGTCTTCCTAATATTCTATTTCACCAGGAAATAATATGGATCGCGTCTGCAACATTCTTTGGCCTACCTGGAACGGTGAGATGGTTTGTCGGGGGTCGTATTCAACGTACACAGACCTGATCCTTTACATTAGGTATTCTTGGTACTGGATCTCAACGGTAACACCTTCCTGTACCGTCTTCATAAATAACTACTATCTAAACCATATTTTTGTCCTGGCAGAGCCCATGGACATAGTCTGTATATTTTGCTCGGACGTCGTACCTATTACTGAAACCCGTATGCCTGAAGATGTTCCAAAGTCTCACCAGTATGTGTTTACCATTGCTTCATACGCCGTCAATCTTGCCGACGAATATTTGCTTGCAGTGGTATCGATGTGCGCACCTCTCTTTGCGCTCTTAACCTCGTCAGCTTGGATATGAATCTCATAATGTCTTCCTGGTCATAACGTAGGACTATCTGCGCCACGAGGATGTTCCGTGATCTATCGGAATATGCGTACGTACTACTTTCTATTGTATAACAGTCACAGCCTATTTCCCCCCTTCTTTTTCGCTGATACAATCCCTTCTCGCCACCTTCGCAGAAAACAGCCAATCCAGGGCGACCTCCTCAATAGGCCCTCGCTCATAAACATAGCACGCGAAAGCAGGCCATCGGACAACACCTATAATCTCCCACTGACCGTCCTTCGAAACAACAGGTGACTGTCCAGTTTTTCCACCGATGCATGACCGGATGCTGACCCTTTTCGTCCTGAGGCCGAATACTGGCGTGGACAGAGACAGGCTCGAAGTCAAGGACGGCAATAATGGTATCATGGTCATTGTTGAATCTGAGGTGCATCATCACGGGGCCGAAGACATAGTTTGAAGCCAGAAGTTCTGGGGTACGGTGCCAATATTGTGGAACGTTCGAGCATGCCGCAGTGAAGAATCATCGTTCATGTAAATCTTCCGCTGCCGGATTGCTTACGGTCTCAGGGTTTTATTGGCTGTATTAGTCTACATTGCTAGACTGATTCTTCTTTCTTGGATGGGCTTTCGGTATTATTGGAGTTAGCCAAGTTGTGCACGAACGAGCATTCATACATTCATTGGCCCCTCGTATACCTTCGCACACGCAATGGCGAATCAGAAGATGAGACCTTTACTTTTTCAGTTCACCTATTCACGCCCGTAGAGGGTTAGGCTTGCTGCCAGCTGATATAGAACGAAGGGCAAACGGTACACAACCCAGTCTGTGAGAACCCGACTCCAAGACCTAAGCTCCAAATCGAATCACTGCGTCTTCACCTTCTTACTCTTCTTAGGCGAAGTCTCCGCCTTCCTCTTCTTCCCTTTCTCCTTCTCCCTCCCCGCCTTCTCCGCTCCTTCCTCCTCCTCACCAACTTCCCGATCAACATCCATCGCCGCAATATTGCCCCCACCCTCACCTTCCGCATGCCCTCGCACTCCATAAGGCCTAAAGCGATGTTTGAGGAGTTCGGGCGGATAGGCGTGACGCGGCGGGTTCTGATATAGCGCAGCTGGTGAGGCTTCAGTTTTGGGGGTGGAGACGGGTAGAGCGGGTGGTGCGGAGAAGACGATATGGCGTGCTATTGGTTTTGGCGCTACAATAACATATACGTATCAAAACGTTGACCATCAGCATCCAAACCACCACCAGCCGCATGCGTGATGACATGAAAACTAGAGAGAATAAGAAGGTCAGGGACGTACCGAGGTACAACTTCCCGCCCTTCTTCGCTTTTGGCAACAGAACATTCAGAGTCCTCAGCTCCTCTCCCTCAATCATCGTCGCACCACTCTTGTCCTCGCCATCCTCGCCGTCTTCATCACCACTTCGTTTATTTTGGGCGTTCGCCTCTCGCGGTGAAACGGCGGGTAAAGACCATATGTCGTATGTTCTGTCTTTCCGATCGAGCGAACCGATTTTGGTAGGACCCGACTCGACGTTCGAGGTAGAATTTGTGTTTTTAGAGGTTTTTGACTTCGATTTTGAGGGTTTGGCAGAGGAGTCGGAGTCGGAGCTAGAGTCGAGGCCACTGGAGAACGAGGAGGAAGGTGACGGTTTGGGTGGTGTGGCGGTGGTGGTAGTAGTAGTAGTAGTAGTAGAGGGTTTTGGCAGGGTGAGGTGGACACCTTTGAGATGTTTTGGTTTTACCTGTGGGTGGGGCAAACCAAATGAGTCCCTAGATTTGGCCCGACTCAGGAAAGATAAAAATGAAGAGAGACCACAGTGACTTGTACGAAGTGCACATGTGACATAGGCGTAGATCCGGATAACATGCGTTCGACAGCACGCTTCGTCTTCCTACAATTAGATACTGTCCCTGCTCATCCTTATCGTTATAGCAGAGACAAGTGGAAACAAGCCATATGTCATATGACCAGGGGCAAGACAACTTCACCAACCCTTGTCCCCAGTGCATATCCATGCTCCGGAAGCACATCTCAAGGCTCGAAAGACTCACCGACTCTGGCACTCTTACAAGCCACACTTCGACCTCCTCGTCCTTTTTCACGCTATCCCAATCGAAGTCCCCGAACTCGAACTCCAGCCCCTTCGCGTCGTGAACGGATGCAAACTTCGCAGGTGGTTTGTACTCCCAGGTAGGCTCAACACCTTCATTACGAGCTTCGACTGGTACATCATCAGAGGTTTCGGTAACTGTAGCCTTTGACTTGGCTTTCGACTTAGAACTGGATTTGGCCGGTTTCGATGAGGTGGAAGTGGACTCGGTGGTGGGTTTTGTAGACTTTGTAGACTTCGCAGACTTCGAAGGTTTTGAGGCCGACGCTGACGTCGATGCAGAAGGCATTTTTTGAAAATTTCGTTGACAAGATTAGAGGCCCTGAGATGTCCCTAACAAGTAAAGCAAGATGTCGCGTCCTAACAGTTCGTGAGAGTAGAGACCAAAGAGGTGGGCAAATTGAAATTTCTGAACGCGAAAACAAGTCCGTCAAAGTCTCACGAATCTTGCGCCACACATCGACGCCACCCGGAGCACCTCCGACTACTTATACATCGATGAGATCATTCATCCGTTTTCTCTCCTCTTCTTCTTGAGACCCACGGACAGGCAGGCCTTATTGCCTTGTAAATATCAGCTGGATAAAATGGAGGCACACTCGGACGTTCCTGCTGTTCTAACCATCGCCGGCTCCGACTCAAGCGGAGGAGCGGGGATTCAAGTACGCTTCTTCCGTCTCTTCTCTGGAAACTGGAACCAAACTACTGACAATGTATTTGCCGTGTGGTGGAATGTTTCCAGGCTGATCTGAAGGTCTTCACATCGCTGGGGTGCTATGGTACCAGCGTTATCACTGCTTTGACTGCTCAGAACACTACTGGTGTTCAGGGCGTACACTCTGTTCCGCCAGAGTTCGTCGCTGAACAGGTGAGCATGAGTCACTATCGAATGGCCTACAGTCGACTTTCGATAATTCAGTTAAATTCTTTCTTGGATTTACATGCTGAGCGCTATGTTTTCTTCTAGCTAAAATCAGTATGGAGTGACACACCCATTCGAGCGTTCAAGACTGGAATGCTGTCAAAACTCGAGATTACCCAAACTCTCGTGGATTCTCTCCACTCTCTCGCATCATCCAAGCCGAACGAACCTGCTACACAACTTCCACCACTCGTAATCGACCCAGTCTGTGTTTCGACCTCGGGCCACACCCTCCTTGACCCGAGCGCAGTGAACACCATGATCACCTCCTTGTTTCCCCTCGCTACGCTCATAACACCGAACAAATCCGAGGCAGAATTGGTCCTTTCGCATCTCATCAAGCCTGGAGATAATACAGAGCGGAAAGAACTTGAGTCTCTAGAAGAGATTCTCTCCGCCGCCGCACAGCTCCTCTCGTCCGGCCCCAAGGCGGTCTTGATCAAGGGCGGCCACCTCACCTCGTCCTTCGCGGATATAGCCGCCCTTATATCTGCTCATCCGAACGTGAAAGTTGAGAAGGACGAGATATTAGGAGAGAATATGGAGATTTTGCTCGCTGCAGGTGTGGAAAAGGACCCGAAGGATTTTGAGCTCGTGGTCGACGTGTTGGTCGAGCGTGCTGAGGGTGCCAGTAGAAACGGAAACGAGAATGAGGTCACTGTATTTGCGAGGAGTCGGATTGAGTCAAGGAGTACACATGGGACGGGATGTACGCTCAGTGCTGCGATTGTGTGTGGGCTCGCGAAGGGGTTATCTGGTAAGGCTCACACCAATCCCTTCAAGTATGTGTTCGCTCATCCGTGGTTCAAATCTCGCTTCATACAGTGAAGGAGGCAGTGAAACAGGCAGCCTCGTACACACATCAGGGAATTGCGACAGCCTTTCCGATGGGTAAGGGCCATGGTCCGTTAAACCACATGCATTCGCTCGTTCAAAGGAGCATTCCAAGGTATAACGTCCATCATGTATTGTTGCCGCCTTGCTCGACACTGCACAATCTCCCGAGCTTCCTTCCGCATCAGTATTGACTTATTAATACATAATATCTTTATAGACCGACATTAGCCAACCCTCACCCATTTACCCGCCTCCTCATTCAATCGAACCGCGATGTATGGAAATCATACGTGGAGCATGACTTCGTCCGTGAGCTGGGAAAGGGGACTTTGAAGAGGGAAGCCTTCGTTCACTTTATTAAGTAGGCTTTTATATCCTCTTTCAACCTCTGACATACCAGCAATAACAAGCGAACGCAATAACAGGCAAGACTATCGTTATCTTAAATATTATTCACGAGCATACGGGTGCGTCCTGATCTCCCTTACTTTCTACCCTTCACATCTCAGTATAATATCCTCGCATTCCTCTCTCTGACTCTCTCTCTGATACAGACTCCTGGTCGCCAAATCCCCCACCTACTCTGAAATCTCCGCCGCGTCCGCCATCATCCAACACATCCTCCGCGAATGCGAGATGCATCGCGCTTTCTGCGGTAAATGGGGTGTCACGCCCGAAGAGCTAGAGGGTAAAGGCGCGAAGGAGAGCGAGGCAACGACAGCGTACGGGGCGTTCATTATGGATGTTGGGATGCAAGGTATGTCATCGTTCACCTCTGCCCTTCTCCATCCATGCCGACGTGCTGGGATGAAATAGGTGACGCCTCAAGACTCACGATGGCGCTCGCGGCTTGCCTTCTCGGTTACGGCGAAGTCGGACTCTGGCTTAAACGCGAGTCGAAGAGAGAGGATACGTGGGTGAACATGGACGCGAGTAATCCGTACTTGAAGTGGATTGAGGACTATTCAGGAGAGGATTATCAGCAGGCTGTTAGGACTGGGATTGGTACGTCCTCTTTCTCGTGATCCCTTGGGCTCCTTTCCTTGCATATTACGTGATGTTCGTGCATCCAACGCGGACGCTCACGTACCGATATACACCAGAAAAAATCGAAGCAATGGCCATCAATGATCCGCCTTCGCCGAAGAGATTCCAGGAGTGGATCGAAGTCTGGGAGAGATGTACGAGGTTGGAGAAGGGTTTCTGGGATATGGCTATCAACCTCTCATAGATCTCGAGAGCTGAGTTTATGCTTTGCAGCACATGGGTCATTATCATTCGTCCGCCTCACTAGCTCGCAGACGTGTTTATATCAAAACACCAGGGCAGTATTATAGACTCATGAAGCCGAGGACTCGACACAGTTTGCTTTATACTTAGCGTTGATCGTTCGGGGCAATCTACATGGGTTGCTTACCGGTGGGTTTGTACATGCGATAACATGAGGCAGTCATTCAGGAGACCCACTGTACGGTGTCGATAGAAGGACAACGGAGCGAATGCGAACTTGAGCCGACGAAAAATTTAAATCCCATGTTAGATTTGACAAAATCAATGTCAACAGCAAACCTGTGGTCATATGCCATGAGCCTGGATTGAACAGGCGACCTCCAGAACTTCAGTCTGTTGCTCTCCCAGCTGAGCTATCACGGCAATAAGTATGAGATGGAGGCCACACTCATATTCAATCCTTACTGTATTTTCCGAGGAGCGCACACCTCATCGTTCACAAACCACATTGAAGTCAGTTGAAATATAGGAGAAAATGTGGAGTTGTTGTCAGAAGAGGAAACATAATTTTTGGACGTTCCCGGTTTCCTGAAGACACCTCGGGCTCGTGACAAACGTGGGAAAACCATCGCGGCCGCCTCTTACGGTTAAGTCGCGTCGCGTCGCGCTCTGCCGCCAACAGTCGAGATTGTCTATACCTTCCTATCTACGAAAGCTGTCATGGAGTCGACTACCGGTAAAAGCAACATGATAGCTTCACAAGGTGCGTACGCTCTCTAAATCTTCCACTTCAGATAGTAACTGACACCCCGTATTACTAGACCCTGTTCGTCCTCCATCCAAACGACCGAAAAAGACCATGCCCGGAGGGTCAGTTTTTAAACCTGAGAAGCCAGCCACTGGATTATCTCGAAGAAAACAAGGCCGTTTGAGCATGATGCCAACTTTGTCGCTCGATGTACTGTACGAGGTCTGTCAAGTCGATTCTTGGACCACAACGCATTCGTTCACCTACGTTTCTGACCTTCCACCGAATGGTCTACATTTTTCTTTGGCAGATTTTTGGACATCTGTGCCCTATCGACTTGCTACATCTATCACGCGTCTCTCAATCCTTCCGCCAAGTCCTCATGTCCCGCTCTTCAGCTTGGCTTTGGAGGTCGACTTTTAGCAATCTCAATGGGCCACCTACCCCACCGCGGCCCGAAGGGATGTCAGAGCCTGCCTGGACGCACTTGCTGTTTGGCGACCCTTTTTGCGATGCAAGTACTCACTCATTGATTCGAAGTACTTCCCCGGTGATGCTGACTGTTGGAAACAGATCTGTGACCGGCGAACTCCCATGAAACCTGACTGGGTATTGCGGCGCCGAACGTGCAAGGCCTGCTCAAAGGAAACGTGAGGATCTTGGATGCTCATATGCCCCATGTTCATATAGTGCTGACTTTTTTTTCTGACTGCTGCGATCCTGTCGTAGCGTCACGGCATTGATTCCACCGACATCGATCGGTTTCACAGCTTTCCTCCAATTGGTTCAGACCCTACGGAGAGCACAACGTACGGTCTTCAGCTTCGTCTACCGTTCATTCAATTATCAACTTACCCGAAACAACGGCTTGCAGTATGGGATATGGACGTAATGCCTGATTATATTTCCCCATACTTCCTCGAGGACGACTGCGAGGATCTTGTGGATGAAGTAGAGGCCATAGTTGCTAGCACCAAACCGGAGGATTTGGACGCGAAACTCGAAGAGGTCCGTGCGGCAAAGGCACAGGCTCTCGACAAGTTGATGGATGTGAGAGTATTCTACTACTTCAGTGCATCCTATGGTTCTCAATCCTCGCCTTTTGTCCCGCGTATTCAGCATGCGAGACTGTGTTCCAAATGGGCAGCAAGTATGGAGGTAGAACGTCTCAAGGAGATCAAGGCACGGAAGCTGGCTCGCTCTAATGAGTGAGTCCGTTGACCTATCAGGCTATCGATGCACAGTCTTACCAGGAGACGCGGATGTGGAATAGCATTACGGAGCGGTTCGTAGCTCTAGGGTACACCAAATCAGATACATACAAGATCCGGGGCCATAAAGAGGTCTTCAATGACAAAGCGCTCACTGACAGGAGTACGTTCCGCCTTGTTTTTGCTCTTCACGCCGATGTTCCTGACAAACTCGCACGACGTAGTCTGGACACGCATCAGACCGATCCTCGAGCCCGAGGTGGCATTCGCGAAGGCAAAGCGTCTCGAGCAGGAGCGCAAGTTCCGACTCGTGGAACGTCGCAAGATCTGCAAAACAGAATATCAGAAGCTCCTCCTCTCTCAGCCGCCTATGAACATCGTCTTTTATCCGAAACACTACGAGCTCGCAGAGTTCCCAGCAGTTGCAGCACTTAACGCTGTAGACGTCGATGTTCACTTGGACGACGGGTTCCCAGCTAGAGCGAGGACAGCCATCCTAAGCCTGATGCCCGCTGCCATCGACGAATGGATCAACAAACGCAAGGCCAAGGTCCTTTCGACTCTTGCTTCTCCTCCAGCGCCTGGCTGTGGAATATTCGACATGCCCGCCGAACTCGAACTCGCGAAGAACGTTTTCGTCGCCGATGAGGACCCAGAAGTACCTCTCTACGCCCAGGGGATCTTCTGCTACCGTTACAAGGATGAGGATCGATCTCCAAAGAACTCGATGCACACGTGGAACATCCCAAAGCTCAGTGGGTCTGCTCAGAGTGCTATTTTCCACCTCTTGGATCTATGCGGACTGGATCGTGATACCACAACCACGAAAGAGCTTGACGCCCTTCACCCACTATTCGTCTGTGAGAACTGCACAGTCAAGGGTGAAGCGATGGTTTTCGCGAACCCAAGAAGGGTGGGGAAGTATGTGCATACATGGATAGAGGCTGTAAGGCGGCTCCAGTTGTATTTCCTGACCGAACGTCTTCTGACTATGCTCCAGTTGGGCCACCAGACGAGGGCGCCCAGTGTACCTTCATGGGCCAAGACACATGGTGTCTGCCGGTTCAAACTACTTTCGGACGAAGATCGACACGCCGCCTCTGAACTAGGTCATCGGGGAACCCTCACGCACTCGAATTGGGGGTGCTGTTACTGCACAGCACACTTCAAGAAGGCGATGGACAGTTCATGGGAGTGGGGAAGCTGGTTCACTCGTTCGCAGATCGTCGAACATCTCAAAACTGCGTAAGTAATATACTCTATGCTCTCCTATCGGACCGTCTATTGGAGTCTTTGCTTACTACTCCTCTTCCCTCTTTCTAGCCACGATACAGGCGAACGCGAGTCAGTGGAGGGGACTGATTTCTACTACAACCCATGGCATGAAAGGCACGAGGACGGTCATCTTTTCCTTGATATGGAACGAGAAGGCGAGAACGAAGGGACCTGGGAAGCTGTGGAAAGGTTGGCTGTGGATATTTGACGGAACGAAAGCTAGCTCTACACGTTTTGTTTCTGACCATCTCCTTTACTAACGTACAATATTCTGTTCGTAATCTAAGGGCTATTCCTTTGCATGTCTCTATCGGCCAACACACTCAACTTATAATAATACAGTGCTATTGAGGTTATCAACCATCTTATAACGCAGATGTCTCCATTTCGTTTGGTCGTGTTTGCTCTGTTCATTTCTTTTCAAAGTGCTTTCTTGGGGTTTTAACTACAATCGTGACATATACCGTTATAGCTACTATGCGCTGACGCGATTTGATGCATCGACATTTATCCTGCAATCAATAGTCAGTCCTTTCGAGGGATGACCACGGTTGACCGGTTTGGCCGTGATGATTGCCCTGTTTTAGTACGGCTATGCCCTCAGCCCGTGCTGCCTCAGAACTCTTGAAACCAATCTGAGTTTCATACCGTTCATCTCGCTTCTATAAGCCAACTGTCCAATACATTCATCGACAAACGGGGGGTAGCTCCGGTAGGTCCTGTCTATCATAATGTGATTCTAGCATACCTTACATATGATCGCGACGTCTCGGACGCCGAATGTGCTAAGTAAAAGGACATCGAAAAGAACGAAGCAATAGGCTAAGGGTCGTTATTGCTTGTTGTACCCAAGCTCGATAGCTTTGATTTGCAGTGCCTAAAATGAGATATGTGAGAATTTACTATCTCGGAGTGAACAGGGGCCGGAATCGTACCAGTTGTTTTGACATGAATCTCGAGTTGTAGAAATCGCCCGCACCGTACCACAGCTGTATCAAGAGGTAAATGATCAATGATGGAAGAGTATCAGAAGAAAAACGTCCGACGAGGATGAGAACGAGACGTACTCCAGGCTGGCCCGACGGGCGATAACATCCCCTGAGCTCTTGCTCATGGTCAAAGCCCCACAGGACCGGCGTCTTCGAGATGACCTCTTCTCCGAAGAGGGTTTTGAAGGACTCCAGGATGCTTCGATAGCCGGTTCTTCATGATAGCACAGTCAGTTAATCCCTTACCATGGTTGCACTTAGGAGAATGTAAGGAGAGGAGAGCGTACCCAAATACCACGACATCGGCTTCGACCTCACTTCCATCGGTGAAAACGACAGTATTGGAGGTGAAGCTGGCAATTTCGACTCCCTGTTTAACGCCTACTTTATCCTGTCGGATTAGGTCGGCACATCCTACATCGAGCCCTGTAAAGATGCGAGCGCTTAGTCGAAGCGTGGGCTACCACATCAGCCTCAAAGGTGCCACACTCACAGTAGCCTTGGAATAAGTGAAACGCGACCAAATCAGTCTATTTCGGAAAACCTTCGATGAGTGAAAGGCAAGCGTACCGCCAAAACGCTCAAACACGAGTAGGAACTGGCCATGTCCTCCTTTATCGGCGACTTTCAGCCCTTTCGCCTCCACACCATCCCATAGCTCATTATCCATATCGTTAGGATCCGGAGGCGCAGCTCCAAGGAACTCCTATAACGCAGGGAGACCATGTCCGTCAGAATGATGATAAAAAACACAGAGGACGTCAAGGTCCAGACGCACCTTCTTCATACCCCACGGTATACTCGAAAACATGAAATCGCTAACGGGGCACGGCACATCTATCGGCCAGCCTTGCAACAGCATCAACTCCGTCTTCTTTCCCGAAACGATCGCGGTATCGCTCCTCTGCACCATCAACACGCTCTTCGCACCATGCGTCACCGAATCCTGACAAATATCCGCCGCCGTGTTCCCCGCTCCAACCACCACGACCTTCTTGCCAGCGAACGGCTCCGCGCCTTGGAACGACTGAGCATGGAAGATTTCGCCTTTGAATTCGGGCATGGTGGGGACGTCAGGGACGTTCGGTGCGCCTAGCGTTCCGGCGGCGAGGACGATGTGGGCGGGGGTGAGTGTGACGGGTGTACCGTTGCGGAGGATCGTGCATGTCCATCGGCCGGTGGTGGGGTCGTACTTTGGTGTGGGCTCTATGGTGGAGTTGGTCCAAACGAGGAGATCCTGGGAGACCGCATATTGTTCGAGGAAGTCGGCTGTTGTGCAAAACCAGCGTCAGGGTCAGTTTTATCGGACAAAGTCAGGAAACGAGAGCGTTACCTAGTTTATCCCGAGGAGTGAAGGTCGGCCAGGTATCGGGAAAATTCTGATATATCACTGTAGACGGTGTAGTGAGTGATGAGGATACAAGACAGACGTTCTATAACGGATTTGCGTACGCGAGTGATGTGGCCGTGGAGTATGTAGGACTAGAGTTGGGTAGCGTTTACGCCACACATCACCGACACGGTTATTCTTCTCGATAATGATTGTACGGATACCCATCTGCTTGAACCTTGCCCCAATATTCAGGCCTGTCTGGCCCGCCCCGACTAACATGCCGTATCCTCACATGTAAGCATTTTGGGCCACAATGTACGCCACAGGATAAACACACCAATGATAACCTGAGGATCACTCTCAATCTTGGCGAATCTCTCCGCCTTCACCCGGTGCCACGGAACTTCGCTCATCATGAGTAACCACGAAAGACATCTCCCTATGCAGAAGTAGAAAATACGCACTCGTATGCCCTCCATACACACCAGACTCAGGACCCATCTCCTCATGTCCCTTCAGGTCCTGCATCATCAAAAACACAGATATAGCCTTCCACTTGCCCTCCCCATCCTGCATCAACCTCGCACACCCCTGTCCCTTCGCAATCGGCGTCTCAAACAAGAAACACGCCACAACACCCAAGACGGGCCCCAATATGGACCCGTACGTAGGTTTGAAGTACTGTCTGTCGTCGAGACGGATGTTCGATATCTTCGCGTTGGGAAGTTTAGGAGCAAGGAAGGCGCGAATAGCATCGTGGCCGCGAGCAGTCCGGTTATCCCACGTGAAGATTAGGATGTCTCTGAACCAGCCGTTGGGGAGGATAGAGGGTAGGATGCCTTCGACGTCGCCTGCTTCGAAGGGTTTGGCGAAGTCTGAGAGCCAAGCTGAGGCGATGGCGTGTGCGTCGGGTACGGGTCCTCCAGTGACAGAGTGAGGCATCGTGTCGATAGTTAGCGCGCGATTAAAATAGCCTGCTTATTTCGAGAAGAGTGCACAGTTTCAGAGGATCAATCGAGCAACAGAGCAACTCAGCAGGCTATATGGACTGATAGGTGATGGGGAGAAGAGGGCAAAGTCCTGAGAAGAGCAAGACAACGTGGAAACAGACATTTATCATAACCACGGTGCCGATACGCGTTGCGAAGCACAGCTGAGAAGGATAGGAGCTTTAAAATTGGTCAGAGACATCGCCGTGATCAGAGCTTTCGATGGAACACAATAATTGTATGTACGTGGGTGTGAGTGGGACAATCCAGATTGACTTGAGATTCACCGAGTCGGGGTTAGAACGCAACGTGGAACGCCGTCGCATTGCAACCTCACACCTATTTGGTATTAATTTCCAATTACTTTGCCGAACAAGAAAGAACAAGACTCGACGAACAAAAAAAAACAGGCCACGTATGTTCAAACTGTAATCTCAAGCAATTCCCAAGGGAGTAAGAAGCGGCGAACATTAGGAAGAGATCCTTTCAGAACGGAACTGCTTGCAGCACTGAAACGACCTCAACCAGCCTCCACATCGGCCGCCTACAGAGCATTGTGGAACGGTGCGAACAAATCGGGCGCTAGGATCCATCTGAAACACCCTAAAAACTCTAAATCGGAATCTCTCGTAAGTAACCGCATATGTACGAACAAGAGACGAGCGCTGAGCGGCCTTTTCGGATGGCATATCATCATTTAGCAGATTGAGACTCAATCAGTGGACACCTGGGAATACAGCTAGGTGCAGCGGCACACTGCACACAGATGTACTCGCAACACGGTAAGAACGCATCGGACGGTGATGAGGAGAAAGAAAGGCGATAAATAGAACACTTTGCTAGTTCGCCGCCGAGCGCCGGTCCCAAAATTCAGGATGAATTGAAACAAAGAGCCTTCGAACGACCTTCGTCGCTGCAGTTCATGAGCCCAGGCGACGAATATCTTGAACCAATGCTACAAAGCGAGTAGAGGATGTCCATTCTGGATATTCAACAGTCCGCCCTCAACACGTCTGCGAACGGACGTATCAGATCCCATACCTGTATCGGTGACATGCTTGTGAAGCGAGAGGAGACGCACCATAGGTAAATACACGTCGACCTCCGACCCTCTCAATAGCGTAGTGATAGCGCCACCGCCACACAGCCCAACGACGGAAAGTCCGCCCACCACTTGTCTATCCTCATCGACATCCCCACCTAGTAATAATGCAAGAACAACAAACTCAAACTCGCCCCAATCAAAAAAACCAGCAACCCAACCCTTCCATCTCTCATCCTCCTCCTCGCCTCCCTCAACTGCACATTCCCCTTGTCCACCTCTTCCCTCGTCTGCGCCGCGTCTTCCCATATCCTCTCCGCCACCTCCGTCTGTCTCCCCAGCTGTTCTACAAGCTGCAGCTGCAGCGCGCTTATCTCGAGCAGCCGCGATTCGGCCTGTTGGATGGACGCGAGCTGGGACTGGGCTTGTTGCAGGATCTGTGCGTTTTCGGATTCGAAGAGTTGGATCTGGGAGGGGGTCAGTTCGGAGAGGTCGGCGTCGGAGGATAAGTCGTCGTCTGAGAGGTCCCATGCTGCGGCGGAGTCGGATGGAGGTATTGATGAGGATGGATAGGATGGGTACGTGGAGGTTGTGTTGGGATTTGGTGCGCCGAGGGTTGACGCTATCATGGACGTGGCCGCACCACCCAGCCAGCTGCTTGCTCCTCCACCACCTCGTTCCGTCATCGAGCTACCAGCCGATTCTGCCCCTCCCCCGCCATACCTGGACGCATCCAGCCCAGCCGCTGCTTCAGCGCCCAACAGAGCCATCTCCCTCCCAGCGCCGCCACCCAACGTTTTTGTCCGCTCCGTCTGCCTCTTCACTCGCTCCTCCTGCATGTCCTTCTGTTGTTGGCTCACATCTGCCAGTCGCGTGGTGAGGTACAATGTCACGTTGTTGTTGTGCGTCGAGATCGCGTTATTGAGGAGGGTAGTGGAGGCGGGTGTGAGGGAGGTTGAAAGTGTGGATGATATGGAGGATAGCGAGGAAGGTAGGATACGGAGGAGGGGAGAGGATTCTTTTGCTGCGAGGTCTGCTCGGCCTGAATAAAATGCGACGAGGTGGTCAGCGTCGCTAGTTAAAGCTCAAACACATGTGGAAACCTCCGAAGGGAGTGATGGACGTATGGAGACGAATAAGTCTGGCGGGGGTAGATACAACTGTTGTCGATGTGTTGTCGACGCAGAATACCTCGCAGGAGCTGTAGAACAAAATAGGGGTCGTGATCGTACTGCCTTGGCGCCACCGCCACACACGTACTCAATCGCAAGTCTCTACCACTGCTCTCAAACGTGTAGAACTACGTTGCGCGTAGCGCATCATCCTGCGGTCTGTAGAGAAGTATCAATGGCCACTTCTGTGATCAGTGTCCCACGTTTGAACACAATCGCTCTCATAAACGAGGACTGCACGAACGAAGTGTATGACCATCAGAAGGACTTAGAATTCTCAGGGTCCAAGAATTCCTGGTAGCGTGAGGGAAACAAGAATATGAAGAGCGATTCAAGGGGAAGTATTGGTGTCGTGCCCATGGATTCGTGTCGCACCTCTGAGTATAAGGCGCTGGATGTCCTATCTGTGCCAGAAGGATGGGCGATGACCGCTACATCGTATCACCCATCCTCACAACGTTCCAGAGAATAGTCAAGCCGAAGAGTTTAAGTGATGACCGTACTCACGTTTCTCTAGTTCCTCCATGGCCCTAACTTTCTGGGCGCACCTCGCCAATATCATCCGAACCTGCAAATCAATCTGATCCCTCTCCTCATTCGTCAAATACTTCACATCCTTCCACATCTCATCTATTCCCATGGTTGGATCAGCATCAGTGTCAAGGCTTTTCGACGTCGACGCTGACGCTTGACGCGTGAGTGGTGGTCTGCGTGCGTGGACGTCTAGGTATGGTTTCCGGATATTGGCAAGCATGCGGGTGAGGGTAGATATGTGATTGTGCTAGACGAGTATTCGGACTGTCAGTACTCGTCGGTTTAGAAAACAAAACTATACGCAACGATTGAGTATGCCTCCTTCATATACGACGGCATGAAAGGCGTCGAGCCTTCCCCTGGCACATGCGTCCGTTCACGATTCAGCTTTCTCCGCTTTGGAGGCGACACTTTCTTCCTCTGTTCATTGACGAGCTCGTGAAATGTCGATGTGAGATCTCGGATTGCCATGTCAAACGGCAGATAATGAGTAAATGAGAGTAAATGCAAGGATCTATGCCTTTGAAGCACTGTATAAGCGAAAAGCAAGGACAACAGAAGTTGTGGTGGTGACGTTGGACGCGACGCGAACGAGGCTCCGGCCACGTTTCGAGTCGGCCGTGTGGCGCAGGAACCTATGGGCGACATGTGGCCCGTGTGCTCTCACACTAGTAGCACTAGCAAATACTCAAGTCCCATATCGTCTTCTGAGTATAACCGCGCATGTCACATATATTATGAAGCTATGTATCCAGAAGAAGAGAGTACGATAGAGATCTGCAGACAATGAGGCCGTGGCAAGCAGCATGTTACTTCGCATTGTCGCCAATACATTTCTTCTAAGAGTCCAAGAGCCCGCATTCTCGGCCTCATCAGAGTCCCCGAATCATCTCTGACTTCGGGAACGAGGGGTTATAATAAATGTCCAATCCGTCCACAGGCTCGCGTGTGCCCAAACCATGGCTATACGCAGAACAAGCGAAGCGTGAGCAAACAAAAACTGAACATAGAATGATTCGTACTCGCCTATCTCTCAGATGCCGAATAACTTGGGCTCGTTCCATCCACGACCCAAAACCGCCTTCTCCCTGTGAAATATGCACGGTGCAATGTCCGCACCCCCATAGATGTTCACAGTAATGGACGCCGGCCAACAATTCAACAATGCTTGGCCCTTGGTCCCTCTCATCTGTAATCCGCGTGAATCGAGGAAAGTCGTGTCCAGGGAGTATCCGCAGCTGATGGTCCAACTAGGAAAAGATAGGTGATCAGCAGAAACTCAATGATCGGAGTGAAAGAAGACATACAGCGTCCCTCCAGTGCCTTGCGCGCCGCCCCGTAAAATCAAAGTCCAGGAAGCCAATCGACCCTCTCAATTCCTCTGTCTGCAGCTTCGCATCTTGTACATCACAGGCCTCACACACGAACCGGTCATGTAGATGATCCAATTGCTGCGTGGTCGTCGTCGCTCCATCCAATCCGCACAATTCTAACAACGCAAGAACAGCACGCTGAGCGGCCTTGTTCAACCTTGGAATGTTCAGCGCCGACAAGGAAGAGCTTGAAGATGGTTCGTCTAGCTCATGCCCATTATGGCGGTAGGCAAAAATTTCAGCGCCAAACAGAGGGGTCTCTGGATTCGCCTCAGCTGTGTACACATTTTTCGCGAGGGTGAGTTCGAAGGGGACATCGAACGTCCCACAAGCGATGGCAAGCGGGCCAGCAGAAGACGGAGGTACAAGTGTCGACATGATTTTGCTCTTGCGCTCACCGGCCCAGTGCTTGATGCTCGCCGGAAACATCTGGAGGATCACGTTCCTAACTTCAGCAGAGAAGTCTTCTTCTTCTTCAGGAAGGGTGGGAATATCGCAAATTGAAGCGATACGAAATGATATCTCTCGCAGCTCGTGAGGTTGAGGATAGAGGGCAAGGGAGCGAGGCGGCTTGTGGAGCAGGAGACTTCGATATTGACTCTCCAGGACTTCTTCCCGGTGACGCAAGGCTGCTTGACGCTTCCGCTCGATACGATCCGCTTCTTCAGCCTCAAGTGTTGTTACAAGTTCGGGCTCGATAGTCGTCCATACTGTAGCAGTGAGAAGGATTGGAAGGAAGTCAGCTCCCGAAGTTTGCTTGGTGGATATCAGGATGTCCTAAATAAGAGATGAGCTCACAATTGTCGGGCCAGGGAGCTTTGCTCGTGAACTCCTGCCGGGCCCAAATTTTACTCGAAGCAATCTGACGGTGAGTATATCCCAAAGAAAGAAGGCGTTGCGTGATCCTAAGCAGTGTTGACTATCAGTCGATCACTTGAATCACCTCAATGAAGGGGCGTACTCTTGTCGTCTCTCCGCCTTCTCCGCCTCCCGCATTTTATCCACTCTATCTTGTTCCCTTTCCACGCGCTCGGTCCAGTAGACGCAAGCCTTGGCATGCTAACAGTAATGGACAATATAAGTTTCAAGCGCGTCAACGTTGTGGAATGTTGGGAGCTATAGACATCCTCACCTTCAACACCTTGTCATATGCTAGAGCTTTTGCTTTCCTGAGCTCTTCGAGTTTGGCTGTCAACTCCTCTGATTCCAGGCCAGCAGCCACCGCATCTACTTCTTCCGCGAGTCTGACCGCATCCCTTTTCAGGAAATAGGGCGAAACCTCCTTTGGCCATAACATTGATCGGTGATGCCTAGGACGAACTTCGTGATACTGATTGTTTCAGTAGTCCTATGAACGGTTAAGGACATGAAGGGTCCTTACACATCGATCTCGGAAGGACTTGAAGGAGTGGCATAAATCTCATAACTCCGATGGTGGACTTGGGCACCGAGAACGTAACACTTGAGGCCCGACCGTAAAGTCAATAACACTACTTCATATCTTTCGAAGGAACATGATTACATAGTTTGACTGACCTTTTGGTAGTGCACGGCGGACAGGCCCGGATCCGAAGAGCCCAGTCAATTTCCTGATAATCCTCTGAGTCACACATCTACGAGTAGAGTTCCCCAATGAGATAGAGTATAATGTCAGGGAAAAATGAAATGATGCGTACTTGACATCCCGGACCACCGAAGACTAGAACCGTCCAGGCTAGCTCAGATATGTCTTCAGGGAGCGGGGGAGCTATATCAGAACGGTCACCAACGTTGGCCCATGTCCTTCTCCAGATCCAGGCAGTTTGACGAGACGTGAGTAGCTGGTGAAAGGATTTAGAGACCCAGGAGACGCGAAGTAGGTCATCAGGTGTTAGGTGGCAAAGTATCTGACAGACATGCGCAAAACACAGTCATTGGGTAACGCATCAAAGACTCGGACACAAAAGCCACAGAACGTACCTCATGTATGATATCGAGAGACAAGGTCGATAGCGAGCTTGATGATACTACCTTTGGATATGACATCCCTTCAACGTGTTCTATGCCTGCCTATCCCTGAGCGTTCGAGATGGTTGTAAAAGCTTGCGTTGAAGTTGATACTTACTGGTCCGATTCCGTGTTTCACGATTGAGCGGTGAGCTTCTTTGAGCCTTCCACGCCAGAGAGCAAAGTGACTGATTCCACCGACCACGAACGGTATGTATTGATACTATAAAGATCTTGAGAGCGATAAATGGAGATCGTCAACGAGCTGGCGAATCCGAAGAGGCGAAAGAGACAAAGGGAAGCGGATTTCAGGAATCAGGACGTGTTACGTAAGATAGGGCCAGTCCACAGCCAACAACATCACGTGCCGGGTGGCGTGTGCGTCGTCGCCGACGCTTGCGACGAGCTCAGTATCCGAACGAGGACAATGCTTCAGAATCAAAAACCACAGAGTTGTTTGAAATTGTATTAAGTATATAACACACAAGTTTCATGAGTGTAGAATTTAAATTGGAGGGGAAGATAATATAATGCGGATTTGTTTTGCAATTGTTTCAGTGTGGCGTTGAGCCCCAAATTAGGGTTCTAAACAAATCGAGAAAAATCACTGGGAAACTATCTCCTCCCTGGGTTCTGTACCATTCCAAGCATGCGTTATTGTGAATGTTCTTTCATAAATCTTCCACAAATCTGTGGTTTTACATTTCCGAAATATGTCCTCGTTCACACTCTGAGCTCGTCGCAAGCGTCGGCGACGACGCACACGCCTACCGGCACGTGATGCTGCTGGCTGTGGACTTCCGAGTTCCGACTGGCCCTATTTTAACCGTCGGTCCTGACTCCTGGTCCTCGGAGTATTCTTCCACGTGACCAAAACACGCCATATCATTTTCTTTCACCAGTTTTTACTAGCCAGCTTTGCTTGAGCTGCGTTTCGACTTCCTGTTCAACAACGCAGTACTCAAGTACTCAAGTTTCACAAATGGATGTGGCGCACAGACCATCCGACTCCTAGGACGGACCGTCTCTTCATCCCACCCACATAAGATGAGAACGGCGATATGAGCGGCGGTCGTACTCACCCTTGTAAGTGATCTCACTAATATACCCGGCCTGGAAGAGGCGAAGTGATCAGCTTAGGTATATGTGGTCGGCACTATTCGCATTGAGGCGTCGCTGACGTTGCGGTCGGTCATATATAATGGAGGCAGGGCGAAGAAATTAGTGTGGCCCCGCTTTGCCGACGTGTCACTGTCAACGTTGACAACAACACCAAACAAAGGCGCCACACTTCGGTGCGTCCAAAGAACGACGCTGTCAGTCATATCGACCAGTATCGACGTCAACCCTTTCCCTTACCACTCGAATTCAAGCGAGAATCTCATTGACGACGATTTGAATCATTTTGCTTCTTTCACCGGCACCGTGACTTTCTCAATTCCTGAGCACGTTGAATCAGCTACCGGCCGCCGAGTAAGTTGGCCGAGTCTCAACCGAGTCTCGCTCAAAACCCTTGCGAAATATTCACGGTTGCAAGGATCCCTGCAACGACGGCCATCCTCCCCCGAGATCGCTCTGCCCTGAACCGCTCCCACCAGTGGTACCTACCTGTCGCGGGACTATCTTTTGTCGCGGAATCCTCGTGCTCCATGTATCTTGTCCAGGTCGCATTGCATATGTGATCCTCCTGAACACGGCCACCAAACGCCGTTCACGATCTCTTACCACTGCTTGTCCTCCCACTGCAATGCCAAGACTTGTTTTTTTTTCATTAGGTTTTTCACTGGTTGCCGACGACGCTCCTCATGGTACACCATGCCAGAGAAATAGAATATGGCCATCCGGCATACAGAGAAGGAGGGATGCATATGACTGGACGTGAGATCTGTTGCTCTTTGATGGCTATGATGTCAAGAGGAAGACTGTCTAGTTGTCGGTCTTGGCGAATAGCGAGAGTACTGGCATAAAGACCATCCCGAGCGTTGCTCCGTAGGTTCTTCAGCCTGTCTTGCCTGATTGTGTCTTCCACTGCTCCTCCAAATTTTGTGTCTCATCCACTCACTCTTTACTCCCCGCCACACTCCACACGTACTTTTACGATGCAGTTTCTCAAATCCTTTGCGGCTGCTGCTACCCTTCTCACCCTCTCCGCGAACGCTGCCCACATCGGCAAGCGCCAGAGCCAAACATGCATCGAAGGCGAGAAATACGTCGGTGTAGGCTATAACGGTCTTCAGCCAGCCTTGCGCGAACTTGGTATGTTTCCTCCCATCTTAATTTCAATCAATTCCGTACTTCGCACTTTGGTTCTCCGGCAATGACTCTTCGCTCTGCGTTCCGCATAGGCCAACGCATGCTTCAAGGCCATCGATGCTGGCACCACAGACATCTGGTCTGAGAAGACCTGTGTCGCCGCTGCCACTTGCGATCCCAAGACCGCCTTCGTCGCTCAGTGCCAGAACTCGGCCGTTGCGAACGCGACTGATATCGCGCATTTGGACTACAATGTTTACGGTCCGTCCTTACTCCTTCTTTATTTCCTCTCTTCCTGCTTTCAATATTACATGGGCGAGACTGACACCAATTGCCGCTGCAATTTGTGGATCATAGCTGCCATCGTTGGTGACTGCGCCTGGCCGATGGCGGCTGCCCCATCACGTCGCAGAGCTACATCGACCTCATCTACGGCGCGTTGAGCGACATCGGGTCGAGTTCATACCCTGCGTACGCCTTGTTTTCCTTCGGTTTCATCTTTATAAATTGATGTCCCTTGTAATTCGTTGTTGTGAACAGATCCGGAGACGAAGTCGTCAGTCAATGGTGGACTCCTCTCACCACCTGGACCGCCACCGGTGACTCTGTCCCCTACACCAATTTTGACGACTGGTTGCACTACGCTGCGGTGTACGACTAAACGTCCCAATTCTTCTCCATCTCGATTGCCTTCTCCAGAAGGTCGTTATGGAAGGGACAGGGGTGCTTGCGAAGTACGCGGGTGATATTTCAATCTGCACCCCACCGGCGACGTCCATGTATAGGCGTGCGGTGGGATGGACAATCTACTTAGCGTATGTATACTTACATATAGGCTAGGGTATTATTCGTTCTTTGTTTCTTGTATCTTTGGGTCTTTGACTGTGTTTATTCAAATCAAGTTTTAATATTTTCTCACTGTGCGACTTTGTAGCTCAGATCATGGGCCCCGGACCCAGCACCTATCTCACCGCCCTGGGTTCTTGACACCGTCTTCGGGTGTGAGTATAGTATTACTTGATGGCCTCAGGACATGTACGGTGTCTTTCAGATTTAGAGGACCTAAGAGTAGAAACAGCCCGATGAGATTCCGGCTTGAATGCGAGTGGTAACGGAAAGGGTCAATATGATTGACAGCATCGTGCTTTCAATTCTTTGGGGACAGATATTGGTCCTTAAGGGCCCACTTTGTATCCTGAATAAACATTCCTTCCTTCCTTCTCACGGGAAAAACACGGTCCTGTCACGCGGTAAGTGCCGGGAGCGTCTTGTCTGTGACGGGATCGTGTTTTTGTGGCACCTGCGTAGTTAGTTAGGGGAGGGGGACCTCTGGCAATGAAAACCGTTCGAAATTCCCTCGAAATTCCACGGAGTGACAACTTTGATGGCCATGAGGTAAACCCGGCAACGGCACCCGAACAGATAAGATTGATGGGCGGCGCCTTGCGTACCACTGAAGCACCCGCACTGGATCGTGTTTCTGATTATCGGGAGCTGCTAAGGTAGCCTGGTACTAAACCTAAGGCATCACCTATAGCCAAACCCTAACCAAACCCAAACCAAGCCTAACCCTGTAGCTGAGGGTGTCGGCGTACGAATGTGAGTACTAGGAGCGCTTGTCCTAGGGGCACTAGCCCAGAGAGAATGTGGGTGAACTGAGACCGTGGGCTTGGGGCTGGATACACCAGGACACAAGGTCACACTGAGTATGGCGAGAAGCAAAGGAGATCGAGTTAGGGAACTATTCTACGATACAGGTGGTTCTTATATACATCCTGAGCTGACCCTTTAGGGCACACCCTCACTGTACACTACGAGTGAACACTACAGGAATCCTTCATGGATATCCAGTGGGTCCAGCAATGGGCATAATGGGTACAAACCGCTGAGTCAACATGCACAAGACTATTCTAGAACGTTCCAGACCTGATCACATG